TTCAAACCTATCTAAATCCGGTAGGTACTCCGAAGGACGTTAAATCATTTTCTTTGATAAAACGTGAAAAATTATGGAGCAACCTAACATTTTAAGAGCTTCCACGACCGAATGTACCGAGCAAATAATCGGAGAAACGGAAGTGTGAACCGACAGGAAACGGGTTTGATACGCGAAAGAACGTTTCGAGGGGAGATACAGTACCGCTAGCCGTTCCATCGAAAACGTTGAATCTCTAACACGCGAGAAATTAAAAGGTCGTTATATTTTGGCACCGAGGTTCGACAACGTGGAAGTAATAAGTCGACGGTTATGAGTCAACGACACTTCCGTCGTCTGATAAGTTCTCGGTAAGTACCGGAAGCCTCTGGTTGGAACTACGACGGTGATGCATTCGAGTTCGGTTACGCCGAGACAGTTGTTCGGGGTAGTTTCCCGGCGGGTTGCAACTGGAGAGAACCACCCTGATAGTTCCTACAACCTTAATGTAGTTCCCGGTACACCAACGATTCAGTCGCGATGGAGCGTAACAATAAAACTACTATCTTCGTCCATCGTACGCTTACGTATTATTTATCTTTATAGACAGTGTTGTTTCCGTTTCCTTCCGACGAGATAGCGCGATATCTTTCCTCGCAAACAAGATTCTCCCTTGCGATATACACCTGCAAAAATAAGACGACGGTAGAAACTTGGTTATCGAAATCCCAAATTAACGAAACGATCGATCAACGATTTTTTCTCGTACTTGGAATTTTATCGAGCGCATTTACTTTGCTGCGTAAAACAACTGGTATCACGGTATAATTATAACGTGATAGGTTACCGATATAACGTTCAACATCCAATCTGCAAAGAGGCTTTCATATGTTGTAACGAAGGTTCCCGCAAAGGCACCACTTAAAGGATACGGGTCAGACACGCTATTAAAACTTCGATGTGGTTCGTCAAACTCCTGTGGCGAACCCAACAGATGTCCCGGAAGTTTATACCGGAGTGACCTAATTTACTTTAATACATTAATCCGGGTCAAGGTACCTTAATCTCACTATTGACTGGAATTAGGCAACAGAGAGGAGCTGAGCCTTGCTTTGTTCTAATTAAAACTGACCTATCCCAACTCTGATCTACATATTAATTAATCGATGCTCTATAATCGAATGTCTTCTTTTTGCTGAAAATTATACAATAGATAATTACGGTCGTGCGATAATTAAAAATTATCGTAGTTTGTCCAAGGAATTCAAGACCAGATTTCAGTACTTACGAAACATTAAATATCTTCTGTTGTTTGTAAAACTATTTGTCAAATTTATCGAGTTAGAAAATGATAAAAATTAAAATTAAAATATTTCTTTTCATTCGCGTGAGAACAAATGGTTATTAATTATTTTTACGAGTATAACATCGCGAGGATGTAGCACGCAACGCGTTTTCTTGTTGAATATAGGAAACCGTTCGCCACCCCACGATATGAATATTAAACATTGTCTATAAATATCTTTGTTACATATGCATAACCTCTCGCTCGAATCTCGAGACGAGTGTAACATAACCACGACCTTAACCTATGTTCTTATCGTTGAAAATAACCGCGCGTTTGTTTGCAACTTTTTTTTCAACCACGAATGCAAATTCTTAATCAAAAGAACAAAAAATGAATTTGTTTGGGTGGAATATTAACTATCCACCAAATTCGTTTCAAATTCGCGACCAAGTGCTTCGCCATATCTTAACCTAACTTTCGAATTACTTTAAACAATGATTATATTGCACTTACCAGAGGGTGACCGATCCTAGGTGGTTGCAGTAAACTTTCAAGATTGAAATCTCGTTACGTCCGCAAAACCCAACACAGTCTTGTTTCCAACTACAACACAGCACATTGATTTCTTTCACACACGATTCGAATACGTATAAGATAATATTACAATTCATCGTAGGGCTATTCAACACGATATATAAAACACTAACATTGATATCACGTGAAAAATTCAATTAATAAAAACGTTTCTATGAAATACGTATTGAGAAATGCTACTAGAACAAATATCGATCAAGTACTACGTTCTGTCGATGGAAAACGCGCGAAAATCTATTTCACAGCCACCTAGTGGCGGGCACAGGAAGCCTGATTAAAAGATGGCTACCGGAAATTATTTCCGGTCGCATTTCCGGATGCTTCAAATCGAATTTTTACATTACATTTCCCGACTATTCAAGAAACAATATTCTTTCCAGTTCATTCGCGAAAACTATTTTTGTACAAAAACTATATTCGCGAGATAAAAATAAATGTACTTTTTCTTTTGAGAATATTACTGAAGGTCTCGGAATGTACAGCCCCAGAGGCCCATCAAGTCTTAATTGCTGCAGAAGCCATTAAGACTTGTATATACACCCAAATTACGCGTACAAGATGAACCGTATCAGATTTAGAATTTCTCTTACCATCGATCGAAATTCTTAATTGATCCAAAAGCATCCTTTTCCTCGAAACACCCTGTGGCACTCCTAGCTAGGCGGAAAGGGAAACCGGATGTTGGCCTTTTGGAGGGAAAAAGATGGCGGTAACTCGCGCATGCGCCGTAACCGCGTTGCTTAAGTACACACGCGAGCACACGACGCACGATGGTTTCATGCATATAACGTTGCACGTATATTTGGACGATGTACAGGATTTTAGTATGCAGAACAGGCCGCCTTTAATGCTGAAATATCGCCGGGAACACTGCAGCGTCGTCTCCTCATCTTTCCAGCCGGCGAAATTTCATACCCTTTTACGACACCGCTACGCGGTTCAACCGAAATCTGCGCCCCATCGAGCACGCCAACTCGAAACGGTACGTGACGTGAAATATATCGTTGATATTCGCGTTAACCTGTCACGTGATCGTGCGCGCGCGAAAACTGGATATTTTCGAGAACGCCCGCGCGAATCATTTTCCACTCTTTACAGACTCTCATGCGACACTGACTAAAAAAAGTGTTCGACAAAAATTTATTGGTATCGGGAGTACAACGGATGACAATACATACTAATTTCGAAAACAGTTTTATTTCACAGGGAAATCATGATCACGTTGGGAGTCTGGAAAACAGATGAATATCTATGTAGGCACCAAGAAATTGACCGAATGATGCCAGCTGCCAGGCACCGTATTAAAGGTATCCCCGTCTGCATTCCTACTCTTAATCTCCTTTCAGCGGCAGCCAGCTTGTTTTTCCAAGCATCCGCTTCCAGATGCTTTACCGAACTCCCTCGCTTCTTGTTTTCAGCGTTGTTTTGTCTCTTGGCAGTGTGCGCCGATTGATTCACGCCTGAACGAACACCTGCGAATTTCAACCCCCCTTCCATCCATCGACCTTTTCATCCAAACCTCTTTATCTCTCCTACCCCTCCCTGTTTAGTTATTCTAACATTCCTCTGATGATTGACGAGGCTGCATCGACCGTACTCGTATCACTTGTTTCTAGGACAAACTCTACCGCGTTCGAGCACGCTTCGCTTAACATTTCTACCATCAATTAGTCGATAACTTCCACGCAAATGATAAGCCGTAGTCGATGAATGGAAATCAGATTCAATTGTTCTTTATGTAATTGCCGATTCTTTCCCCATCGACGAATACGCGGTTCAATAAATTCTGTAACGATCGAATCGAAATGGAGAAATATGGAGTATCGCTTCTTGGAATATCCTGAGTGTACAACATGTTAAAACATACGTGACGCAAACTCAAAAGAGACTTAAACACAATTAAGTAGCAGAGATCAATCTCTCACCTTTATCTTTATCGATGAAGATTAAACGTATCGGATTATACGTGCACGTGCTATCTTTAATATTAAAATTAGAACGCGTATCTTGTTGTTTAGGCGTGTACGACCGCCACGCAAAGAATAATAACTAAGCTTATAAAATAAATCATGATATTCTCGTAGAAATTTCGTTCGCTGCAAAGGTGTACAGTATAACGTTTTGTAACAAGACTGAGTAATTACTGTTGATAATCGATCGTTACGATTCACGCGATGAAGTATTTAGACAACCTTTTTCCCCCCTGCCGGATGAAAGTCTCTGAAACAAAGTCTATCAAAGAGATGGAGGAGCCCGAAACGGCGATGAAGAGCAGGCCGAAGTTCAGTCGATTTCTTGAAATTTTCATTAAAGAGCAAATCGTTCCTCTCTGCTTCCGCTTACTAAACCTCGGCTGCTTTCTTTTTTCTTTCATTAACGGCACGTCGAGCTACTCTGCAATTTCCTTAGGTAGACAATAAGCACCGTGGAGAAAAAGGAGGACGAAACGAGAACTCGGTGCAGGAGGAGCCGCTACTGCCTTTCATAAAATCCAATTTAAGAACTGCTTCTGATCCCCGTCGTCCGTCCTTATTCCACGGTAATAAAGAACTACCGAGACCTCTTCTTTATACACTCGCAAGTAAACTGCATTTAATATGACAGTTATTACTTTGTATACTCGCATTGATGTTACGGAAGCTTACGATACGTATCGACGAAAAATATCCGCCGTGCAGATATTATAAGAAATTCCGATGAAAACGACTACGCTTCGCGATAGCGTATCGTCGCCGCGTTTCGTCCCGTCATTACGACCAAAATATAAACGTGTAAACGGCAGAGGTGCACGCCACGTTCGAACGATCGTACAACTTTAGAATCGTTGTCGACGCTTTCAATAAATACGCGTTCGCACCTCATTCTTGCACGTTACAGGCATACTGTAGTTAGAGTTAAATTAGTGCTCAGGCACAATGCCAAATGTATATCTAGATAATATCTCTGCCGTGCTATCATCTCTCGCAATTTACCGAAAACAATAAGCACACTCGCAACGCTCGATGATATGCACGTTTACACGAGGAATATTATAAACAGGACATTACTGTTCGCATATTTCTCGCCTGCCGCCTCCGACTCGTATACACGTAAAATTCACATTAACAAAGAGAATCACGCGGCAGCTCAACGATTAATTGCAACAATTTTATTACGCTAGACAGAACGCATACAAAGGAATGAATTATATTTAATCGTAATTGGGAATCTTATTTTACCGGAAATCAATTTATTACACTGAAAGAACGCGTTTAATACTGGATACCGAGTATCTTACGAACGCTTTGAAATTCCCAGTATTTTCCCAAAAAAGGGAGAACGTCACGCGTTCGCTTATAAAGTGCAAGGCTCTACGTCGTTTATGGCGTTCCGATAATCGTTCCATAATTGTGCCTGCTTGAAACACAAGGCTCCGCCGCCTCGAGAATACTGCGTATCCTACAAAGAAAAGAAATCTCCTCAAATTCCTTGAAATCTTTAACTAGTGAAATATTTCAAATATTTATTTACGGCTCTGTTAATATCAGCGACGCAAACCCAATGAACGTCTGTTTTGTTGGTGACTGTTATGGACCACTTGGAATGATCGCGACTGCTCGAGAAATCGACATTGGCTGCCTCCAACACGAGGCTCTTAACGTTGTAAACTCTGTAAAATTAACTCGTGTGAAGAATGAACTGATACGAAAACGCTGAACGGTAAAATGACTGACGTTACTTTCTACGACTGCACGTGGATGGAAGCTTTCCACGGCCGTTCAACCACGACTGCACGTACAGATCTGTCTGCAACTGTGGGGCAACGTAATCGGTGTATAAACCTAAACAAATGAACGTCGTACAATGCAATAAATTCAATCTGGTTCCAATTCGAAGTTAATTACCTTTCTGCCACTTGCTGCCCTTGGCGAACGAAACGAACTCGACCGATCCCAAGGATCTTACGATAGCTTTGTTGTTATACGGGGGCGACCTGATCCGTTTCTGATTGGTCGCGTTCCTTAACAACGGATACGCTTTATCGAGCGTTTCTGGTATATTTTTCGCGTACACTACTATTTCGTTGTACATCAACTGTTCGCCGACAGAATTAAATTGATCCCCCCCGAGGGAAACGCACAAAAAACTCTGCCCGTACAACTTTCCACTTTCTGGATAATCGTATCTGCCCGCGATAGTTACGTTTTCCCTGTTCGAAGGGCGGGTTAACTCGCCGCCATTGGGAACCGGAGGGAAATTTGGCACGCTGTGAATTAACCAGAAACCCTGATCGCTGTTAACCGCCACTACGCCCTTCGAATGGCCATATTTAAAAACGGTCGACGAATCCGGCGGATCGTCGTTGTACAAAGTCCACATACTCTTGTTCTCGTTTTTCTATACGTGGTGCAAGAATTAAAATTTAACGACTGGTCATAAGTACACAACACATTAATTCTATACATATGGAATTATTCGTACAGTAGGGCCTCCGATAGTCGCAGAAAAACAGGATTGAATTTCGACAAAATTAAAAAATTTCAAATCGTTCTAAAAAAATTACTTTTAGTTGCAGGGGTCAATTGCAAGCATTTTTGGTGAATACACATATACCCGAAATCCTGCCCACTTTCGAGAAAAAAATTCGAATAGGTACTGAAACTTTTAGACGAAATTAAAAAATTTTAAATCACACAAAAAAAATTATATTTAGTTACAGGGGTCAATTGCAAGCATTTTTGGTGAATAGACATACCCTCAAAATCCTACCCACTTTCGAGAAAAAAATTCGATAAAGTGTGAAATTTTTCGACAAAATTAAAAAACTTTAAATCACACAAAAAAAATTATATTTAGTTACAGGGGTCAATTGCAAGCATTTTTTGTGAATAGACATACACTCGAAATCCTACCCACTTTCGAGAAAAAAATTCGATAAAGTGTGAAATTTTTCGACAAAATTAAAAAATTTCAAATCACCCAAAAAAAATTATTTTTAGTTGCAGGGGTCCATTACAATCATTTTTGGTAAATACACATACCCTCGAATTCCTACCCACTTTCGAGAAAAAAATTCGATAAAGTGTGAAATTTTTAGACGAAATTAAAAAATTTCAAATCGTACAAAAAAAATTATATTTAGTTACAGGGGTCAATTGCAAGCATTTTTGGTGAATAGACATATCCTCGAATTCCTACCCACTTTCGAGAAAAAAATTCGATAAAGTGTGAAACTTTTCGACAAAATTAAAAAATTTCAAATCGTTCTGAAAAAATTATTTTTAGTTGCATGGGTCCATTACAATCATTTTTGGTGAATAGACATACCCCCGAAATCCTACCCACTTTCTAGAAAAAAATTCAGTATGGGCGGAACTTTGAATGTTACATAACTTTTTAACGAGGCCTCCATCAACAAATTAGTATTCTTGATTTTCGTCTTATTTTAGCCTCTGGAATCTCCCATTAAAATTGTAACTACTTGTTGTTAAATAATCGTTCCAATTGTTAACAAAACGAATCAGTGTTCGTATGCAAGTATCGAAGTCCTACTGTTGTCGAGTAATTGCGATAAATCTATACTAATTAATGGTTTTTGTTCATGCTTACGTCATTGTAAATAGGCGCTAATGTGATCCCAGGGATAGAATTGTTTGAAGCGATAGACCTAGTAGATAAGCGCCACCCGGTTCCGACTGTTGCGCTTGTTACGTACAGATAAGCATTACCGTCTTTGATTAAAGGATTACTACTCATTGGAGTTTTCGGTAACTTATAAATCACGTACCTAAAATGGCATTAGTATTATCGTAGTAGTAGAACCGTTCGATTCGTATTGTCGTCGCTAATGACTTTTAAACCGTTAGAAAAATGGCCCAAAGCCAGTGGTGTAATCACCAACATTAGGGCCAGCATGCTAAATTTATGGTGGGGATCTGAGTCTCGTTCAATATTAAACAAATACAAATACAATTTCATGATCATTATGAACAACAACTTTCGAAACACTTACCAATCAACCGGTGCGTTGTTTTCGTCTTTACATTGCAGTTTATTGTCAGAATCGACGCTTACATTACACACGATTAGGCACGTGATCACATAAAATAGCTTACGCATTGTCGCTATACTAAAATAAAAAAAAGAATATTCTCAACAGCACCCTACTAGAGACATCTTCTTTACGGGTACGAAACAAATGATATAGCCTTTTAGGTGAAGTTAAACGTTATTTGAAAATATTATTCATGAGATGAAATCACCCTGAAACGTTAAAATACCACGATGACGATCACAGTTGAATTACTATCATGCGCGTCATTCAATTCGACACATTATGCACTTGTATGAAAGAAAAACAACAGTAACCTTGAAAGCTCGGTGAAAGAGTGACCTTGACGGAAAAAATATTTTTACAATGTATTAGTTTCTTAACACAAAATTATACAGAAATGTTAACCCGATCGAAATGTTCCGTATTAGAAAACTTAAACGAATTGACATTTACACATTCGATAAGTAATATGAACTGTTTACGAACCGGGCATCGATCAATTATTTAATCTATACGACCACTTTAAACGAATGGTTGAGTTTAACACATTGTGTATGTTTACGTACCGAGATTTATCACAATTAAAACACAACACAACTCTGTTTACGTAATGAAATTACTGTCATCGCGATCGGCCAGCTGCATGGTCACTGAAGTGACTGTAGAATGTAGCAAGATCCGTAAACGAAGCCTGGCATACGTCACACAATTTTAACCATCCTATTGGCTGACCGATTACACCATTCCCTCCTGAATAATGCACACTTCGTATTTCTGATACTAATTAGAAATCCTACAACTTTCAATTCGTTTAATACTTTTTACTTCTGTCTACATAACGACGCCTGATGAATGGATATGCATACCATTGAATATCATTGTTACCTTAATTAATGCGTGCACAATAATAATTGTTGCAATTGTTATGATTCTCTTTGGGAGTACATTTAAATTTATTCGTAATTTACATCGATTTCATTGTTACGTTCTAGCTATTGCACGCAGCAAGATCTTCGTATTCTTTAAATCGATTCTGGATTTACGATGTGCACGACAGATATTTACAACATAAGCACAAGAGTAATTACAAACTTTTCGTTCATTTATTTAATGGAAAATTGTAACTCCCAAAATACCGAATGCAACTTGCATTTACAGGGGCATGCAGCCCCATCTACGACTGTGCATTCGAAACGAAAACTGCAACAAAATTTATGATATGACCGACTGCAGTGAAGTAGCAATATGGCGGTCGTGAGCTACAGTGGGTCGAACGTCATAATATTAGAATGAGAAAAGGAGGCATATCGAGGAAAGGAATAGCGTATTAAAGTTCTAGCTTAACGAAATGCTTTCTTAACAATGACGCTACCAATAGAACATTTTAAGCGACGTTACGGATTCCGTTGAGATATCATTAGCAACCTACACGGAACGCAATAATGAGTTTTTCTATTGCAGAATATATCACAAAATATTCTTAACACTGACAAAAGAACGAACGAACATCTCGCAAATCCTCTGGCGAATGGAGGTATGCGTTTAAAAATATTATTTATATTAGTCATACTTCTTGTAATAATATAATTCTGATAATTTTATCAATTAAAGTTGCATTTCTAGATATGGTTTATCTTCATTTTTTATTTAGTATTAACAATGTATTTAGCTAAATTGTTAATTGTAATAATGATTGTACATTTCTATAGTCTTTCAGTGTAAGGGAACTTGTTTAGAAAGTCTTCGTGGCCTAATGTCTTACAAGTTAAAGGAACCTTTATCTTGAACCTTTAATATTTTGCTCGTTAAGAGGAGCAAAAATGATCAGATCGGAGAGCAGTTCGGATAATGGGGGTGGTTGGCACGAGTGTGCCAAATGGTTAACCAGATGCGGAGCTTTAAGGGCAGATCACAAAGCAAATTGGCCAAAAGCAGTGGCAGTTGATTTAGCATATACATTAAGAGACGGCGTATTGCTATGCAATCTCCTAAATACAGTGGATCCTGGTTGCATAGACATGAAAGATGTGAATCAGAAACCACAAATGGCACAATTTTTGTGCTTAAGGAATATAAAAGTATTTTTATCTGCATGCTCAACCACTTTTGGCCTATCAAATTCTGACTTGTTCGAGCCCTCCATGTTGTTCGATCTATCAAATTTTCATCGTGTACTGTGCACTTTATCTGTTCTGTCAAAATGTTCCCGTTTAAGACGCAGGGGTATTCCGTAAGTAATTTGTTGCGCTATAATTGTTTGATTGCAAGCTTTATTAATTTGAGCTAACAAGAAATTTTTGCTACAGTGGATTTTCTGTAGGACACAGTAGATCGCAAGAAGATATTTATAAGGATTTACAAAGTGCTGGTGCAGGGTAAGCATTTCAATCTCCATAAAATTTGGTGTATTCTAAACCTATTAAGCGTTACAGCAAATTATGGTAGTTATACTACAAACAGATTTACTTAAAGCTAAAAGATTTATAGAGTCGTTATAAAAACTGATGAAGAATAACAGATATCTTTGTTCCTTGCACATTTATAACTTTATGATAACTTCTGTCAATGGGTTTAGCCCCACAACAGGAGTGGTGGCATTTACCATGAAACCTAAGGGTATGGATGTAGATGAGTCCCAAGTATATCAGGAATTACTCTGCTTCTCGAGTAATTCCCATCACGACTGGCCTTCCACAGAGAAGGTATCTGTTGTCAGAAATTTGAAAGTTGAAAATATTTTGTGAGAAATGTACCAAACATCACTGTATTCCATTCTTAACCCTCGCCTGGCGATGCCTGGGTCTCTTCGGACCTCTTGATCATATAGAGCATAAAAAATGTTTAAAAAACGGCTAGAATGTGTATCGAAAAAGAGCTAATACGAGTCCAAACGGATCCAGGATTTATCGTTTCCCATGTGGCCCGTTAAACCATCCAACCGTCGGCTGTCCGAGGGTTAAAAAATATTTTCTAACGTTATACGCGATATAAGTAACATACGCTTACATATATTTATTAAAAATAAAACTCAATACAGTGATAACTGGCACTATTTTAAAGTTAAATTGTTTTTGCTCCAGTTGTATGTGCTAAGCTATGTTTACCGTTAATAGCAAGATCTTCCGTCGCTATAAGTAGTTTAAATTCGCCAGAAATTTTATTTTTTTTCGTGCATGAATAGTGCATGGCTGTTCATATTTTTATGCTAAAGCCGTGAGGATGAAGGCCGCCGCAGAAGGTTTAGAAGGCGCGAAGGGAATGAAGCAGGTGGAGGAGGAGACAATGAAGATCCAGTTGGAGAGGAAGATGGGTACGGAGTATTTTGCAGCCATGCCCAAAGCGAAGAGATCTACCAGGACCTTTGTAGTCTACACTTGCCACCTCCTCCATCTGTTGCACAGGTCGTTATATTTTTGTGTTTCTTGTTACCGCAATCTAAATGGCATTTTATAATCACATTTGTCTTAACAGTACTTGAAATTTTGTAAGTCACGGCGCTAATAATTGGTCTTGTTTCGCCTCATAGTATTTTGTATCTCCACCTCCTGTATTGTAAACGAGTTGTCTTTGTAATTAATTTGGTTCATGTAAAAACAGGACGGTGCAATCTCTGGAGGTGAAAAGAGGGATTATGTGATCCAGGAACTGGTCGAAACAGAACGGAATTATTCGGACGTCCTTAACAGTTTGCTCAGACATTTCGCCAGACCTCTCTCATCGTTACTACGGCCTGAGGATTCAGCACGAATTTTTTTTGGCATAAAAGAACTTGCAGAGATTCATGCTGGCTTTCATAGCCAGCTTCGAAAGGCAAGAGCCGGTGCCGCTTTAGCGCAAGTTTTCCTCGATTGGCGAGAAAAGTTCCTGATCTATGGAGATTATTGCGCAAACCTTACACTTGCGCAAAACACATTGCAAGAAGCTTGCGCGCGAAACGAAGTAGTAAATCAAGAAGTTATTGTACGTATTGCAACATGCGCTCTTAACTTGGTATCATTTATAAATCGACAAATTTCATAGGAACGTTAATTACAGAGGTGCCAACGAGAAGCTAATAATGGTAAATTTAAGCTACGGGACATACTGTCTGTTCCGATGCAAAGAGTATTAAAATATCACTTGTTGCTGGACAAACTAGTAGAAGAAACTCCTTGTGACTGGCTAGAAGACAGACATCATCTTGGAAAAGCTAGAGAAGTTATGGTTGATATAGCTCAATACATTAATGAAGTGAAACGTGATTCCGACACGTTAGACATTATAAAAGATATCCAGGCGTCGATAATTGATTGGGTTGTTCCTGTAGATGCACAGTTAAAAGATTTCGGACGCCTGCTTAGAGACGGAGAGCTTAAGGTATTATTGTTTTAACGAGTGAATCTTTAAATGAAATATTAATACAATATGGTAATTACATTTTAGGTAAAAGCTCACGGTGACCAACGGGTAAAGGCTCGTTACGCGTTTGTTTTTGAGCAAGTGATATTAATTTGTAAAGCATGCAGAGGTGAACAGTACTGTTACCGCGAAACTTTAAGACTAGATGATTATAGATTGGAAGATCATATAGCAAGACGAATAATCGGCAAAGATTCTCGACGGTGCTATCAATGGTTACTTGTTCATAAACAAGAATATACAGCGTACACTTTGTCTGCAAGAACAGAAGAACAAAAGCAAATGTGGATCAAGGCATTACAAGATGCAATGGATAATGTTAATCCTGCCGCATGTCGTAACACGAACCATAAGTTTAAAGTTACTACGTTCGATAGTCCACTGAGCTGTCAGCGATGTGGCAAGTTTTTAAAAGGTCGCATATTCCAGGTAAAGGGGTCATCGATGGGTGTTCGTTAAATATTATAATACAAGTTTACTACCAAATTGTTTATTCGTACAGGGATATCGGTGCGAAGTATGTCGCATTTCCGTGCACAAACAGTGCATTGCACATTCAGGTCGATGCATGCCGGCACCACCCCCGCCACCACCTCCACCGCCGCTACCATGCGAACGGGCTCTTTCAGTGAAATTATGGTTTGTGGGAGAAATGGGTCGAGATACAGCTTCAAATAAATTAGAACCCCGCGAAGATGGTACATACATGCTGCGAGTACGGCCTGCCGGACAACCGCGTTTGAAACACGAAACTAATTATGCTCTTAGTATCAAGTAAGATCCCCTCGTACAACATATCTTTTTAATTGAGATATTTTTTTCAAGTGTTCGTCTTGAAAACAGAAAAATTAATTATCATTGTAGGGCAGACGGAGCAGTAAAACATATAAGAGTATTTAAACGCGACGTCGATGGAGCCGATTTATTTTATCTCAGTGAATCTCGTTTCTTTAAAAGTGTAGTCGAGCTCGTCGAATATTACGAACGAGCTTCGTTGTCGGAAAATTTTGAGAAATTAGATCAACGTTTATTATGGCCGTATAAACGTGTATTAGCTAAGGCATTGTTCGATTTTCGTGGAGGAGAACGCAATCAACTGAGCTTGCGACGTGGCTGTAGAGTCGTAGTGTTGAGTAAAGAAGGTGATGCCAAAGGATGGTGGAAAGGAAAAATAGGCGATCAAGTAGGATTTTTTCCAAAAGAGTACGTCGAGGAAGAATAAATATAAATTATATTACTTACAATACTTGCTCGATGTGGTGGCACGACGATCAAGAATATTTTACACATTAATCACATCATCGTGCAATCATAACACTTTATTAAAACGCCTCTTAATGAAGAATAGAAGAAAAAATAAATTATATAACACATTTTTACATTGTATAAAATATAGATAAATTAATTTTCATACATCAGCATCATTATAAAAATAGAAAGTACATATGCGTGTACGTGAACCCGAACGTATAAAAATAAATGTGTTTAGCGAGTTGTATAGACGAAAAAAATTATAATTATTTTTCGGTACGATACGGCAATACCACTAAGTTTTTAAAAACATAAATCATAACGATCCAAGTTGTCTAATCTTGTATATTCAAATCACGTGAAAAAGTTACATTGCCAAATGTATATACTTTTAGACAACTTTTTTCTTTATGACTATTTTAAAGTCAATTGCCAAGCCTCAATTGTATATATTGTAATTCTGTATTGTTAACGATAAAAATTTTAGCTATTTCCTAAATATAAAAATACACAAATATATGAATATCGCTACACGCATTACTGTAACAAATTAATTGTACTATTTTTTTTAACTGTTACGCGTATTTTCTGATTGTGCCAATGAGAATAATCAATAAAATTTAGACCTTATTAAAATGTTAACACAACAAGGTATTCCTTACACAATCCTACAATTCTTGTTTTATTGATATCTTCCTTTGGGCATATATAATAGAAGCTACTTTTTGCTCTAATCTTTTACAACCAGCTGTTGCATAAAGATTATGCGGTGGAGGTCCAAAAATCACATAAGACAATCCTTCCTCCATCATAGCATTAGTAGGAACGGTATCTCTGTTTAAAAAAGCTTTTTTTAAACACTTCTTCACATGTACCTCTTCCAGTGGTAAGAAAGGCACATAATGATCTATAAGGCTAGTATCTATAGTTTCGCTATGATAAAGGCCACCTTTTTCATTAAAGGCTCCAACGCTTATTAAATTCTCAAAATCATGAAGTTTAGTTGTATGCCTGTGTTTCCCTTCTCCCCATAAAGTTAATAAACGTTTTATTATTCGAGAACTGCCGGTATTAGACAAAAATATATAAACTGCTTTCCTTGTGTTTAACGAATTGCCCATTAATTTCCATGATTTGAACCATGTTGTATAATCCAGAAATGGTACAAGAACATTCAATAGACCTTCTGGCATTTTATCCACTTCATCAAATACAAACAATGATCTTTCACATTTTATTAAACTGTTAATAATAGTTTTACGTAATTCTTCCTACAAGACATAAAGTAATATGACAAAAATAATGTAAATTTAAGGAAGTAAAAATAAATCATTATGTACATGCGTTCATTGATTTGAAATTTAAAGGCTGCTTGATAATTATGTACCTTGTAATGCTCTAGATCTCTTTCCAAAGGAAAATCATTACGACCATTGAAAAGATGATAAAACTGACTACGATCCCCATTTTTATAAAAGGACTTAGCAATCATTTGAGTCACGTAAGTTTTACCAGTTCCTGGAGGGCCATGAAAACTCATAGCTAAAGCTTTTGGAGGATTAGATGAACTTAGGTGGCCACGTAAGGCATTTACAACTATATGACGAGCAATTTCTTGCCCATATAATTCTTTGCTAAGAATATCATCTAACTCTACAAAAAAGATATATATGTAGAATTAATGTAGTTAATTATGCACATATACAAAGAGTATTTTCAATAAATGTATCTACAATGTGACATTTTTCTTGTTAACATACTTACTATTCATATCAGGAGAAACATATTCATCGGAACAACATTCCATAAATCGACACGGTACATACGAAATTACAGTATAAAATTTAGAAACAATAGTTTTTAACGTTTCTGACGAGAATAATTCACATTTTACACAATTCGTTTGAAAACTAACAAGGATCCCGAACCACAAGAAACCGCCAAAATTCATTTTCTATTATTTGATTATCGTAAAAGAACTGTATTTGATAAAACTGAGACATCAGTTGCCAAAATCTGAAATCAAACGTCGACAACTCTGTACTGCAGTACGAATTTATGAAAAAGAACATTCAATTATATTCATTTCATAATATAAAGCTATCGTATTCAATTTAAACACCAATAATCAACCTGCATCAATCTTAGATATACACGTAAATTGAGCTTTCTTATTGGTCTGCTTTTGAAATGTATAATTCTTAACTATCAATTCGAAAATATATAAAATAATCACAAATATATAGCTAATTTATATATTTAATATGTATAACTTTAAGTAAATCGTCTTGCCGCATTTACAAAAATTGAATTTTACTATTAATCAAGATCAATCGCAACAGTGAAATAAATTTCGTCTACTTTAAGAGATTCCAGATATTATTACGAGAAACCATATTAGTGGCGAATATTACTATTATAAATGCGCGTAACATTCGCACCATTTACTAATCGATTCGCTAATTTCAGTCTGTAGCACTGTGGCCAGATCGGGCATAATTGAGTGCATCGACGTCGACGTTAGTAACGACGAACTTCCTTAGCGTTTAACGGAGTGGCGGGGAAAGTCGACATAAATGAAAAATTGACACGTAAATACACGTTTCAAGACCCCCTGATCATGTTTGACATAAAACAATACTTTGGAAATAAATCGTTTGAATATAGTTTATCAAGTAAGACTTTCGAAATTATTTTCTAATTGTTCTATTATTTCAAATAATAATTTTTTGATTTTATAGCAAAGAATGTTTATTTAATATCAATTCAATAAATTCAATTTGTATTTGTATATTTTTCGCCTATATAGGTAAATATACCATGTTCAGTTTTATTGCATAAGTTGTTCCATAACAGAGATGTAAAGTCTCTGAGTTGTTAAATATAAAAGTTGTTCAGTTTAGTTGTTCCCACAAATGAGATTTTCTTGGTCTTTAAAAAGACCGGTTTGTCCCTTGGCCGCTGCTCGTGAACCATCTTCTTGGCCATCTTCGATTTTGATCGAATGGAAATCTTCAATTAAATTCTTCATCTCGATACGGTCCGTCTTGCTTGGCGGTTGGGGGATAACTACCCCGCGAGGGCCACAGGGGTCTCTTATAAACTTTGTTAAGCAAGTGTCGCCCCCAGCGGACTGGTTGCTGATTGGCGGGCGATTTCTTTATCCGACTGCATAAAAGTGACCACAGCTGACCAACTCTTTTCAGTACTCCTGGAACCGTCAGGGGTACTGTCACGCGTATTTTCTTTGGTATACACATAACTAATATTAATATAACTAATCTTCTTCACCAAAATACGCGTTGTTTGCATTTTGAAACATTAAAAGTTATAATGTTTTAAAGATACAGAAATGTTCGCTTGAAATTTCATACGTATGTGCCTATACATATAACTCGATACGTAAAAATAGGCCTGGGCAGTCGAGATTCGAAATTGTATGCTGCGAAGACGGACTTCAGCTGTTCGAGATCAAGAAGGAAAAGGTCTTATTCACGTTCTTTATCGATTTTTCAAAGTTGCGTGAAGCGCTGACCACGCGTAACATGTGGCTCGTGCGGTAGGATATGTCGACTTTCCCCACCACTCCGTTAAACGCTAAGGAAGTTCGTCGTTACTAACGTCGACGTCGATGCACTCAATTATGCCCGATCTGGCCACACTGGTCTGTGCTGTAGTTGCAGATAGCCGATAAGATATTGAACAAAGTTTTGTGAATGTTAGTACTTTCTGATTGAAGGTCAATTGAACTAACGCGAAACTAGCACAAATAATAGACGATCGTTTGTACTTAATACTTTATTCATTTCTTTCAGTAGTATCTACATAATATTCGAATGCTTTTTACAAACTATTATCTTTTTTAAGAAGAAAAAATATGGCGTCCGAGAACACTTCTACTGACACCACTTCTACCAAATTCTACACGAAGGCAGAAGTTGCTGAGCACACAAATAGCAGTAGTAGTCCGTGGATAGTTATTGACAATAATGTTTACGATGTAACTTCATTTTTAAAAGAGGTAGAATATTATTATCATTTTATAACTAATATCTTGTACTTAGTATATCTTAACCAAGTTATTTTGTTGATTAAAAGTTGTATGAAAATGATCGTTTTTGTATCTGAATTTAAGCATCCAGATAGGAAAGAAATTCGTTTGCATCGTACTGGTCGTGATAGTACAGAAGCTTTTGAAGATATTGGGCTGTACAGCGATGACAGGCTAATGTTGGTCCAATATAAAATCGGAGAAATTGTCAAGGTAGGTGTAAAATTTAATACTAATCATTTGTAAATAATGCTTGTTACAATGATTATGGTATTATCTATGAAAAGGAAATGTTAGTTTTCACAAAATATAAATTATTTGCCCATCTTAGGAAGCAGAACCAGAAAAAATCACAGAATCAGATGCAATGTCCAAAGAAAATAATGCTAAGTAAATATGCTTCTTTTAAAATTATTTTTTATATTGATTAATGACTTTTAAGACAAGTCACGATAAATAACTTAACGTAACAAAATAAACAAGTTATACAGATAATATTTGAGTACTTTCTTAAAAACTATCATTTGTTTTGAGAAGAAAAAACATGGAGTCTGAGAGCACTGCTACCGATACTACCAAATTCTACACGACTGCAGAAGTTGCTGAGCACACAGATACCAGTAGTTTGTGGATTATCATTAACAATAGTGTTTACGATTTAACAACGTTTTTAGACAAGGTAGATATCATTATCTGTTTATAACTAATATCTTGTACTTAGTCTATTTTAGCTAACATGGTTGTTCTTGTATCTGAACTTAGCATCCAGGTGGGCCAGCAATTCTTGTGGACCATGCTGGTCGTGATAGTACAGAAGCTTTTGAAGATATCGGGCACTCCAGCGATGCCAGGTTAATGATGGTCCAATATAAAATCGGAGAAATTGTCAAGGTAGGTGTAAAATTTAATACTAATCATTTGTAAATAATGCTTGTTACAATGATTATGGTATTATCTATGAAAAGGAAATGTTAGTTTTCACAAAATATAAATTATTTGCCCATCTTAGGAAGCAGAACCAGAAAAAACCACAGAATCAGATGCAATGTCCAAAGAAAATAATGCTAAGTAAATATGCTTCTTTTAAAATTATTTTTTATATTGATTAATGACTTTTAAGACAAGTCACGATAAATAACTTAACGTAACAAAATAAACAAGTTATACAGATAATATTTGAGTACTTTCTTAAAAACTATCATTTGTTTCGAGAAGAAAAAACATGGAGTCTGAGAGCACTGCTACCGATACTACCAAATTCTACACGACTGCAGAAGTTGCTGAGCACACAGATACCAGTAGTTTGTGGATTATCATTAACAATAGTGTTTACGATTTAACAACGTTTTTAGACAAGGTAGATATCATTATCTGTTTATAACTAATATATTGTACTTAGTCTATTTTAGCTAACATGGTTGTTCTTGTATCTGAACTTAGCATCCAGGTGGGCCAGCAATTCTTGTGGACCATGCTGGTCGTGATAGTACAGAAGCTTTTGAAGATATTGGGCACTCCAGCGATGCCAGGTTAATGATGGTCCAATATAAAATCGGAGAAATTGTCAAGGTAGGTGTAAAATTTAATACTAATCATTTGTAAATAATGCTTGTTACAATGATTATGGTATTATCTATGAAAAGGAAATGTTAGTTTTCACAAAATATAAATTATTTGCCCATGTTAGGAAGCAGAACCAGAAAAAACCACAGAATCAGATGCAATGTCCAAAGAAAATAATGCTAAGTAAATATGCTTTTAAAATTATTTTTTATATTGATTAATGAGTTTTAAGACAAGTCACGATAAATAACTTAACGTAACAAAATAAACAAGTTATACAGATAATATTTGAGTACTTCGTAAAAACTATCATTTGTTTTGAGAAGAAAAAACATGGAGTCTGAGAGCACTGCTACCGATACTACCAAATTCTACACGACTGCAGAAGTTGCTGAGCACACAGATACCAGTAGTTTGTGGATTATCATTAACAATAGTGTTTACGATTTAACTACGTTTTTAGACAAGGTAGATATCATTATCTGTTTATAACTAATATCTTGTACTTAGTCTATTTTAGCTAACATAGTCGTTCTTGTATCTGAACTTAGCATCCAGGTGGGCCAGCAATTCTTGTGGACCAAGCTGGCCGTGATAGTACAGAAGCTTTTGAAGATATCGGACACTCCAGCGATGCCAGACTAATGATGGTCCCATACAAAATAGGAGAAATTCTCAAAGTAATTATTAATAATGATTATGATATTACCTATGAAAAGGAAATGTTAGTCTTTACAAAATAGAAATTATTTATTCATTTTAGGAAGATGAACCAGAGAAAACTGCCAAATCAGATGAAGAAAATAATTCTAGGTAAATATGTTTCTTTTATAAATTATTTTTTATGTTGACTAATGTTGTTGTTTGAGTATAACGTGAGGCTTTTAAATCAAGTCACAATAAATAACTTATTTAGTTTTAAGGATAGAAAAAATTTGTTTGATTTTCATGTCACCCATGAAATTCATCATTTATCTGAAACATTTTTTCTATTGTAAAAAGTAAACAAGTTACCCAGATGACCTGTTTTAAATGCTTCATCTTGTATATTATTGATAAATTTAGACGTTACAAGTACATCATAATCTGTATCCATATCGTATTCATCATTTCACATTTTCATGTTACTATTTATTGGATAGCACAATTGAAGGTGTAACTTTTGTCTATTACAAAAACATGCTTATTATAATTACAACAATATGCTTATGTGTTTTGTATTTGTACATAGCAGCAAGGTGTACCATATTTGTGAGTTAAGTTTGTGCTATCCAGAACTGTGACATTATAAAAATGTAAAATATGTAATATGTAAATAGTCGATGCTGCATCGTGTTGTGATGATTAGCAATTGCAGTGGTTCTTGGAGGTCGTGGCTGATTCCTATTGCCCTTGGAATTCTGGCGACTCTTGTCTACCGTTATTTTATCAAAGCACACTGAATCATTCCTAATATATACATTTTTTGTAATTTGTATTATACATAAACAATTGTTATCAGTGATTAATAGAAGAATATTATGTATATGCACATTATTACAATATTTTTACGACATAAAATTGCACATACAAACTGGCCTATCATAAGGAAAACATATGACATGAAAGTTCATTTATTATTATGAAACTAAACAAATTTATGTATAAATAAATACATACATACAGATTCATGTACATGTAGTATGCCAATAATATACACAATATATTCATTATGAATATAAGAATAAATCAATTTAACTTATATCATTGCATTGGTCTTCTTTGGGAACAAAGGAACAGAGTTTACTCTTACATTCGGTAAAGAAAAATGAACACATAAATGATGCACACATTACAAAATATTAATTGAAAAACTGTAATAATGATTTAAATAGTAAATGAACATACACTGAAAAAGTGGGAAATTTTTACTTTTTCAACGTATCGCAGATAATTGCATTTTACAGATGAAATCTATTGAATATTTATTGTAAATTTATGTTTATAATAAAAATAAACTACTTTTTGTTATGTTTGATGTGTTGTACACAATAATTTGCACATAACGCACCTATTAATGCGGGAAGAAACCAAACTTCCAATCCATTTTTCTATCCGCCGTTTGTCGAGTCCTAAGATCCTATTACTATTTTAGTATCACGTACAGCGAGGAATATTTTTAATTCCATATTCTCTAGCTAGTTCCACGTAGCAGTTGAAACGGTTCCAAAAATAACTGTTTCAAACTGTTATATATCGGTTTTAAATTAAAACAGTTGTAAGAACTAAAAAAATGTTGTAACTATTACAGATATATCGGTTCTAGTCTATATTGATTTCGACTACGGTTCTTTATATAATATCGGTTCTATAACTGTTATTTTTCAGTTCTATCTATATACATTCTTATATCGATTTCAATATCCCTTAATTTTTATTGAATCCGTGAAAATATTAACACATTGTCGGGAGTCAAGAGTTTGATAACAACGACAAAAATATTATAGCACTTATAAGAGTTGAAATCGAATCTATAACAGTTATAATATTTTTTCAGTTCTCATAAACGATCAATTTTGTGAGTGAGCTAATCAAATGCAGCGAACTGCAGCGGGTTGACGATGGTGCAACGCGCATATGCGTGTGCCGTATTTTGACTCTACCCGTGAGTCCAGAAGCTGTTTTCTCAGAAACCAATGAAGATGTCGGCTTCATTTTTTTTTCAGAATCAAACAAAAAATGGTTCAAGTAAATATTCAGTTTGATAAGAGCTAAACGAATAACAGAAAACTAATGCCATATTTCATTTTAAAAAATCTAGGGGACCCTATCTTCTGCCTGACAATCGCCTTGAAAGAATTTGTTACGCCCCGATTGCTACATTTCTGGGTGCACCACTGGTCGCACATAGGAGTACACGGACCAGGAAATGCACAGCAGCAAACGGATTCAAGATACGCGCAAGTGCATAGGCGGTCGAACACGCGTCGACGCGGATCCAACCCTCTACAGAGTATAGAAATGATAGAGAGAGGCCGATAGATGAGGGTGTATCGAGGTAGCCGAAGGTGGTGGCTCGGTAGTCGACTCTAGACAGCCGGTAGTTGCGGTCAACTGCGGTGAATCTAGTACATTAAAAAATTACGGATAATTGCGGTCGGTTGCAAAAGATCGTGTAGCGAGCTCCTCTCAGCAATGGAGTTGCGCGAAGTGAATCGCATATTCGACAATGCGGAAGAGACCACGGAACTTCTACCGCCGTCCCATCGCGATAACGCGGAAGTGGAAAGTTACTTCATCGAGTATGCTATTCAGAAGGAAATGATAAATCGTAATCGATGCCCCGCCAGTCGTCGTTTGCTTAGCCAAACCGCGCACTTGGCGGATTTCAATCTTGCCAATGGTAATAATCAAAAGGTGGTGTATCGCGTCCATCCCTTCCACCTAACCCTTTCTATGATCTTCACGCGTAATGCTAACAGACCGAATAAAACGCATCGAATCTGGCCAATTTCACCGATGCACCTAATACGACGATTCGTTAATCTGGTTTGGAATCGACACGAAACTTGCGTTGCATTGCCGAACGGAGAGACAGAGTAAAACGCTACACTTATCGTCGTTTTCGGTAACCCGTTTATTCTCCGTAAAAACGAGTCAATTTTCGCTTCGAATCGTGTTCGATCTGTACGTTCTTTAAAATCGCGTCTTGCGAAGCCGCATTGAAATCGAACGATATTTCTACCTCGCACGTAAATGTTCGCGCAATCTGTCTTTAAATCGTGTGAAATGCATCCGGCGTGCGACGTGCAGAAATTACACGCTGCTATCTCTCCGCGCGTTTGGATCGGCGGGACTGATGACGATCTGAAAAAAAAAAAAAAAAAAACAGAAATGAAAAATTCTTAAACCAACGATGTTTGCTTTTTTTGCATTTTAGGATTCGCCATGCGTTGGTATCAGTATGATACATACTTCGAACGCAAATTGGCCTCCTTCTAGAAAGAGAGAAGAGGCGAAAGCATTGGAAAACCTTCGAAAAAGAGTGGAACAATCGAAATTGTATAAAGCGAATCGAATTTCAGATACCTGCGGATCGACCTCTGCCTCTATGGTCTTGAATAACGATCGAGCCGAGCGGCTCGATAATCGGCCGAAGCTCTTAAAAAAGGTGAGAGAACGAAACCGTGGACGATGATCTAGGTCCCCGATGCGTAGGACGATGTTCGAGGACGAAACGCGGGTGCCTAGATGTTTAGCTGCTTATTAAAGAAACGGTACGTTTTTACTGGTCCTGCTCTATTTTTTGTACCGATACCACGTAGATCCTGAGTAACAGACCGATGAGTATCGCGCATGACAGTAACGATCTGGAGACTGACTGGCGGGACAGCGAATTTATTACCGAATGTTTGTGCTGGCATAATGTGTATCGACAGAGGCACAACGCGCCCCCGTTAACAATGTCCCCGCAAGTAAGTATAACAGCATTTTCAAAAACTATAAAATCCTACACGTGTACAGTGCGTGGGACAAATTGTATCGTGGAGCAAGTCGAGACATACTCCGACGCAGACACGAATATTCGAATGATTTTTTTTAATCGATATTATAGATAGATATGCAACCGATATAAGTACAATATCGTATGAAAAAGAATCCTGATTTTTGCATAAAATTTTATAACGCAACGCGAATCATAATTCCAGAGCCCAATATGGATCACTGCAGGTTGACCGTGAACTGTTGACATCTTGCACTCAAGGGTACTGCCGTTTTCGTTCCCTACAGTTTTCACGAAATCGTTATATTTGTTCCATGCATTATACCTATCATTGCAACGTGCATACATATACATAATGCGAATGCATAGCGCGCGTACGGAGCTACGGATAAAATACTTTGTACGCGGTATGCTCGATAACAGACGATACAAACGGCAATATAATACCTAATGAACTTTCAACGTCAGTTATTTCGGAAACAAAGCCTCGCGCGATAAAACTTTGTTCTATATTTTCGATTCATTTCACGCCTGTAGCAGCTTGACATTTAGAAACTTTCGAGACAGTAACCGATCGTAACTATTCGATGATACGATTTCAATGAAATTCATGGCCGCTAGTATCGAAATTGCAGGAATTAAATATGTATCACCTGCGTTAATCGATTTTCATCTGTATTTACAGTTATGCGAGTATGCACAAACATGGGCCAATCACTTAGCGCATACGAACACATTCTACTACAGAAACGATCGAGAAGTAGGGCAAAATCTTTATTGTCGGCCCGGAGGTGCAGTTCCTACCGATGTAACTGGACAAGACGTCGCGTCGTATTGGTATTCGGCGGTGAAACAGTACGATTTTTTAAAAGAACCGGATATCCTTCATGCCAACGTGAACGCAGGTATCCGACCGGCGGCACTGTAAAAGAAAGATATACGAAATGTGCACGTTTTTATCTCACCCCGACGTTTCATCCCCTGGAGAATCAATGCTAGAACCGTTATAGAACCGAAAAATAATTATAGAGTCGGCACAGAACTGCCACGGTTAAAGAACCAATATTGGAATCGTAACGGGAATCGATATGCTCAGTTTTTTCGGTTCTCTATTTTAGTTATTCCCAGGGGTGAATCCGTCACGAAGATAATGAAGCTTCAGTTTCGGGTCCTTGCATAGAAAGGGCATCCTAAAACTTTTTATTTATTAATTTTTGTTGATTCAACAAAAGAAACTTTTCTTTTAAAACACCCTGCATAACAGTTCTTACCTAATGCACTTCCCGTTGTAGGTCACTTCACGCAACTAATTTGGGCGAGCAGTCGTTACTTCGGGGTTGGAAAAGCTCGCAGCAGAAGCGGAAAAATAATCGTGGTGGCCAATTATCGGCCGGTAGGTAATATATCTGGACATTTTCAGAGTAACGTGTTACCACCCTTGCCGGAAAATCTGAATATGACTTTGTCGCCGCCGTCTCAGTCGTCTCAGAAAATCTTCCGCGACAATTACGTTGCGTCTGACTCGCCGCCGCCAGCGTCGCCCTCCGCGCCGCTTTCGGATACCGCATCGACGGACAGCGATCGTTCTTCCATCGGTTCCGCGCAATAATACAGACGACCGAATTGCCTCTTCTGCGTTTGCACGCGCGGATGGGACGGACGTTGATCGATATCAATCAGTACGTTTGCACCGTTCAAATTTATTCTAAAGTTCGAACGTCGACGTCCCTTTAAGAACGTTCACTCTTGCCCTGTAAAAGAAACTGATCGGTTACGCGAACCGAGTTGAGAGCTTTGAATCGAAACATCTCGAGAACAATCATTTTTAACGAAATTGTTAAACGCGACAGTTTTAAGGGGGAACTATACCAAAGTTAAACCAAAGTTGAACTCTTTCAAAGTTATTCGAGCTTGAACGTTTTAACTTTGGCGTAAATTCGGGCCGTGCGAACGTAGTCAATATTACCGTCTTCCTCGCATCCAGCCACCTGTTTTTCATCCCGAATTTCCTCACCTTCTCTCTACCCCCACCTTTCCTTGTGCGTACATTAACATATTCGAAACCGATGACTTACTCTATAAATGGTGCAACATCATGCACGATTAGCCGATGACGCATCACGTTAGTCAGATAAGCGAGTATGTCGGTTTTGAATGTGTTGATCGAGAATACGTAAACTTCACTGAATATGGCTACGAAAACCAGGCCTAAGGGGGGAATCTAATTTTCGTGAGGATTCGAAGAACTGAGAGAAAGAAATACGCTTACAAAGTATACATAAATACATATACATAAATATAAATATATACGGGTGAATAAGTATATATAATCGTTTCTTCGTATATATGTATATTTATTACTTGTTTAATCGAGCGACGTGAGAACGTGGGAAAGGAAGAGAGAGAACCTTGAAAATCTCGATTTAAAACTCGCGTGCAAATATCGTAGAGCAGGCATTATGCGTTGCGTGGGTCCTAATACTTTTTTATCGATAATTCTCACGCGTAACGCGCGTATTCTAAAAGACCTCGATTCGTGACAAATAAAGTGTGATAAAAATCGCTAAGAACGATTAACGCGGACGTTACAGTTTTACACACGTTGTGTACGAACCGCGAAAAGTTCAGAATGTGTTGTAAGTCGCGCAAGCAATGAACGAAAATGTTTTCCTTGACCAACGACGAATGCAGTCGTCGAGGAAAGAAATCAGAAATCTTTGTACTTGCGTGTATTATTCGCTTTTAATGATTTGTGTAAGGACGGGAGATTAAAAGACCAGTCCTGGATCGAGGGGAATGCGGACAGTGTCGAGTAATGTTTGCTTAATCACAAGCCTTCGGAGTTGACTGAAACATCTGACCCAATTCGTCTCGCAATTCCTTTCATGACTAACTTTTCAATCTCCCGTCTATACGTAGTAGTGAACTGCGTGTCGAAAAGAGTACAAACTGCATGCAGTAATAGTCAAGTTCCATGTAATACTGCATACACGCGAGTAGTCTTCTCTCGAAGCAAAAATGTTTTATTCAGGCATCGATCTTTTCCCGTCACAGTAATATTATGCAATTGTATGTTTGTATACGCGTGTTGCAGTGCTCTAAAAATTCCTGATACTTTTATACGCCTTTGCGTTTTTGGAGCTTTCACTTTCAAACACATATCGTGCGTTTGAATAAACGTTAGTGTTGCTGTTTCGGGCAAAGATCGATCAATCTTTTCGTTGAAAAAATCAGTATATTGCTTTGAAACCTCGAATAGAACGGGCGCTGGAAAGAGATCACAAATATTTTCGTACGATCCAGCTGTTTGATCCGATGTTTTAATAATGCCCAGATTTGGCTACTGATAGTTAGTCAGGTTTTCCAAATGCGTCGGTGAATACAATTTGTCAAAGTACTTCCACTCTTTCCACGTCCGGCGTGAAACGTCGTTTGCTACGTTTTATGCTTAAATAGTGTTAACACAAATACGTAACGAACCGCTCAAAATTTGATACAATTTATCGCGAGAATGTTTGTTTTCTTGCTTCGTAGTTTAAAAGTAACGCAAATAAGGTCGTCATTATTTGTCGCGCTTCTACGATGAAATTAACGTCGACGTCTCATCCTTTCAAGATGAGATCAACTCGATCGCGATCGAATTTGGTGATTCGAATACGAAGAACGGTATGCTATCTTACGAGATGGGTAAAAGATAGGCTTTAAGAACTTCCAATCGAACGGCTTAACGAGTATACTAACAACGAGTGCAATCAAACGAAAATAAGTAAAATGGTCGCTAGGCGAGTCTAGCGTCTTCCGATCGTTGTACCTCTAAATATACTGCCAGTAATCGGATTTTGGTGAGCGGACATTCGTCCGTCGGTCAGAGATTCTCTACTTGTTGTTGGTTGTATTGTTCTTTTACATGTAATTATATAGGTGTATGTTCTGTAAGTCTTCCGAACTCCGATACGATTCCATAATCGCAAAGAAGTCTGACAAAAATGTTAAAAAGTGTTAAATTCATCGTTCGCTTAACTCTTAGCGGCGCAAAAATTTGAATCTCTTGCAAGGTGATAAAATAAGTAATGATCGATGTTATCTGCAGTACTCGAATGGACATTTTTTAGGTGGCCACCGGAGATGAGCAAAATTCTTATCTAGTGATAAACAAGTGTTAATCCGTTACTCGTTAACTAATAATTAAAATTTCAATTATATAACGAAATACTCCGCAATGAACAAATACAAATTTCACTGTTAAATTGCTCTACGTTAGTCTTTATGGTTAAAGGAAAAATTTTGCCCATTTCTATGAGTCGCACAAAACTAGCCACCGTGTTGTAAAGAGTTATGCTAGGTCTACGCATTCGGTATTTGCAGTATGCCGAATGCGTAGAGTCAGCATCAGACTAAATTCGAATCGCCGATAATAAACAACGAGATGAGAAATTATTGTCGACGTGTGCGTGAAAGTATTCAAATTGCGTGAAACATTATTATTTCATAATCAAAGTGGCTACGATCTCGATAGGTAGAGCGCGTGAATGAAAGAAAATTTTTTACCAAATAAATACTAGACTCGCACGAGTTACTTGACCGACGATGACGATGTTCGGCAACGACGATGGCCTCTAAATGGAAAACAAATATTTTCTACGTTTTTCTTGTAATTAAATATATTGGCGAAAAGGTACGACTTTTATGGATCGAATCGATATAAATTCGTGCGTGCTTGAACGGAGACTATCGTTTGTTATTTATCGTACGCGATAAACAATATTGTTAACTCGAGGGATACTCGGCGAAATCGTACGAATATAACGTACACAGCTGTGCCCTTACGACAGCGTTATCGCGTTATCGTTACAACGCGAAATGCATTTGTTATACGAATATAATTTGTTATTTATCGATGTAGTTCTGTAAACACGATGTTACTACTGCAATCGAAAAAATTGTTCGAATTTAGGCTGACCGCTTCTTTGTATGTATGTGTATATATATATACTCGTTGTATATTATATACTTGAGTATACGAGAAGAACAAACGTAATACTCTGTTTATGGGAGTAATGCTGGCAAACGGAAGAAAACCCTCGAGTTTTTCGACGGTGCTTTAATAATTATGATGGTAACGGCGAAGCCATCCGGAAGTATGTACTGCGTTGTTTTCCTCGAAATTGTTTACGTAGTTAGCACAAAGTTGCCAAAAGTAGCGATATCATTTGGCCTTATGTCACTGAGCTCCATAGCTGAGCGAACAATCAAAACCGCAGCACGTGTCGCTTATACGAACGAGTTGGACTTACGATTAGACGTAAATTTTGAGCTATTCGAGCGTCAAAATAAACTTAGATAATTTTGAATTATACACGCTTATAGTCACCGGTTACTTTGAGAAGAATATACTTTTTACCAAAGCGTGAGGCTCAATTTTCTGATGTATTTTTTCAGATAGTACCTTCCTTTTTCCTAAATATGTTTCACGGTTTTGTAAATGGTCAAGTAATTGTTATCGTAAATGGTGGATCCCCTAATAGCATGGCTTACAATATTCCTTAGTAGTAGTAGGGAGTATAAGACGTAGTAGAAAAAATGTGGTAGGGGAACACAAAGTTCACAGAAGAGTGAAAAACCAGGAGCTTGAAAAGAGCGGGAAGATCGCAATTAGGTTTTTTCTAGCAATCCTGTCTTTCACTCTTCTCGCCGAACGAACAGTTTATCTAACGATGAGTCTCAATGTATTCGCAAGTATAAGAGTGTTTAGATAGTTTATAATAACGTAAAATGAATGAAGAATCTTTATGCATCCCTTGAGCTTTCCATTCTGATTTCTGAAAGCTATGGAATGCAATAGTGAAACAAGTGTCGACAAGCTTATTGTTTTGGCCACTAGTCGAATATTCTTTATAATTTATCTAACGCCATCTAGCGTTTTATCACTGTGGTAACTACAAGTTTATTGAGAAAGGTGGGGATGTATTTGCGTGGTCGTGCCGTCAGCCGTATTCCCCTCAAACGAAACGTATTAATATCTCTGATTGTTCACACGAAAAAGTGACTGAGTATTTTTGACGAGGAAGACAGACTTTTTTTGTTTAGTTGGACTGTATACATGTACGCGTGACGACCGATATCCTTCATCTATCCTTCTCAACTGTTTTGTGTTATTCATCGTCGTTCTTTATTTACTTCTAATGCGTTGTTTTACAATAAGTAAGCGTAGACACGCATGTGGATAAAGTTCACTATAAATATGTAGAGATTCAAAATTGCGCAGGTGTTATCTGTGTGTATTAAGTCAGAGCAAGTTGAAGGAGTGAAGGTACTACGTGATACGTAAAAGAAACGTTTACACGACATTCGTAAAGGTGTATAGGTAAATTGCTGTCGAGGAGGACTGAGTTTCGAACAAAGTCGAACAGTTCCGAAAATGGCGGCCAAGAGTGGAGGTAACGACGAATGGTCATCAATAATGAAACCAATATTAGCGGTTTCGCAGGGATCGTTTGACAAGACTGAGATAATCGAATTGGCAAAGAGTATTGTGAAAAGGTAAGAATAATATCGCTTGTCGAAAAGACATTTTTTCGCGGAAATTTTGATGTTTCCAAGAAACGTACATTCATCAGTGACAGCCCTGAAACGAACGATCATTAATTTAAACGGTTTCTCGATTGATTTTGCTTTACGTTCTCATTGCATTTTTAGTGAAAATAAATTTGTCTCCCACGAGGAACAATACGAAACATTTTATACGGCCGTAGCAGCCCTTTCGGCGGATTACCTGAGCGGTTGCGCTAGTACCTGTAAGTTTAATTTTTTCGCACCTGCTGCACAATACCATTCTTCGATTATTTGATGCGGTCTTTGATTTCATTCTTTGTGTGTTACAGTTTCTAAAAATCAAGTATCGATAGTTTGTCAAGCGTGCAGAGTCTTACTGCGTCGTCTCGTAGAAAAATTGTCTCAGCATAGAGTACAACTGGGCGATGGCACTCCTACTGTATTCAGTACAAAACAATTGTTGCTTCCAATTCGTGCTCTTTGCATTGGACAATCTTTCCTTTCATCTGCTGAAGAAGTAGCTTTAATAGCTACTATAAAAAATTCTAAAATACCTTCTTATATTAAATTACCACCATCCGGAAATGAAAAAGATGCTTCCCAGTCCTCTAAAGATTCTGTACGAATTCGGGGGGATTTATCCAGTGGTATTCTAGAACAATTGACTATGCCCCTACAAGACTTTACATTATCTATGCCTCTCATTGTTGACAACTCTAACGACGGATCCAGTAAAACTACAAACGACGGCACTAGTAATGAAGTTTGCTTCGACACAAAGGTTAGTGTATAAATATCATTTTGCCTAGAATATTGTATTACTATTAGCAACGTAAAGAATAATTTTGTTGAATATACTGTTTTATTTTACAGACTACGTTTGTTGCAAATAATATAAATATCCTTAGAAATATGGGTGCCGGTGACACCCTCTTGGATATGTGTTTGAACCTATCTTATTTATCGCGATATACTCGCAAATATCACGCATATTTGAACAAGAAGGGTTTCAGTTTACCAGGAAATGCTTCGGAAGCACACACTGTACGTCATAGTCTGCATTCTGTGGCAAGCGATATTAACGTTGTGCACAATGTAATGTCCTTACCTTTATTGGAACCCTTAACGCCGACAAAATTGGAAAAGTTGTCCGCATTGACCATGTCTTGCCTGTATTGTTCGATCGTGTATGCAACCGCGTCCAGTATCGTTGGTATAACGAATGCCGTGTCGCCGAAATGTAGTACAAATGCTTCTGCCGGAACTCAAACCAGTCAGAGCGTCAAAAATACAGAAGAGGAATACGATGCCTTAGCTATTACAGTCGTCGAGAGGAGTTTGGAAATATTTGGACTAGTTTCGAACGTGATTAAAAACAGCACGCGAGCAGGCGGTCATGTAAGAAACTTTACGCAAAGACTGTGTTTCGCTGATTTTCGTACGAGTAATTTACTAATTATACGTAACAGATTTTGCAAAATCATTTGCTCATTGGAGTATGGCTGTTAGTAGCTGGCTTGCAAGCTCAACTCTCGGTGAGCAGTGTCAGCGCGGCGGATAAAGGAAAAGAAGAAAAAGGAAAATCGCCGAGCAAAGCACGCGATGGAACGGCTCGTGTCAATCTCATGAAAGTGTAAGACATTTGCTTCCTCGCGATATATTATATTTTGAGTTTGCATCTTCTATTGTGGTGTTAGCAGTCGATTAGAACGAGAAGAAAATTTTTATATATTTGGATTTCAGCCAGCAAGGTTTCGGTGTATTGTCTGTAGCCTTAGCTTCTCACGCCCTCACGTTAATGAGTGCTCTTTTAGAAGATGTATCGGTCGAAGCAGTTACCGATTATACAGTTCCTCCTGATCCGGCACCTTTAGATATATTGGCCACTGCTAGTGCGCTTCAGAGAGCTGTGACTTTCCTCCAAGCTGTACCGCTTAATCATCTCTTGTTTTACTTGGCTACGATCAGTTATAGAAAGGTCAATAGCAATTCGCAAATTTCATTGATCGTTTTGTAACGAGCTTTCGTTTTCTAATTCCTTTATAAATACATTGCAGGCCTGTACCTTGAAAAGAGTGCAAAAACATCCTTTTGAGGGTGATGCTTTAAGTCAATCTGATTCCACGACGTATTACGAAGATCTGCTGAGCTGTTCGGATAACTCTATCGACGAAGGTAAGATATTTATGCTTGTACGTATTATGCAAAATAGAAACACTGTCTTTTACTTTTATGATTGGCATTGTGTTTTAACGAGATGATTAATAGAATAAACGCGTCTTCTCGCTATACAGAAAAAACTGTTCTGTCGATAGAGGAGGACAGCGAACCTATATTGGGTTTATGGTTCGAAGAAACTATCGCTCCGTCTGATGGGTCACCCGCAAACGGTGCAAAAGAACCTAGCAACGAAACCAGCGTCGAACGTACAATGACCACTATCGTTCCTGATAATCGCGAACCTCACGGCGTAAGAAACCTTTGTTTTTTTCGTGCCTTCTATCCTTTCCTTCTACATTTACGAATGTAGAAATGAGAATATAATAGAACAGTTGGATTCTTCTTTTATTACAGTACATTTCGTTGGCCACTAAAATTTTTCAATTTATGAATCAACATTTAATCGGCAGCAGAAGTTCGTACGTGCGTGAATACGTGGTAAATGGCCTGGTCGAACAACAAATGGTCATATTAGCAGCGATAATCAGAGATTTAGATCACGAGACAGCTAGAACGGAAACCGGTAATTCTGAATTCATCTAAAAATTTATCGATGGTTACGCGAATGATCGATAATATCATTGTCTTGTATTCGCTGTGTTTTAGGTACCATCTCGGTATTCTACGGTGCTACGTTGGGCACAATGTATTCCGAGTTCTCTCAAGCCTTGAGTCGTTACACTCACAATTTACTGGCTCGAAATACATTGAGCGAAAGTTTACAAAACACGCTTCTTCATCACTTAGGAGTAAATCCTTGGTCCGGTACCGAAGGCACAACCCCTTGCACGTGGCCGCTCCAGGTGTACCCGAGGACCTTGAGCGTGTTAGCGCAAGTGTGTATTATTTTAGAGTATTCGTTTTTTTTAATTTCTTTTTTCGCTGTTACTGATGCGCAGCGTTATTGTCGGTAGGTACTTTTATTGAAACCTCAATCGGAAAAAGAAGCCGCTTGCATAAGTATATGGCATCGTTTAGTAACGACTATGGTAGAAAATGTATGCAATCCACCTTCCACGTTCGAAGCGGAAAATGAAGGTATAAACATAATTCTGTAACATTTCTTTCTCTTTACGACCTCTGGATTAAGTTCTCATAGAGAAATTTTTTATAGACTTAAACGTGGAACACGCTCAATTAGTTTTGATACTATTCCACTCTCTGAATTTGATGCAAAAGAAATCGGTACTGCTTGTGACCGGTAGCGGTGCGGTACGTTGTAGCGAAGCAGTCAAAACTCCAATGAAGGATTCCCAGTTACTGCACTTATCGCGTTTGTTATTATTGCTCGAATATATGATGAAACACCTATATGACGCGCCTCCTGCGTTACTCGAACAAGTAAGCGAATTATATAATTTATTCGTTGATCGTCACTATCATGATAGAAAGCATTTGATGTTATTTCCCGTTCACTTCATTACACCATGTTTATTCACATTATTCTTTACATCGTCACATTTTTCCTTTTTTTTTTTACACGTTATTCTAAATATTATACCGAATAACATGAAAATATCAAATGCAAAAGCAATGTTGAGTTCGTGCATGAACGAGACACAAGATAACAGGGCCACCGAATCGACAGGCACGTTTGAGTGGTAGTAAGAGTCTTGTACATTTTTCCCCGCCGTATGATTCCAAATTTTCATATTCTCAACGCGCGAGAAACAATTTACTGACAATATTTTGGATAATTACGGCATGCAGGTTCAATGGAATCTATTTTCGGCTACCAGTTTGGTTTGCGACGCGAAAGACGGCAACAAACAAACTGCTCGTGTTTTTACACCGTGGACGGACATCGAGGACAACTATCGTAAATTCGGCACGCAAGACGAGTTTTCAATGAAGCCCAGATTCTACAATCTTTCTACCACGGATTTCAATAATCAAGATACTCGAAAGTTGGATGGATTGGTTGGTATCGCGTTTGAATTCTCTGGAAATGAATTCGTCTCGGTTCTAGAATGTTTTTCGCGGATACAATCAGCGGAATCACCTACTTTACAGGCATGCAATTTCATTCTGGGCGCGCCGGATAAGATGAAATACCCGCTGTTGGTCGACGCGTTAATAGACATTTTGAACGTGTTGAATCAAACGGATATGCAGAAGAAAGTGGGGACCGACGGCAAAGACAAAACGCCCACATTTACAGGCCTGTGCGCTATTCGATACTGCTTTTCCATATGTTGGCGGTATGTATCGTATTGATAAGGACTATCGAAGAAATAATTATCAAATTGATTCGTCCATTCAGGTTTATTTGTAAAATCTATTCACAGACTATTGTTAATGTTACCGCCCTCTACACCTTATATGGATAAATTGGCTCTCGGTGAAGAAATCCCTGCTGGGCCGATGCTACTTCATTCCCTGATTTGGGGGCCCAGAGCCGCGTACAAAACTTTCACCAGCTGGATGAAGGTAAACACCATCGATTACGATCGTAGCATTGACAGATCTTTTTAAACGTATTACATTTATGTAAAATCTTTATTGTTCTGCAGGACTGCTTGGTCAGGCAGGGAATGTATACCCAATACGCGGAGAATCTTCTGAAAACGGTATCGTCCACCGTCAATTCCGTCAAGTACGACGTTACAGTTGCCAAAAATTGTATTACTGCCTTAAAACCGGACATGAGTTTCAGCGACAAAGTAATGCCAAAAAGTGCTTTGCCAAAGCTCAGTTCTTTGTGCATTTTGGCTGCGGTTGTTGGAAAGTTACAAGTCCTTTTCGACGAAAGTATATCGAAGAGTCAGAACGAGAATATTGAAAATTCGAAGTAAGTTGAATCGATCGACGTAACAGTCATTAATCGAGAATAAGATTTGCCCAGCCCCGACGATACACTAAGCAATCGTAAACGTTTTTAGGAGCTCGCAGAGTTCGGAATCCGGTGGCACGAATGCGACCAAAATGATCGTCAGTATTCTTCCTCGTGTTCTCTCGCTGACCGAGTCCATTTTAGCCTCGTGTCGATCGAGTATACTTCACGAAATGCTCGAATCCTTCGAACAAGATACCAAATACGGTGTACGAGATTTCTCGATACTCGAGGACGTTGTTGCTATGGCAGGCGCGAATTGGGCGACCGAAGCATCTCTGATCACATTTTTACCAAACTCCGTAAAGTCGATCCTCGATAAATGGAAATCCATCGGTGTTGCTCATATTCCTTGGGTGAGTATAAACATTACAGCTTTTTGTTTATTTCTTTTTATTTTTCTTAAATTTCTTACGCTTTTTAATCTCTTACTTTAACATTAGAACACATATGCGAACGACATCATACCAGCGGAAAGTTACATTTTGGCAACTGTGAACCATCACGTGAGTTCGCTGTCCGAATATCCGACGTTCTCCATTAATCCATCCTTGAAGAATTTACTGCACAGCTTGGTCGCTTTTATGGTGGAGTATGTCACGTAAGTTGCAATCCCGTGTCTGTCCTTCGTTCGTTCATGTTCCTTCGTTGCGTATCAACTAAGTGTAAGATAGGGTTTCTCGTTAGTCCAGCCACAGCGCCGGAAAATTCGGACGTGCGTTCGCAAGCATTGGACATTCTCGTCGCATTGTCTATGGATGCTCGCACGGACTATCTTCGAGATATGGCGAGCAAAACCTTGACAAAACTGCTGGGAGACAACGACAATGAAACGCTACAACTGCGAGAACATCTCTATATTTTACGTCACACGTACAATTTGATAATCGAGTATACGAACGATGTCCAAGATCCTGTGAAGTGAGTATTTGTAGGCTACAGTTTCTAGAAGAGAAACATAATTCTATATAAAAGTATAAGAATGTCTGATGTAACAATTTCACGGTTATACATTTCAGCATAACCGTGGATGAGAAGATCTTAAAACGGTCTATCAAATACTGGGAACAACTACTGGACAAGCCAGTCGGATGCAAGGCCTTGGACTTATTTTTCGCGCCAAATACCGACAGATCTCTTGTTTCCATTTTATTGTGCGTAACGTCCCCGCAAACATCTCGCCAATTTTCCACTCACGTTTTACGCTTTTTCAACATGCTATTTGAAACAGGTATAGTACATTCACAACAATTTTTTTAGAGATACAAATAATTAAATGATATTGTATCTTTTGTATATAGCGGAAAAAGGAAGCGATGCGTCGCTGGAACGTCTTTGCGGATCTGTAACGAATCTGACGCACGTGGAAACGGAAAAATTACAAACCTGGTTGAAACAAGTCATTTTAGGAGCAACGAGTATTTCACCGAGCGCATCATCTACAAACGTGCAAACACCCACGATAGTAACAGCGAATGCGTAAGTATACGTCTACGTAGTGAATATTTTTCTCTGGATATCTAGTCTGATTACATTTTACTCGACTCTGGATATAACTAATGAAAAGTGTGGAACGATAGGTTGGTTGCCGTTGCTGGTACGACTGAAGATACGCAGAAATTGGACGACGTTAATAATGCACCAAACAATGAACAAGTTCAATGGGCAATTTTGTTGTCGGACGGTTCCGTAAGTAACAACCAGTCTGCAAGTATCACCGACGATCAACAGCAGCAGCAACAGCAACAGCAGCAGCAGCAACTTCAACAACAACATTCGATGCACGAAAATAGTCGACTTTTGCGAGCTCTCACGAATTATATAGTTAAAGAAAAAAGGTAAAGCTTTTCTACTTTCTTCAAACACTCTGCATATTGTGCGATGTTGTTTTTCATGTAATTTCTTATTTCACAAATATCGTATAGCGGTGTGGACGAAGGTGTACCAGTTACGATTTTACAAGCCCTCATACCATTAGCTTATCACATTCTCTCTCCCGCGATCGAGGGTAACGGTTTCCCTGAATTGATGAACGTTATGTCCACTTTGGCCGACGCCGGTTCCGAGAAAGGACACACTTTGCTATTCAAAGCCGCGATCGAATGGATCGAGCTATGGTAACGTTTCAGTGTCCCTGTGACACCATATTTTTTTAACTTTCATTTTGAACAATTAAACGAGATGTATTCGTTCTTGTATAGCAAGGAACAATTGACGAGCAAATATCTTCAGAATTTGGACAAACCGTTGGCATTCGTCGAAGCTGGTTGCTGCATATTGAACTACATAGCGGATGTAATAAGCGCGGTGTGTCCTCGATCCATCCATTCTCAAGATCGAGCGACTAGTCCCCCTTGGGAAGGTACTACACCGATCAACGACGTAAACGATAGCGATTGGGTCGATGAAATTCCGCACGAAGACGAAGACAGCGCCGCTGAGGACTCCGACGAGGACAATCTTTGCAATAAACTTTGCACCTTCCTCGTTACTCACAAGGAGTTCATGAATCAACATTGGTATCACTGTCACACCTGCCATATGGTGGACGGTGTCGGTGTTTGTACGGTGTGTGCTCGCGTATGTCATCGCGAGCACGACGTCACTTACGCGAAATACGGAAACTTCTTTTGCGACTGCGGTGCCAAAGAAGATGGATCTTGTCAAGCCTTGATCAAACGCAGCCTCCAAGCATCGGAACACCAGAATAATGTCGGTGGTGTCACCGGGACTGGAAGCACGAGCGCGTCGGCCAGCGGTTCGACCGGTGGCATCGGTTCAAGCTATAGCAACGCACACGGAACATCTCTTGAGAACCGAGATCTGCTGCTCGCGAGCAGCTTGCGTCGACGAACTTCCAGCCCCTTGTACTTTTACGACAAACAGGAGAGACAAGGACGCGAGAAACAGAGACACACGCATTTGGCGAAACAACTGGAGGGATCGAAAGACTGGATACACAGTTATCTTTGGAAAAGTGGTTTGGTATCGTCGTTGGTGGATCTAACGCGTCCGCTGGTACCCGCCGTGGACGCATCTTGCAGAAAGAATTCGGCAGTCGGTTGTCACGCGCGTGCGCAAGCCGCGCTTAAACGATTACACACGATCGATAAGAAATTCGAGTATACCGATCAACTGATGCTTCCTACATTGGGCTCGCAAGAGGGTGCGTTCGAAAATGTACGAATGAATTATTCGGGAGATCAGGGACAAACCATCAGACAGTTATTATCCGCTCACATGATTCACCGTGTTGCGATGTGTTGCCTGTCATCGCCGCACGGCAAAAGACAACACCTGGCGGTCTCGCACGAGAAAGGAAAAATAACGGTGCTGCAATTAAGCGCGTTGCTAAAACAGGCCGATTCGTCCAAACGAAAATTGACTTTAACAAGACTCGCTTCTGCACCGGTACCATTTGTCGTGCTATCGGTAACCGGTAACCATTGGAACGAAGACTTCCTGGCAGTCTGTGGTTTCAAAGATTGCCACGTGTTAACTTTCAATACCTCGGGAACAGTATCCGATCATTTGGTGTTGTACCCTCAGCTGGAAAGCGGTAATTTCATCATAAAAGCAATATGGCTGCCTGGATCTCAAACTCGTTTGGCATTGGTCACCGCAGACTTTGTGAAAATCTATGACCTTGGGAAAGACCCGCTTTTCCCTCAATATTATTTCCTCCTGCCGATCGGGAAGATCAGGGACTGTACGTTCATGTGCGCGGAGGATGGTAATTTTTATCTACTGATTATGTCCTCGTCCGGGTATATTTACGGCCAAAGGATGGACGAGGAAAGTTTGGCGGTACACGGATCTTTCTACGTGACCAATACTCTGAAAGTGTATCACCCGGAAATAAAGGATAACGGCCAGGTTGGCGGCGACGGTGTGTCGATTTATTATTCGCACGTTTTGCAATTGCTCTTCTTCAGTTACGCGTGCGGTAAAAGTTTCATCGCGCCTCTGAAGAACATGGATCTCGATGTGACGGTCGTGTTTCAAATCAACCTCGCCGGCAATAAAAGTTTCAACGGAAACAAATCTAACAACAATCAACCGCAACCGCTGTGTCAATGGAGCGAAGTACCGAATCATCCTGGACTGATCTGCTCGGTATTACAGACAAGCAATAACCCTGTGATATTGATGATCAAGCCTGATACGATAATGATTCAGGAAATTAAAGTTATTCCCGCCAAGGCTAAAATAATGGATATGGTCGCGATAAGGCATCCAAGCTCGAACGCCGAGCACCGGACTACCTTGATACTGTTGTGCGAGGACGGAAGTCTGAGAATTTATATGGCGGGGATGGAGCAAACCGAATACTGGATGTCACCCACGGTTCAACCAATAGGCACGATGGCCGTGGTCAAACCCACGCGAAAGAAGAAAGCAACGAAAACTGGAAAACCGTCCGGTTCCGTTGTATTCCCTATCGACTTTTTCGAGCATTGTCAAGTGATGAACGATGTTGAATTCGGTGGCAATGATTTGCTACAAATTTACAATGTCGCGCAAATCAAACATAGGCTGAACACCCCTGGAATGTACGTTGTTTCCATAAAAGCAATGGGATTCAACGTCGAAGTTACCAACAATGACCCTGTTCTTGTTATAACGGGTATCAGAGTATTGCTCGGAAGTCAGGATGTTAAAAGAGCTCCGGTTAACCTCAAGGTATCTATAACAAACGAATGTTGCCTTTGAATTTCCTTTATTTACGCAAAATTATGTTATTGTTTGCTCGTTTCTGTCGCACGGTATCTCAGGTATTCGGCAGAACTATTTATACAACGGTCTTGAACAAAAGTCGCTGGTTTGATGTTCCCTTGACTCGAGAAGAGAGTCTTCAAGCTGACAAGAAGTTAACTATCATTTTCGGGCCCTCCCAAGATCACGAGGGTATCGTTATGGTGGATTCTATTAAGATGTACGTATCACCATTGCACGATATTAATATCTCTATGTTTTAATACCCTGACGTGTAAAAATTTTTATGTCTTCGCGCATTCAGATACGGTAAAACGAAAGATGCCTTTGGTTGGCCCGAAGAAATAGAAGATACACCAGTGACTGGTCAATCGACATCTGCACCAGTAACAACGATAAATAGCGATACAGACAATGCTCTCGCTACGCCTGCTCCACTGTCCTCTGTCGATAGGTATGTAAAGAATAATGATTAAAACGTATTCAAATTCTGTCTTGAAATATAGTAAATTCGTTTATCGTGTAAAACGAAATCTTTTATCGTTGCACAATGCTTTAGCTCCACGAAGGACAATTCCCTTAATATCGAAAGGTAAGAAGAACTTGAATACGATTAGGTTTTGATAATTTGGAGCGATAGGAGACATCTAATAATTTACTATACGAACGATAATCGTACTATTCGAAGTGTTGTTTTATATCGTAGAATGATCGCAGGCATCCTGGAAGTTCTAGAATTGTCGTTCAGTGTATCGTCGAACGATGAAAATAAACAGCCGTTGAAAAGCACGGCTATCGAAAAGGCATCGAGATTACTGATACTACCGACTCCGCCATCGGTACAGATGCATACAACTGCGCTCCTGGCATCTCTGCATCAATCCAAACAGGGATATCATCTTCACAATGTAAGCTAACTGTACTATATTTTGTAAAAAGAATAAAACGGTCTCCTGATTAAAAAAAAGTAAAACAACTATGTTTCTAGGACCACGTACTGTTATCACACGTACTGTCGTCTTTAAAATCGATGAGAGAGATAACCGATCCACGAGATATAGACGCGGAAAACTTTTACAGACTGGTGCTTATCGTTCGAAGCATTTCCGTTTCGCGACCGCAAAATCTTGCCAACTTTACCGAACAGTACACGAATAAACTGATAGATGAGGCCGATGGTAAGACGAATAGCTTTTCGTTTTTTGAAACACTCTTTTTAACAGCCTGTATTTATTGTTTGATATTTAGTACCAATTTTGGAAAAAGATCGACTAAATGCTGCTAATCAGACGCGTGAAAATGCGGACGAAAGTCACCAACAGCATCTGGTCATGCAACTTATGGAAGTGTTGTGGTCCTTGCATATGGCTTATCCGAAAAACATGGCTCTTGCGCCGGTAGTTGTTCCGGGTCTAACCCATGCCGAGGGAACGATTCACGCAATGGTGGAAATAATTCACGCATTCGCAACCTGCGACGTTGAGAAGAACGTTCCTTTAGCCGCGAAACTGTACCTTCAAATGCTGCTTTCGTCGGACACGACGATCAGTTTCGGCGCTAAACAGGCAATAATTCGTGTGCTCAGGCCAAGGTGTAAAAGAAGGAGGGTTTATATACCGAGTCCCCCTAACTGTAGCACTCCAGGTAAGAAAAATTATCAACGGCGACGATCGATTGGTTTAAATTTTTCGAGATGGTTAATCGCGTTTTATGTTTGAACGTGTAGGTGCAATCGTGGACTCGGAAGAAAAGTCAACATCGTCGGAGCAACTGCATCGGGATATCACAACGGCGGCAACATCGGCCACATCGACGATAGATCAAGAGATGGAACGAATACCTGACATCGAACCAATCAGGCTGGAGATCGATTCACTGGATGTTATGCTCGCGACAAACAGCAATCAAGGTTCCAGCAGTGGTTCAATGACCGGTGCAGCAACGTCGTCCATCGCTACGACCAGCAGCAATTGTACCGGTGGCTCCAGTTCCGTCACCGATAGCAGCAGCGGACCATCGACAAGAGGAACAGTAAACTCGTTGGAAACATTACTAGGTGCTGGAAATTTCCCGCAAATACTGGACGTACCGCCTGATACCGATGACGAGGCAATGGTGGAACTAGCGATCGCGCTGAGTTTGGAAGATCACGAGGGAGGGGGTGGCGCTGAATTGCAAGCACTGCGGCAAGGATTCCAACAAAGCTTGTCGAACTTGCAAGGACTGGAGAGCCTTCAGAATTTGACTGGACCGGCGTTACAGAGCTTGCAAGCGTTAGCGGCCCAAGGATTGGTTCAAGTTCAGCGAACCAATCAGGTAAACGTACTAATTTTTCTGCTGGATGCGCTACTGTTGAATGAAATCTTATCGAGATGTACATAATGTTTGCGTTTACGCGGAATCGTTCAGGGTCAGGAAGGCGGGGGACATTATTCGGATACGACTGCATCCGCCGGTGGGTCGGACGACGAGGGATCGACTGCTGCTACCGACGGGAGCACGCTGAGGACGTCCCCGGCGGAACAAGTGAGTTTGCTCCACTCCTAGCTTTCCCGACTCGTACTCGAGGCTGTTTGGCGATTACTTTCACTACTCTCTGCTCTTGTTGCTATTTACTCAGAATAAGAGAAAAAAAACAGCGAGAGAAGGGGAAAGGGAGAACCATGAAAAATTGTATCAGGTCGTAGTAACGTTATGGGACACATTTTATGTTAGGGTCGTAGTGGTGGTAGCAAGGGTAGCGAGAGCAGTGGAAGCGAGAGCGGAGGAAGTGCCGTAGACAGCATGATGGGGGAACATAATGTATCGGGAAGGAGCTCCGTGTACGGAGACAACGTTCCCGATTCTGTACCTCCGATCGGAGGAAATGGAGTCAGTCAAGTGCCACGTTCGGAAACTAATTCCGTGGGTCTTCACGCGACTTTAACCGTAAGTGTTATCGTCATCGTCATCGTCATCGTCATCGTCATCGTCATCGTCGTTGCCATCGTTGCCATCGTTGTCGTCCGCCGTTACCGTTGCCGCATCGTTACTTGCTTACCTTCTTCTTACCTTGATGACGGTAGACTGTCGATACTCGGTACGGCGCGTAACTATAGTTATGCATCGTATCGTATTGCACCAATTTGCGCACAGAAGTTCTTGGTCGAAATTGTTTTTGACTTTTTTCTATCTCGACCTCCGACTCCCCTTTCCGCTCATAATGTTCCAATTTATTAAAAACTAATTCCTATAAAATGAGTAAAATTTAATTCCTAAAGCAATTAAAATTTTACATGTACACTGTCGCTCATAAATATTAGGACAGTTGGCTGAAACGTTGTTAATCTTTGGATTGTTATAACTCCAATAATCTTCAATATTGCGGACGTAGACAATGGGTACCCAGGCTTCGATCAATGCAAAAGATAATAGTACTGCTTGGTATTTATATACATATGTAAACCGAAATTTTCCTTCTCACGGATCGTCTGTCTCTTCTAAACATATTCAACACTAATTACAACTGTTGCTCTTAACGTACGCCACATATTAGTGATATTTATCGATTTGTATCAAGTTGTGTCCAAGTCTCATATCTAACAAGAAGCGCATCACTTGTACAATTACCCGAAACTGACTTAAGTAAGTTGCTATATTTGTTTCATCATCTATAATTGTAAACGTCTAAAACGAAAGTTCACCAGAGGTGATCCATACCGTGTACTCTCCATATTTTCTTCTTTCCTCTCATTGTATTTTTTTTAGTGAAACTAAATTGTACAAAAGCTAAATCATTCTGTTAGGTCGCCGAACAAGAAGAGAACACGGAACAGGAACGCGCTGCTGAGCAAGAGAATGATACGACGAGCTGCGAAGTCACCGCGAAACTACACACCGTGCGACTGTTACTGCTCGACAAGCTCATGCAGTTTGTGCCAAATCTGATGAACGTACCCGGAGTTTTGGCCGTTCCACTGTTGCAGGTATGTTTTTATTTTTTTACAAAATGTTCTTTTTAACATTTTTCTCCTTTACCTTAATATTCATTTCAGGTTCTGTTAATGTTAACGTCAGACTTGGACGGGCAAGAGGAGAAAGACAGAGCTTGCGTCGAACGATTGCTTCAAATATTGGTGAAAGAATTGGAAATAGATAAACCAGACACGACTAATATATGTCAACGTACTAACAAGAGAGAGGTTCATTTGGTCATCATGCGTTTACTGAGTGAGTGTCGAGTTTAATAATGCGACAAACACGCGTAGACAATATTGTTTCAATGTTATTCTTATTTTTTTTGTTTCTTTTTTTTTGTTTTTTCTTTGTTTAGGCGTATTAATGTCCCGTTTGAAACACACTGCTAAGACTCAAACAGAGAATTCAAATTTCGTTTCTCAAACGGTAGCTACGATACTTGGTAAAGCAGGAATAATCGACTATTGTTTGACGTTGTTGAAAGCGTTATTGGAGTATTGGAAAACGTAAGTTCGCCTCATGCGTGTCTGTATTACAGATAGAATATTATGCTAACTCGTACTACATCTCATAGGACATTGACTGAAGAAACAGGAACTGCCCTCGGCGGTCAGCTGCTCAAGGAACACTTTTCAACTTCTCCGCCGGATATGTCACCATTCTTTTTGCGGCAGTACGTTAAAGGGCATGCCGGTGACGTGTTCGAACCGTATCCACAGTTACTGACGGAAATAGTACTACGGTTGCCATACCAAGTACACAAATATTCCGAAAGTGCAGCAGCCCAACCTGCTTTCGAACAACCGTGGTATTTCTATCTTTGCGAATATATGATGTCTTATCAAACACCGGTCGTTAGACGTCACGTGCGCAAGTTACTTCTCTTCATTTGTGGTAATAAAGAAAAGTACAGACAGCTGCGCGATTTACACGCTTTGATCTCGCACGCTCAGGTAAAGTTGTTGCTGTCGTATTGCATATAAATGGAGAAGAACTTTTGTTGAAATATAGTACATTAAATAAATAAATTTTCATTTGTTAGTCGGTGCAACAGTGCTGCGCCACTGGCGGGTTTGAGCCCCATCAAACGCGTCCACACTCCATCAACCTACCGTATGATTCGTTGGTAGAATTGATCGAACATTTAAAATGCTGCGTCGAAATTGCTACTAGCCGTACTGGAAATTGGCAGCGGTTCTGCTTGAAGCAGAACACTGTGTTATCCTATTTGTTTACTATATCAACGCTTTTGGACGAAGGCGTCAGTCCTACGGTGCTACAGCTTTTACAATGCGCTATATGTTCGAGCAATAAGTCGAAGGATACAAAGGATACCAAAACCAAGGTAAGTCTCTTTTGGTAAACTGCAGTGCAGCGATAGTCACCGATTCGCTTACTTTCCGTGTAGGAATCAAAATCCGCAACTATAGGAGCGACAAAGGAGAGACGAGAACGCGAAAAGTCCGAAGATTCTGATACGGAAGCCAAATTCGAGGAAACTCAATGCTTAGCGTTAGTTGAACAAATTCAGAAACAAGTGTCGCCAAGCTTGTTGACAAAATTCATTCAAGCTTTCTTACTTGAAACCAACAACACCAATGTCCGTTGGCAAGCACACTCTCTTGTACTGGCTATTTACAAGTAAGCAACTTTGCAAATAACACTGCTCAACATGAATGTTAATTTGGAACTTTATTAAGAGCATCTTGTGCCAAATCTGTCTCTTTGTAGGAATTGTGGCCCGGCTGATCAAGAAGTTCTACTGGACTTGATGTGGCGACTATGGCCCCTGTTACCTGCTTACGGTCGAAAGGCTGCACAATTCGTAGATTTACTCGGTTACTTTTCTTTAAAGACACCTCACGCTGGTAAAAAGATGCACTCTTACATGGAACAAGCAGTCCTGGTATTACGCGCGCAAAATCAGTTGCTCGCGCGTCATCCGAACGCTAATCTGTATGCGAATCTCGCGCAATTCGTCGAATTGGACGGCTATTATTTAGAGAGCGAGCCTTGCTTGGTCTGCAGTAATCCCGAAGTTCCGATGTCGACGATCAAGCTTTCTTCGATCAAGGTTGATTCCAAGTTTACGACGACCACGCAAATCGTGAAATTAGTTGGAAGTCATACGATCGGTCGAATCACGCTGCGGATAGGCGATCTAAAGAAGACGAAAATGGTGCGCACGATCAATATATATTACAACAATCGATCGGTTCAGGCGGTGGTCGAATTGAAAAACAGACCCGCCATGTGGCACAAAGCGAAGAAGATTACGCTGGCTCAAGGTCAAATTGAGATCAAAATGGAGTTCCCCCTTCCGATCGTCGCTTGCAATCTGATGATCGAATACGCGGATTTCTACGAGAACATTCAAGCGTCTTCCGAGACTCTGCAATGTCCACGGTGTTCCGCGAGCGTGCCTGCGAATCCAGGCGTTTGCGCCAATTGCGGAGAAAACGTGTTCCAGTGTCACAAATGTCGAGCGATTAATTACGACGAGAAAGATCCGTTCCTCTGTCACGCATGTGGCTTCTGTAAATACGCGAAATTCGACTACACGCTCACCGGAAGACCGTGTTGCGCCGTCGATCCGATTGAGAGCGACGACGATCGAAAGAAAACGGTGGCAACGATCAATGCATTGCTCGAGAAGGCTGACAGAGTGTACAAAACTCTTATTTCGAACAAGCCAACGTTAGAGATGTTACTGGTTCAAATATCGGAGCATCGCGTGTTGGAGGACGGCACCGGTACCGCCGCCATTCAAGTGTCGAGCGGAAGCACGCAAGTCAACAGAGCTATACAACTCTTGGCTCAGAGATACTGTGGCGAATGTAAAACATCTTTCGAAGAACTGAGCAAGATTATACAGAGAGTTTTAGCCTGTCGACGAGAGCTCGTGGCTTACGATCGCCAACAGCGAGGTCAGACCGTCGCCGTCGGTTCTGCATCAACGGACACAGCCACGCCTACCGTCGCCACGGAAGAATCGTCGCAAGAGGCGACACAACCAATCGAGATCGTAGCTGCCGCGACACCGCAAACGGTTGGCCGTTGCTACGGCTGTGCAACCGCTGCTACGGAACACTGTCTGACTCTGCTACGCTCCCTTGCTACCAACCAAATCGCCAAAGAAGTTCTGTGCAAACAGGGACTGATTCAAGAACTGGTCGAACACAATTTACGTAAAGGTACGGTACAGATGCAGGAGGAGGTCAGACAGTTGCTCTGCCTTGTTACCAAAGACAATTCGCAATCTACCAAAGAACTTTGCTCTCTGTTGACTGGACGTATCACTTTGACGCTTCGTGGACGCGTGCCCACGTCGGATCTGTCTCTGGCAGTGCGTCACGAAATGGCGCTGTTAGCCGCTCTCGTACAAAAGGAAGATTCTTGCTGGGAACAAAAGCTACGATGTGTCATGAAGTTGTTCTTGATGGCTTGCAAGGAATCGAAAAGCCCTGTCGTTATGGAGAACATCATTCTGCCGTGTCTAAAGATACTGCAAGGTCTCGTGAAGCCGGATCAACCGGTCTCTAAAAAGAACAAAGACAAATCTATCGAGACTCTGGCGACCGTGCAACCACCCGAAGGTAGTATAACTATCGATGTAAACAAATGGCTGAACGGAGATCTCAAGCATTCGTATTCGGAATGGATTCGTCGTATGCCGAGTAAGAAAATCGAACCACCCGCTGGCGGCAAACCGCTGAAGAAGGAAGAGACTCGTGTACTCTATCTAATGGAGAAATATGGGCACAGATGGCGCAATCGATGCGCGAGACAGCAAGGCATTCAACCGTTGAAATTGGCCGACGGTGCTTGGTTGAAGGAAGTTCTGTTCAATCCAAGTTCGCGACTCGCGCGGCAGGTTGCTTGCAACATGATAGAGAGTCTTTGTCAAGGCACGGAACGCAAGAAGGAGGTACTGGTACTGCTCACGTGTTACTTAGAAGAATTGCGCTCGGCCGGCGAGAGCAGCACCGAGTTCCTCACATTGTACCAAAGTTTAATCAGACAACCGCCTTGGAAACAATTTTTAGCGGTGCAGGGCGTTATGACCTTGCTCGCGGATCTCTTGACCAGAGAGATCGAAGAGCTCCATCGTTTGGAGGAGACCACCTTGACCAGCGATTTGGCGCAAGGTTACTCGCTGAAGATGCTGACGGAACTAATGGCGTCGTTCCTCGAGCATGAGAACATCAAGCAACAGTATAAAGGTCGATTGGTAGGAGCTGTCCTTAACGGTTATCTTTCCCTCAGAAGGCTGGTCGTTCAACGAACCAGGCTCATCGACGATACTCAGGAGAAATTGTTGGAACTTCTCGAGGAGATGACCACAGGCACCGAAGAGGAGACCAAAGCGTTCATGGCGATCTGTGTCGAAACTGTACAGAAATATAGCCTCGAAGATGTGCGCACGCCGGTGTTCATCTTCGAAAGACTCTGCTCGATCATCTATCCGGAGGAGAACGATGTCGGGGAATTCTTTCTGACCCTCGAGAAAGATTCGCAGCAGGAAGATTTCCTTCAAGGCAGAATGGTGGGGAATCCATACAGCAGCTTGGAACCCGGATTGGGACCAGTGATGCGAGACGTTAAAAATAAAATTTGTCAGGACTGCGAATTGGTCACGTTGTTGGAGGATGACAACGGTATGGAACTGTTGGTCAACAACAAGATCATCAGCCTCGATCTGCCGGTGAAAGAAGTCTACAAGAAAATCTGGGTGTTGGAAGGCGGAGATTGCGACGCGATGCGCGTAGTGTATCGAGTACGAGGACTGCTTGGAGACGCGACAGAAGAGTTCGTCGAAAGCTTAAACGCAAGTACCGAGCAGGAAGTGAACAACGAAGAAGTCTACAAAATGGCGAACGTTTTGGCGGATTGCGGCGGCCTCCGAGTAATGTTGAACAGATTGGCCGCCATACAGGACGTGAATCGAGCTCGACCGCTCCTACAAGTTCTCCTTAAACTGTTCCGACTATCGGTTAAAGTCAAAAAGAACCAAGAAGTCCTAAGTAAGCCCGAGTTAGGAGCGGTTACGGTGTTCCTCGACGTTCTGCAACGTTGTCTCGCGACCGAGTCGGAGAATTCACAGGCACAAATCACGGAACAGCTGTTGGACATCATAGAAACAATTTTAACGCACGCAGCCTCGCAACCGTTGTTCAGTTTCGAAGCTTTCTCGCGTACCCTAGGTGGACCTGACCACGTAAAAGCGCTACTTTCTTGTACCCAAACCACGGCAGTCAGACAGAGCAACAACGTATTGGCGCATCTCGCTCGTGTACTGGCTGCGCTCACATATGGCAATCAAGAGAAAATGGCTCTTCTCTGCGATTACTTTAAACCTGTACTAAATTTTTATAAATTCGACTTCGAGCACACAACGGAGGACGAGCAGAAGCTCGAATTGTTTTGCATTCTCACACAAGCCATCGAACGTAACGCCATTGGAAATACCTTAAAAGATTATATCATAAGTATGGGAATTGTAAAAGACGCTTTCGAATATATAACAGTGCACGCGCCTTGCGTAAAACCCACGTTGTTGCGAACGGATAGCGACGAGTTGAAGGACTTTATATCCAAGCCTGCGCTCAAATACATTCTGCGATTTCTTACTGGCCTAGCAACCGATCACGAGCCGACTCAGCTGACAGTGTCGCAAGTTACCATCAGTATAATACACAGACTGGAACAAGTATCTTCGGACGAGCATGTCGGTTCGTTGGCAGAGAATTTGTTGGAGGCGTTATGTACAAACAAACGCGTGGCCGAGTTGATCGACGAGGCTCGACAGCACACGCGCAGCGAGAAGAAACGCTTGGCAATGGCGATGCGAGAAAGACAGCTCGGCGCGTTAGGCATGCAGACGAACGACAAGGGCCAGGTGATGGCCAGTGGAACGATCCTTCAACAAATGGAAGATCTGGGTGATGAGACGGGACTGGTCTGCGTTATCTGCCGCGAAGGATACAAATTTAAACCAAACATGGTAAGGATCGTAACTTTGAATTTAATTGTAAATCTGTGGGGTCTCCCTCATCTGTATCAGCTGCTAACGACGAACGTTCATTTGTTCACAGGTTTTGGGCATTTACACATTCACGAAACGCTGCAACGTAGAAGAATTTGAAACGAAGCAAAGAAAAACAGTAGGCTACACGACTGTTACACATTTCAACGTTGTTCACGTCGATTGCCATATGTCGGCTATAATATTAGCACGAGCCAGGGACGAATGGGAGAGCGCAGCGTTGCAAAATGCAAACACCAAATGCAACGGGCTCTTGCCTTTGTGGGGTCCTCAAGTTCCAGAGTCTGCTTTCGCCAGTTGCTTAGCGAGACACAATACCTATTTGCAAGAGTGTACCAGTCATCGCGACATATCTTACGCTTCGACTGTTCACGACTTGAAATTGTTATTATTACGATTTGCTCAGGAAAAAAGTTTTCACGAAGATACGGGGGGAGGAGGACCTCAATCGAATATGCACATGGTTCCTTATCTGATTCACATGGCCCTTTACGTAATCAATACGTATGTAAATTAATTCGAGTATGCGGTGCTCTCTTTCGAAATGATCAGCTTATTTTATTGTGTATTTTTCTAGCACGCGATCGGCCACGCGAGAAGACAAAGCGCTGACCGGATTTTTGCGAACACCTCCCGGTCCCAATTGGCTCGAAAGTTGTTACGACGCCGAAGGACCGTTTTATCAATGCACCATTTCTCTTCTGCTTCTTACGCCGGCCCGCTGGAACATGAACAGGCTCGCTCTTTTGAACAGATTAATCGTTCTTGCTCACCAACGATACGTCTCGCCTTCAGCCGCCACGAAGACAATTGTCGACATTACCGTCAAGGATTATGCGATATACAAAAGCGCCTTAATCTTCTTTGGACTAGTTAACTGTATTTATGCTAATTTTTTCAAGGTACGTTTCTCTAATTGAATATTAATTAGCTTGGTTCTATCTTTTAAGACGTTAGCTTCTTTCTTCGTTCTTTCTTTTTTTAGAAAGTGAACGTATTGTCGGATGATCAGTGGCCTTCGGTTTTGGCCGAATACATTAGGCACAACGACGAAGCCATGCTGAAAGCCTCGGAACGTGTGCTTGCTACTTATCGCGACGAATTGTTACTCTGTACGTCTTTCGAAGAATTCTGTGACGTCATCGGTAAGCGAAAAAAGGTTAATGTGAAAAATAGTTTTACAAATGTTTAAACTCTAATTTGATTTTCGTTCCAGACTTGGAGGAAATAGTGAATCCTTCCACGTATATAAATGAGATTCTGCGAGGTCTCGGTTAGAGAAAAAAAAAAGGTATATTAAAGAATACGAAATACGAATACGGTTGATAAAAAAAAACAAACTCTTTTACATAAATATTATAACATAGCAGTTTTCCTCGAACACCTGAATTTCGTTCCTTTTATTTTTGTTGTTCTTTGCTTCGTACTTGTTGTCCGCTCGCGTCTACCCTTAGTTCTTTCGAAGAGTGTATGAAGATTCGTCTGGTAAATCACACCGGTCATCTTGTCGATTAATATAGGTAATTATAATCAATATACTCGCTTTGTAAATCGCGAGTTAACTTTTGCTTTCGATAGGGAAGAAATTCATTTATTCACTGTACCGCGCGTGTTATACGATTCTGTAATTGTACGTTAAAAAAAATCTGTGCTTTAATAAAATACAAAATATCAATTTGCAGTTTTTACTTCGACCCAAAGTTTCTGTTCGATCGCATTTGACCTTCGATCAACCCTTCAACTATGTTGAGCTAAATGACAAAAATTAATCAATAGCAATCGCAGCATTCTTTAATCATAAATAAAAAACTGCAAATTCACGATACGTTATTTCAGGTACGAAAATATATATTTTATTCTCGATTTGTTTACATAACTGCATGTTACAAGCATTCGTTTTGATTCGCTTGATTCCTTATTCTTTTTATTTTTTTTTTTTTAATACATGTTAACTGTTTAATAATATCTCTACGCACTGTTTTATTTTGGACTATACACGAAAAACTATATACGTGTTTTTATAAGTGGCGCATAGATGCAAGAATAAAGTGACTAACTATACGATAAATATCAAAAATGAGGAAATTGTTCATCTAAGCATATAACTTTGCCATTTACATTTTATGCTTGTGCCCTTTTATCTTTTAAACCATTAGTTCAAGCGTTGCTGTTCTCTAACATGGTCTACTCAGCTTAATGGATTTTAATTAGAATCCTATGTAGATTAGATTGTGCGCGCACTCGTGTATGGCGTTTGAAGTTGCATTTTCCGAATTAACGTTCGGTACCACATCCAGAGCTCTACGCTTATGAAACTGAAATTCCACTTTCCACGGTAACACGGAAGACGAATCGACCGTCGAAATTACAAATAGTGCTGCGATCGAGAATTAAGAAAGCCTCGGAGACAAAAAAAAAAAAAAGAGAGTGTGTATTCAACAAGTGCAAAAGCACCTTGAAAGTTTCAATAAAACCATCCATAACCGACGTGTCCCTTCTACGTGTCGCTTTTCCATAATTTGATAGTTTTGTCATTTTCAAGAGCGGCCGAAGCTATAATGTTATCCGTTGGGTGGCACGTTGTGCATAGTACGACATCTGCGAAACAAAAAAAAAATTGCAATTAATATACCACCAAAGTGTTAACTGTAGTTCAATTGCTGTACCTGTATGTCCTTGCAGTTTCTGCACGATCTCTTTGGTCTGCAAATTCCAAATATATACCATATTGTCCTCCGAACCCGAAACGATCCACTACGAATATAATAAAATTGAATAATTTACAGAATGCGTACAGCAGCTTTCACAGAAAACGCAGTAGAGCTACATACCTTTCCTCCCGTGACGGAAAAATTTGCGAATATACAGTACTTTTCGTTTTTATGGCCAGTGTACGTTTTTAAGCATTTTCCTTTGCTGTAGTCCCAAAGTTTTAACGTGTTATCTAATGTTGCAGCTAAAATGTATTTTCCATTTGGTGAAAATTTTACGAAAGATACTGGAGGATTATCATCGTCTATCAAAGTTTTTAAGCACTGGCCTGATGCTGTGTCCCAAATTCGACTATATAATCGTGTATCGTATAATTACATATACATGATACATCCACATGTCCATGTAAAATTAAAAATCATGTGCTTACCACAATCCGTCGTAACTACTAGACACGATCAACGATCCATCCCTGTTAAAATGTACCGCGCTTACGGGATCCGAATGAGCGGGTAACGTTTTTAAACATTTTCCGGTCCTTACGTCCCATATTCGAACGCTTTCGTCGAACTAATAATATACGTCGTATCAATATTTTAGGCAAACGTACTTTTAAAAGATTTATGCGCACAAACTTCTTTTTACGTGAACACGTAAGCTACCTTTTTGTGATATTATAATTTATCGCACGTTTTTAAAGATTCTCTATATTTTTACTTATTAACTCTGTCCATGATGATACACCTTGCTACTCTGTACAATATATATAAAACATTATTTTACATTTTATTTTTTTACCTTTTTACTGATTTTCCTTTTGCATTAGAAAATATAGTTTCCGATTGTTGCGACGTTAGGTACGTTTACGTGTACAGTAATTTAGAAGCTTGCATACTCGGCAATACATGAAGCTGTATATACACAAGGATGTTTAAAAAAATACTTACAGAGCCAGAAACTATAAGATTCGACTGTGGATTAAAATTACAACAGAAAACATAATTACTATGACCCTTCAATGTTTTTAAACATTTCCCCTGGAAGCAAGAAAGACAAAAAATATGTTAGCAATTTTATTAGTCCCCGATCAATGTATTGCCGGATGGAAACTTACGGAACTTAATTCCCAAATTTTTAAAGTTTTGTCATCAGATGCAGATACCAATAGTCTACTATCACTAGACCATGCTACATCTGAGATACCAAGCTTATGGCCAGATATGGTTTTCTCAAACTTTCCATCGTAGGATCCCCATATCTTTATTAATTTGTCAGCAGCTAGAAAGACAAAAACAACCCCTGTTAATTTAACTTAATTATTACAAAGCATAAAGTAACATTTAAATTGAAAAAATTGTTATTTACAAGAACTTGCAAGCCACTCTCCATTAGGACTAAATTTCACGGAAGAAACTGCTTTAGTATGACCTGCTAATGTATATTTCAGAGTATAATTTGGTTTCTGAAAAAAAAATGGGAAATACAGTTAGTTTAATGATGATGGAATGCGAAGGAAAAATAATACTAACCAGTGTGGAACTGCTTTTTGTTCCAGTGGCAGGAGGTGCAGTTGCGGTATTATTGACGGATGACTGATGCCCTGGTGAAGGTCCAAGTGGTACCATTTTCGGATGAGTTTCGATCACAATATATCAACGATTTACGGAATATTAACCGATATGTGCATATGAATGAATGTTACGGTAGATTACACTTAGAAACACTGACGATTCTCAGTGCATTTGCCATTCGAACCTCGTTTAAAGATCCAAAAGAAATTTCTAACTTCACGTTAAAACGACAAATTGTTGTTAGTTTATTCGTTTAAAATGAATATATCATATCACATCTTAAACTCGTGACATATCCAAAAATCCTTAGCAAAATTATGTTTTCGTTCTCTTCGAGTCGCTAACGCACATGTGATCGAGGAACCGTTTTGTTGACTATTGCTACCTACCGAGCGTTAAATCACGAAATCGTAGTTCATAAAACTTCCAAACTTCGACGTATTCTATGCTCCTTTATGTAATGTACGTTTTCGTCTCTATTTGTCTATGCCTATATCAAGAAAATAATTTTCTCATGCGTGAAAACTTTTTAACTATTTACAGGCAAGTACCAACTCAGGTACTTCATACATACGTACAGTATGTACGTAATAAAAACGGAAAACAATAAAACCGCTATATTCGTGACATTCGAGAATTAGCTATAGCCAACGCCATCTTTTACAACCGTGTAAAATAAAAGGCGCGGAAAGGGTTGAAATTGTATTGGTTAGGTGTGTTCCAATTTCGGACGATGTTAATCTTGATCAATTATCGATATCATAATTTCGTCATTCTTTCATAATAACAATTTTCTTCCAAATTGTTCCAAATATTAATACGACTGTAGTATTTACTCTTGTTCGTTTCATTATTATGTTGTAAGTATACGGATATTATTACAGTCTATATAAAATCTACATCTATTTGCAAAGTTTATCGAATTAAATCTTTTGCTTACGAAGTATTACATTGATCAAATGATCGTCGTAAACGATACACGATGCATTGTGTCCATTTCACCATAAAGTTAAAGTGTGTCCGTTTTAGAACGAAAACTTTAAACGTGTTTGAAGAAAATAAATGAAAAAAGAAAGGAGAAAGAAAAGTGAAATTTATGCAATCGGAAATAGAATCCGGTGCGCAATTGCTTGTAAGATTAAACAGTAAACCGAGCCTGCGTGGACTCGATGATACTTTATTTCCCGAAGGTTTTCGACATACGGACATCATAGAAATCAATGGAGAACGTTCAACTGGAAAGACTCTTCTCCTCTCTCAAATGCTCGCAAAGTGTATCCTACCGGATTATTATGGATCCGTTCGAATTAAAGGCTGTAACGCTTCAGTCATTTTAATAAATACAGATCACCATTTTCAAGTCTCAAAATTAATCGATGTAATGAATAATATCGTGGACGCTGCGTGCACTGTACCATTAAAATCCGAAACGTTCAAGACAAATTCAGAAAAGATATCTATTGTACAAAATTCCTTGCGTAATCTGTATATCATTAATTGTTACAACAGCGAACAATTTTTTCTAACATTACGTACATTAGACGATGTATTCCTTGACAATTCTGAAATTGCCCTGTTAGCTATTGACAGTATAACAGCATATTATTGGCAAGATCGTGAAAATAATAGCAATATTACAGTTAATACTTATATAAGGAAATTGTTACAGCTTGCTACAGTACACACAACTCGATTCAATGTTGCAACAATGTACACCAGACCTCCCGAAAGTATTGTCAATTACAAAGGAAAAAAATTCATGACAGATTTCTTAACGGATACTGGTGAATATTATAAGATACATTTGCATAAGATACACGATTCACAAGATCTGATGTGTACATTGGAAACAGAGCAAACTGTTAGAAGAGTGCGTTATTCTATTTTGTCAAATGGTATAAAATGGAAAGTGAACAAAGGAGAAGAAAAAGGATAAACTCCGGTATATATACAGATTTTATTTCAAGATATATCATTGAAACAGTATTTTGTCCACTACATCCAGAGGATTTAACAATCTAGATCCTGCTAACATTATGTATGGTGTTTTATCATTATTATGCTCTGATCTCATTTCTTGAATTATTTTTGACTCCTCTGCAGTGATTCCACCAATAATGTATATTAAAACATAGGGATTATCGCGAGGATGACGCTTTGCTTTACCCCTTAACAGTAAACTACAACAAGAAGGAAATTTGTCAAATTTTAACATATTACATCATAGCTAGGCAAATTTCATCAACCATTAGAACAATGCTTACTTGAAACCAGCAGAAATAAATGAAGATGATCTTTGACGAAAATCCCGCAGCTCTCGAGCTACGCCCGTGCAAAGTATGTCCCTAGTTATTTGCTCCAATATACTGACTCGTCGAATCGTCTCTTGCGAGCTTGGTTTTATTATAAAAAATCTGAAAATGGTTGTAATATCGATGAAATTTCGTGTAAATCGAATATACCTAGCATCGAATAATTCATTCTTTTTTAAGCTAAAAAAAATTGAAAATTTACTTGTAATCTTGTAGATTCGAACGTTGTACCGCGATTGATTGAAGTATACTAATAATACGTGCTGCTATCCTGTACGAAGTTTCTCGTGCTGCGGCTACGTCATTCACTCCTAACATGGAAATAATAAGCAAAAATTACTTGCAACTAATGGCATACAAGTAGCGTATATTGTATAATGCATACCTAACAGTAATAAAGTTCGTTGATAGGTCGATGTTGTATTAGTAGATGGATTTTCTTTAAAAATTTCTAAGTCCTCAAAGACCGCGTCCGCGATTGATTCTTCCAATTGGCGTTCTTGTTGTGCAGAAAACCGGATTTGCGTTCCCGCAAGGGCATAAACGTGTATTAACAGTGCTAATAGGTTTTCAGTGTCGAGTCCTCTGTCAATTCGTGTTCGTATGACATTGCTCAGCTAAAACAATTAACTTATCTTACTCGGTGGAACATAAGTCGCGCGTACGTGGCTGGAATCGAACCATTGATTACTTGTGCGAGTATACTCGAAGATTCACGGCTCACGGAGAGACTTTGGAACACTAGTTTCTCTAAACTAGTAAGTAATTCAAGTTGGCCTGTCTTTTGCGACGTCGTTGCCCCGGTTATCGCCAAGATACTCTGCGTTCCAGAAAAATATAATTAAACGGAATTGAAAGATACCGAATGTATATGCAGGAAAGTGGAAAAGGGAAGCTAGAAAATCACCTGCAGCTCTTTTCTATAGGCCATAAAAGAATCGATACTGTCTGTAGTTCGAATTTTACTAAGGGCTTTCTCTAAACAATGACCAGAAATTCTCGTTGGTGTTCTCAATTTCGGATTATCCTTCGTAGAAACCATATCGTTTAGCGACTGATGGGCCACGGCTAGTAACTTTTTCTCTTTTTCCGAAATAAAAAGATCGATTGTAGTTTTCTCTATGCTCGCCAAACATCCTCGTATTTCGCATGCTCGTAAAACTCCCTTAACACTCATGAGAAAAGATGATTTAATCAAAATAATTAAACAAAGCTGATTTTTTAACAAGCTGTACATAAACATATTGTGCCTGTGTAGAAAACAAATTTACCTCTACTGTTCCTAGTATAGGTGCCATGCTAATTGCTACGTCATTATTGTGTTGCGGTAAACGAGGAAACGTTCGTAATATTTTTGTAAGAAATGATTCCATATTATTACTGGTTGGTGTACAAAGGTCTAATGTCCTGTCCATTAAAACAAGGGATACTCCAATTTCTTGAGCTCCTAATGAATGCTATAAAAATGATTATAAGTAGTTTGTCTTGCATACTTTTCCTCTATCATTTCACTACTTACGTTTCGATGATCTGCATTAGCAATGCAGTTTTCTAAATTCTCTGCAAGACGATCGCTCAATTTTCCAATTGCATAAATATCTAATCTGGCATTTATACTAGCAAACAATTTGTAAAAAGAATTTGCTAGAAGATTTAATTTAGCAGCTGTATCATGGGGAACAGTTGTGTCTAAAGGTGGCATTAAGTCCCCAAAAGGAGGTGTTACAATCAGATCTTTGTTTAACAATGCTATAAAAAATGGAACATGGATGATGTCAACAGAAGGTTCCTAAAAATAAATTTATTTCGTTTAAAATTATTGTAATTATTATTGTAATTATAATAATAACAAAAATGTGTAATGCACAAACTTGTAATAGATTTTTTGAAGACATCCAAGCCTTAATATCTCTTCTTAATTTATTGTAATTCAATTTCTCCTCTGTTGGAAGAATTTCCAGATAATCAGTAGTGCAACAAGGAGTGCTACAGTATATCGTACAGCTTTCAAATGCATTTTTTGCTAAAATCATTTTGATCGTTCGTTGATAAAACACTGGATCATCAGCAGTGGACACGATAACAGCTTTTTTGGTTTCTCTAACCTCAACATACTACAAACAACGTGAAACTTGTTACATTCATAGTGACATTAAAATGCAAACTTCAATGATTGAATATAAATTGTGTATACCCACTCGAAAATGATACATGCCGAGTTCATGAACTGCAATTGCCCCAGCATCTTTTAGTGCCAGATAACCTTTACCAGCTGTGTACCAATGTAAACATTCGGCTGCACAATGATCTATGTAAACCACTGTACCGCGTACTTCTGCAAATATGCTTTCCCAACATTCCGAGATGAATTTTCTCGTTTCAAACAAAATATCTGTCATTATTTTTTTGTTAACCTCACTATGGACAACTTTCCTCGTTTCTCATTATACAAATGTGTCGAACAGGGGCGAATCGTATTGGAGGTTTCAATTTGCTCCAATTTGAAGCGTGTCTATAGAGTAGCTCAATTTCGAATCTAAATTACACAAACAATTACAAAATTTTTGGTGCTAGGGGAAATTGTGAGAGCATAATTATAAATATAAAATACAAAAATTAAATGCTATACTTGCAATTATGAAGCAAAAACCAATGAAACTATTCATGATGAATCTCGCGTACCTTTACTTTAAATTACATTTAGAATAAAAATATACACGTAACAAATGTAAATAAATTAAATTTTTTTATAGAATTACATAAATTTCGGATGAAATCGATAATAACTGAGATATCGATCGATCCCACAATTTTTGGATGTAAACAATTTTATATACCAGACAACGCTAGGTAATTCAGGTAGTAGTTACGTAAACAATTGTAATGTGATTGTAATTTTATTTAAAATATTACAATCATTCAATATTGAAAGCTCCTATATAACAAATCAAATAGAAGAACAGGTAGAAACATTTCGTTTGCCTAGAATCTCTTTTAATGAAATGTAATAAGTATCTCCGATTGTTTAACGAATAGATTGAAATTTATCAATGTTTGGAAAAATCAAAATTTTCAATATCTAATTGATCGTGATCATTTTGATTCTTGTTTGAAACTCGATATGTTCTCGAATAATCGAATAACCAGTTATGTATCGACATTTAATTTTCGATTTAAAGTACAAGCACAGCCATTTGTCATAGAAAATTCTAACCTAAAACAGAAAATGATTGTGTGTCGGTGGGGGGTGTTGTTTCGAGATAAAAAGGACAACAATAAAGTACTATGATTCTGTGAGCAACGCTTAACTACGGATTATTGAAATACGTTCGTCGATCGAAGAAATATATACCACGCTTTGAGAAGATACGGAGTTTTCACCAGAAGCAATTTGTTATAATTTTTCTTTTGTATTTTCCAACATTCGAACCATTCTGTTTTATCTTTTGATCATTTTGTAGAAATTTTATCTTATATAAGAAGATAGAAAGTAAAAATCTTACTGATTGATACAAAACAGTGGTTGTGTTGGTTGTGGCATAATACATCGTTTTTGGGTATTTGAGTAATATCTTATAAAAACCCACAAACCATTAGCTGATTATTAGTTGCTAAAAACAAATTGGATTAATTTCGCGATATTTGTTGTTTTCCTGGGTATGCTCAGCAATGTCGTCGGCAAACAGCATAGAATCCCTAGGAACACTACAGTGGGATATGATCGAACTGGCCAGTCATCTGCGTCAAGAGCGTCTGTTTATCAGTTCGGAACAACAAAATTTACAAATACTCAATGAAAAGGTGCGTGTTAATTTTGCTTATTAGAAGAGAAAATATATTTTCGATGCGTGAAAAATAATATCAACGAGTTGTACAAATTGTTTCAGGTATTATACGCGTCATCAAATTTGTCACAGCAGGCCTGGATCACAGCGCAACAAAGAGTTAATCTAAATCGATTAATAATGTCTAGACCAGATTGTACTCCGGCATCTTGTTGTCAAAAAGCAAATACTTTGGAAAATTCACGTTTTGTTGATGCATATAAGTATTTACGTTACCAGGCTTGTTTGTCTTACGGAGAATTCCTAGGCAACCTTAGAAAATCTCCTAAACTTCTTGCATCATGTTTGGTAGAGGGAGACAAATTATTACCAGATTTAGTGCAAAATATCGTTCAATCATTGGCAGCAGGTTTATACGGCAATTGTTTATTACCAGAAGATAAAATTTTGGTTCTAAAATTACTTAGACATCTGATGTTGCTACAAATTGTACCCTCGGATAATCCTCGAAGGTTACTCAGACATGGCACATGTGCATTTTCTAGATTTTACTCTGTCTTTCACGAGAGTGTTTTTTCGGCCAAATTCTTCCTAACAGCTGCTTTGCATAATCCTATTGTACAGTTACTAATGGAGGATGAAATGTTTCTTGATATTGACCCAGACAAGGCACCCGTAAGATTTCCTCCATCGGAGAGATTGAAGAAATTTGGAAAGGAAGGTACTCCCGAGTACGAAATGAAGTTGCAGCGTTACAGATTGTGGACGATTAATTCATTGTTTCGCATAACTCAAAGATTCATAGTTAGTATACAAGAAAATATGCATTGTTTTCCGAGCAGTGTCTGCTGGCTGGTTAGACAAATGGCAGGACTTTTGGTAAAAAATGGGAACATCGATCCAAAGGAAGTGCATGCAATGTGCACTGACTTGGTTTTTACATATTTCATATGTCCTGCTATAGTAAATCCAGAACCATACGGTATCACTGACGCGCCTATCAGCTACGTTGCTAGATTCAATCTTATGCAAGTTGGACAAATTTTGCAAATGCTTTCTTTAATGAAGTATCAAACAGTCGATAGTAAAACGTTCGATCTTTACAAGAAATTCGACAAGGATTCTGTCTCTTCTATAATAGATGCAATAGTGGATGGTACAACAGAAGAACTCGAGGACGAGCCTAACGTCATTGACAATAATAAATTTCGAGGCCTTTCTCGTTCTGCCGCCTTGTTTACGGCAACAGAACTAAACACTTTGATTATATTTCTTCAATCTATAGCTGCTGAAACTACCGCAGAAAACGTCTCACGATCCACGGCATTCGATGCAAAGCAATTAATCGATATGCTTTTTCAATTACCTTCCGGTTCCTTAATCACTAATAAACTGGCTAATAACGTCAACGTCGAAACAAGCAACCGACGTGGGGGCCTTCTAGGAAAAGGTAATTATGTTGTGAAATTACATCTATTCTTGTTCATCCTTCATTATACAATTCATCAATTTTTATTGTCCGTCGAATGTTCTTTAGATACGCATTATAAAGAAACAATATTATTTTGCAATTCACAGTTCACGTATGTCCTAAAAGAATATGTTTTACGGCCTTGGAGAACTCTTACATCTCCTTAATTCCCATCTAACTATCCGAACAACTGATTCTTATTTCCTTCCTGTGCCTTAAAGATAAAAGAAACGCAAGAAAGCTGGAAGTATAAGAATAATGGAGAAGAAGACGTATTGAAGTTTGCTTTCTGCGGTAGGAAAAGGACGTGTAGTACGAATGTCGGCATCGTCATCGTCGTCATCGTACTCGTCCAATGCAACCAATGACGGAGGAGACGAAATGAACGGTACTTCAACCCCCGAGGAAGAATCGACCGAGAAAAATTCTCAAGATGTTCTCGTCATTCCGTTTGAACCAAATACCGGAGAATTCGTGGGACTTCTTAGCGAACAGAAAGTACGTAATGTTCTTTTCCGTTTATAAAACATTTTTTAATTTCCCCTGACTCGTAAATTGAATCGATTTCGTTAAATGAAATTTCTCGATTTACAATTTGATAGGTCTGAGTATATTGTCGATCATTTTTCTCTTCGATATTGTAGGTCCTGTGTATGGAACTTGGATCCAATATGGAAAACGGACCTGTTACTCTGAATCTTTCGGATGACATACCAAACGTGCACGACAGACGGGGAAGTTGTGGGGTTGAACGCATAGAAACTCAAGAAAAGAAGACTCGATTTTCATTGTCGCATGATGAAGGTATTTTCATTGGAATTTATATCCATGTTATAGTAATTATTTCTCTTATAAGGGACGGACGTTAACTTAGAATATTGTTAGTTTTGTTCGAAGGTTTCATCGGAAATACCTCGGACAATTTGGAGGCTGTTTCAGAAGCTGCTTCAAATCACAGCGTTGCTTCCTCTCTCGAACTAGAAACAGAAGATCAAAACGATAATTTATCGGATATGGTGTCTGCCAGCGTTTCAGGACGTGGAACGCCCAATATATCAGGTTTGTCGGTATACGTGCAATAGGAAAAGGTTAAAGTTCTACAGATATTTTCGCGTTTATGTTTACAGGTCGTGATACGCCATCGTCTCAAATCACCGAAGGAGACGAAGGACGTGCTGCAGGCGAAGCACGACAATTGGATTTACCTCCATCGAATATACCAACGAAACAAAGTCGGTCTGAAATAGATGACAAGTTTTGCAAATTCGAGATTAAAAAGCTGATCGAAGGTACAGAGAAGAAGAAAATAAGCGTAATGTCTAGAAAATGTCAAGTTTCAACCATTGTATATTTTTAGGTGACGAGACTGTCTCGATGGTGTCCGATACGTGGTCGACGGACGTTCTAGCTTCGGATAGTGAAATGGTCGAACAGCAAGAAAAGATACAGTATCCTCCTCTGTCGGAGCAAAACCCAACGGTTATATCAACAACGTCGGAATCGATGCCACAAATGGCATTAGATGTCAGTGAAACTGCGTCTGAAGCATGGAGTACCGATGTACTAGCTAGCGATTCCGAGAGATTGACCGAGGTTGACACTGATGACACTGCTAGCGTTGCAAGGTATGTTTTAAATAAAATGGTTAAAGAATGAAACGGAGTAGGTGAAAAGTGGTTTTATTTCCAGGTCCGATGATACTGCGAGATCTGAAATTGAGATTGAAGCACGCAGCGAAGCAGAGGCTACGGAAGAAACACTTACACAGGCGATTCCCCGTAAGAACAGTCTTATCTTAAGCGTCATCTTTCGCGTTGAGACACGATTGTCAAAATTGCAATATTTATTTTGTATTTCATTCGTCTCTAGAAAACACAACATCGACTGAATGCACGGCAACAGGTTTTCAATCGATACCAATTAACAGAGAAGATACACGATCTTCTGCGACCGGTTCTCCTTCGCCGACAACATCCCCTTCGGCATCCTCTTCGAATATAACTGGACAAAATGAAAATAGGTCTGATTATCAAAGAGGTACGATGGAATATGTCGACAAAAATGCCAACAATATTGGCAGCGTTAGGGATTATGATAAATCGTTGCGCGATGATGGATTGGCTCATCTCATGGACAAACTTCACATCGACGATGGAAAGGGTCAAATGGAACAGCAGACTTCGACCCATAATCATATTGGGGTAGCAGCTGTTGCGCCGGCTTTGCTGTTAGCTAATCATATTTCACCACCGGTTTTGTCGAGGGCAGAACAGTCGCGAAACATCGACGCAAAATCAGAGGTTTGTTCCTAATTATTATTATCATAATTATATATGTGTTGTCATTTTCATTGGTACATCGACGATACTTAATTTCTCCAATATAATAATAATTCATTTCTCAAAACGTCGTTCAAATAATTTTGCAGGAATTGGAAAACTGCATTGGTTCGGCTAATGAAACGGTTGGCGAAACTGACCTGGAAGGTGTTCGATTGAGTATTGATAACTTGATGTCCAGAGGTAGTTCTGGTTCTGAATCTCGAGGGAAGAACACAAGCTCGGAGTTACCATTGTCGGGGACATTATTGGTTAATGGAAACTGCGACTCTCCAAAACCTAACGCATCCAGCGGTGCCATACCAAAAAGTATCAGTTTCGATATGACCGCGGAACGCGGAGACAAGGAACTGTTGGATGACGAACAAAAAAATAAAAGAAGCTTCTTTGGGAAATTGAAAATGTCCCTGAGAAATCGGAGGGGCAAGGCAATCCGTGGTTCTGACGATGGTACTATCAGTAGGTGGTACGAACGAGATGTCGGCGTGGACAGTGTTGATGTAGGGCGACACAGATTACGTAGAATAATGTCCGAAGATGTAACATCATCTGGTAACGCGATTAATGGTAAGCATGTTCTTCCACATTTGGATCACCGATATTAAACATTTGTCACGATTGTATACATTAAACCAGGAAGAGAAAATAATGAAAAAAATGATTTATGAAAACTTTTTAGATAGTACAGACGACATATTGGCCAAATACAGGAGGAAACCAAGTATAGCGAGCGATACGGCATCGACCGAGAGCAATCACTCTCGTACAAAGGAAACAACGGAGGACGAGAGGCTGTTGATAGATCCAAATAACATTGAGCTCTCTTATGCATTCGCCGATGCGAAAAGAAAGTTACGTATGGTTCTCAGTACCGCTGATCTTCAGCATATTCCCTGGACCACTACATCCGAGGTAAATTCTATAGAATTGTACTAAAGTTTCCTATGTGCCTGTTAACTTCGTTGCTTGTCGTTGATGTGACCCAAAACACGACGATCTTTCTGTTACAGCGAAATTCTTGGTCCCAGAAAGAGAACGAATTGGTCGCCTTTCTACAATTACAGCTAGCAGAAGCTATCAATTTACAGGACAGAGCGTTAATAGCTCATCTGCACGAAACGCTGCGTTGTGTTAGATTGTTTAATGACGACGGATGCAGGAAATTGTTTAAGTCCTTGTGCGAGGATTATCAGAAACGATCACCTTACGTTGCATATTTAATTAGATGTCGACAAGGATTACTTTCCACGTTGGCTCATTTAGACAGGTATAATTTCTCATCAATTTAATTTAGATTCGGTGTATCGTAACATCAAGGATTAATGTTATGCGATTGTGTAAAGGTTGTGTGTTAGAGTAAAATGCGACCGTGATGCCGTTAACAATCATCTCGTATCCGTTTGCGTGAGAGTCTTTTTAGAAAAAAAAGAGTCACTCCTTTTGCATTTTTGCGATGAATTCAAAAAATTGACTTTGGCGGATGAGAAACAAGATTTGGTCGATACCTTCCTGGGAAAGGTTCACTCGAAGATGGACAATGATCCGATATGGCAATGTGAGTAAGAATTTCTTCGACCCCGAAACTGACTTAATAAATTGTGTTGATTGATTACGATCGAGTGACATTTGTAGGCGCGAGCGAAAATCAACTGGTATTAGCCAGAGTCGTGGTGGAAAGAACCGTTATGGCGCGCGTTTATCATAATGCACTTTATCCAAACGGGGACGGTGATGTTTACCGGGATCAGTTGCTTCACGATCACATTAAGAAACTGGCCAAAGTTGTGACGCCTAATCATAAAGATCTACGAATTCCTAAGATATACCATTATGAGTGCCCCTGGCCATGGGCACAGGCCGAACTAGCTGTAATATCAGCGTATAAAACTCCTAGAGATAAACTGCAATGTGTATTTCGTTGTGCTACAACTATCATAAATTTGCTTTCAATGGCAACCGAGAGGGGAGTACCCGCCGCCGACGATCTTATTCCTGTTTTGGTCTACGTTATCATAAAGGCAAGTTACGTTTGTTATTATTCGCAACTTACTGATTTGCCATATAAACTATTCTTTTCTTGGACTACTTTTTTCAGACTAATCCACCGTCCTTGCTCTCGACTATACAATACGTGGATAGTTTCTATGGAAACCGACTAGAAGGCGAAGAACAATATTGGTGGACGCAATTCTGTTCTGCAATTGAGTTTATAAAAACAATGGATTAAGTCATATTTAGTAACAAGATACTGTTGGAACTGTAGAAATAGTGTATCATAATTTTCATCATCATTGTCATCGTAATAATCACCATTGTTATAGTCATCGTAATTATCATACTCCTCCACCTCCTTTCCTATGCCGATCAACGTCGTCATCATCGTCATCGTCAACAATATTAATATTATTATTGCTATTAGCACTGCTGCACTTCAGTACTTTTGCTAAAGCTGCCACTGCTATTATTGCTATTACTCCCACCAATTACTTGTTTTATGCCCATTATTCTTTGTATTATTATTGCTTTCACTACCACGAATATCGTAATTATCATTTTAAACTTGATTTTTAATTAAACACGATCCAAATATTATTATTGTCATCATCATCATCATTATCATTATCATTATCAATATGAATGCTATTGTCCTTAATGCTGCTATTGCTATTACTATTATAACTAGTATTACAATTATTCTCAACCTCATTGTTACATGTATCATTATTTTTCCTGTTACTATTGTTAGTACCTCTATTAGAACCATTGACAATGATTTTTAAATGTCAATCAATTTCATCCCACTAAAAAATCGAATATTTTCGGTATCTTACAAAAGTAAAAGTAATATCATATACTACTTGAATGTAAAAAAAAAAATTGCCAACTTTTTTTAAGGGATGCATTCATTTGATGTATTACAATTGAGTTTTACCCTATGCATTATCATGAGAATGATTACTCTATTTTAAACTAGCAAAAATAACTTGCTTTTATATAAAAAGGCTTTATTTTATTAGGGAATACCCACATATTGTATTTTTTCATACACCTCGTCGTTAGATTTTTAAATTAGTACATACCCACATTACTCTATTAAAATCGACTTAGATGTCGAGAAAGATTAAACGCTGTGTATAAACAATAGGTCAGAAATTGCAACAGAACTTAGAATAGTCGTTCCGAGTAATAGCATTATAATTTTTTTTTAGTTAAATACGTTTCAAATTTGCAAATAAAATGTATTTTGCGATTTGTTACAATTATATATTATAAACCGTTTGCTGTACAAACAATTTTATTTACCTTTTATTATTAAATTAGAATAAATATCGTATTTAAGAAATACACGTTTTAAGACCCCCTGATCATGTTTCAACTATTGAAAAAAAAAAGAAATTTTTGTTATTATTTCTATGAACAAGCATATGTATAGATATTTGTATGTTATTAATACGATTGAGTATAAATAGCTAATTGAATTTATACTCGATAAGTGAAAAATAGATTTTGCTCATGTTCATGTTCAAAAAAAGCGCCACACTGAACGTATTCGGTATTGCGTATTGTCTCTAACTAAATGTGGTTACGAAGGTTAAACTTAACCTTATTCTAACCAACTCTCGTTAAAACGTGATCTGATTTTGAATAAGTATTTCAAAAGGAGCTATTGTTAAGTGTCTTAAAAAGTGAATTGTAGTGTTGTTAAGTAAACTTAATTGCATCTTGAACGTTTGTTGACATTAAATTATCCGAAGACGAAAATACCAATGAACTCGAGTACATGCTCCTTGTATTATATGTAACAATTCACTGTATTAAGAGTTTTATAAGGGAAATTAATTGATGAGGACAAGAAAAAATGGCAAAACGACCAGAACATTTAGCTCCACCTGAAGTGGTAAGATGTTTTATATTCAATTTATTACTTTGCGATGCTTTACTGATTTTCTTTTTTACACAGTTTTATGGTGAAACTGAAGCTCGCAAGTACACACAAAGGTACACTGCTTTATATTTATGTACATATCCCTTATATTCTATTTAAACCATAGTAACAAGTATATTTTCCGATTCTGCAGCTCTCGAATGATGGATATACAAGAACAAATGTGTAGACGTGCTATAGAGCTTCTTTTGTTGTCAGAAGAGAGAACTAGTTTACTTCTGGATATTGGCTGTGGTTCTGGTCTAAGTGGCAGCGTAATTGAAGAATGCGAACACGTGTGGATAGGAATTGATATATCTTCGGCAATGCTTGGTAAATACATACGAAATCTGTAATCATTTAATATTGTTGTGGAATTGTAGTTGTGGCAGTTGTAGAACAGTTTAACTTCATACATTTTTCAGTTTGGAAAAACACAAATGTTAGCTGTTAATTTGTTACCATTGATAGTAATTAGATGAACTACCGTGATCATTTGCAATCTTTTTTATTACAACCATAGGTGTAGCTTTGGAAAGAGAAGTTGATGGAGATTTAATTTTGGGAGATATGGGCCAAGGAATGCCATTTAGAGCCGGAAGTTTTGATGGGGCAATTAGCATTTCAGCTCTGCAGTGGTTGTGCAATGCTGATAAAAGTTCACATAATCCATCAAAACGTCTGTATAAATTTTTTTCCACATTGTTCTCGTGTTTGTCAAGATCTGCCAGAGCTGTATTTCAGTTTTATCCTGAAAACAGTGAACAGATCGAACTAGTTACGACACAAGCAACAAAGGCAGGCTTTTATGGAGGTGTAGTCATTGATTTTCCAAATAGTACTAAGGCAAAGAAGTTTTTTTTAGTTTTAATGACAGGTGGACCTGCTGCTCTACCACAAGCTTTAGGCATCGGCGATGATGACTCAGTTATTTCTTATGCATCTAGAAGGTTATTTTTTTTTATTAAACTTGTAAATTTGATCATAGTTTTATTTTCATTTCGCGTAAAGTAATTTATTTTATCTCTTTAGAGAGCAAATTAAGAAAGCCAGAGGTAAACCGTTAAAAAAGAGCAGAGATTGGATTGCCGAAAAGAAAGAAAGACGAAGAAAGCAGGGAAAGAAAGTGAGAGAAGACTCGAAGTATACTGGAAGGAGAAGATGTAATAAATTTTAATATACAATAGTTTTTATATATTTTATACAGAATTCAACAAGAATGTACATATAAAGTTCGAGTTTATAACTGAAAAAATTTTTTATTTACATGTATAATACTTGATTTAGTGTAAAGTTTTAAGTAATTATTTTAATCTCTTTTTGAATTAGCATTATAAATAATTAGTTCTATATTCGTCAGCACGAGTAATTAGAACTACAAAAATTATAAACGTACCTGAATCACAATTTGTCTCATTTATTTGATTCAATGAGTATATAATAAATCTCTGTTATACTTCGTATAGCGAGTAAAATGCACTTAAGGTAGCAGAAAAGGATATATTTTATAAATGTTTTATTACTTTAAAATAAACGCATAAACGAATCTGTTTAAATATAATATTTCTATATGGAAATTATACAATTTATAATATACTTTAACTAAAGTTCTATTGCACGCTATGGTAATTTACTCGGGTATCAAAAACTGAGATAAACTGTTGTGAACACTAGGGTGGACAGTTTTTTTTAATTCTTCTCTATCTAACCAACAGTAATTTACATTAGAAGAAATATCACCACTTATATATTTTGCCAAAAAGTAGAAAATTTTTGCTCCATTCTGTCCTTTATCTTGCATATCTTTTGGATATTTATATTGAAAAAAGCCAATTGGTGCATTGCCATAAAATTTTACCTTTATATCATTCCCACATAATTCTTGCACAGTTCTATGCGCAGTCTGAAACAATAAGGCAAAGTAATATTCTGTTGGTATTCCGTTCAATAAAATGTAACAAATAACAAGTCTTACCTGTATCATTGTTTCCTCTTGTTTTCTTACACTTTGGGGAGGAATCCAAAAATTAGCATTTCCAACACTTTGTTCTACCAATAATATTAGATTTTTATCTAGTTTACGCTTTAACGATACAACCTTATTGTCTTCTTCAAATTCTATAATTACAATAAGTATGATAGGAGCTTCATTTTAGAAGGTATTGTACTTAAATAATTTTGAGAGGTAAAATTATAGATGCATGTACCAGATATTCTTGGAGCAAATTTAAAGTTTTCTAATTCTTGTTTAGTAGCATCTTCATATTCTTGAGCCGTTTGATAAGTACGTGGATTATCATTGGTAGACACTTTTTTTGTCGGTTTGCCTTCCTTTTTTGATTGTATCTCGAAATCCGACAATAAACTATTTTCATACTCTTCCTGTAGTAACAACTCTTTGAATCTAAATTCTATATCTTGCATTGGTTTTGTAATTATTGGGTGGCGTTCCAAACAAACGGCGCTTAACAAGTCCCATGTTCCTACAGTTTCAATATTTTGTGATAACGCTCGAGATATAACCTTAGATGTTGATAAAGCACCTGTGTGAAAAGTTTCCTTTGATTTACAGAATTACCTTTAACCTTTTCAATTTAAAACGGTGTATTTACGAGATCGTGCAGCAGGAATGAATGTTATTCAATAAATTGACAGAATATTGAAATCGATGAAACATAACTTACTCGCCGTTACGAGGGGAGTACCATTTGGTGTATGCATTGTTAAGATTTTTTTCAACATTGTTCACTTTTAAATTAAAAGAGATAACAGCAGATAGAGACGTATAATTACTATACATATATACGCACTACGTAAGCGGTACAATATCCGAACGATAGTAGTTTTGTCGTTTATATAGTTTCAGAATTTAGAGTCTAAAGTCTAAACTTCACCAATCCTGTAATGCTATCTAACGGTGAAGAAAACGGAATATTCATCTAGTTTTGCTGTAATAGAAGTATCAACCTTTATATAGCAATGTCTTCTTCTTTATTAAAACAAAAATAAGTTTTAGATCAAACTAATCCATATACCAAATATGTATTACGAACTTATGTTAATGCACATTATGTTTAAACATACAAAACTAGTTCTAAAACTGCTATCAAGTACTATATAGTTCTTTTTTCTTTGATTACTTTTCAAAGTACATAGTACAATTAATTCGTCTTTAAATGGCTATAAAGCAAAATTTAATTAGTAAAAACTTAATTATATTTGTTCTTTACATCGAATCATCGCATATAACACATCCACGCAAATGCAATCATGCAACATAACATACACAAGTTCCTATATTGTTATATATGTTTATAGGAGGAAGCGAGAGGAAGTTTCCCCAGCAGAGATTATTTCAGCATAGAATGCAATGTTTTGAATTTAAGTCAACAACGTATCCGTCAAGACGCATAAACGAGTAATACATACTGATCTAGATTGTTCTTAATATTGTCGTACTCTCTATTATTATTTATCATAACTATAATTTTAAATAGAACCTGTCTTTTGGGCAATGTGACTGATAGATTCTGCAACGTAATACGTGATAAGAATTGGAAGTAATCGACAGTCGCATGACATCGTCGGCAAGTACCTTAATCTGTAAAAAATAAACTTGATTAATGCTGGAAATTCGTTTATTATTGTTTTAGCAATTTTCAATCTCTCACAAGATTAGGAACGATCTACATTGATAAGGTAATTTGATAAATCATCTATCAATTAGATTCATTGACACATCGAATTGTCGAGTTTATGTTATAACTTATGTATTAATTACAAAGTGCTTAAACATTTTTTAAAAAGTACAATTATAACAAAGTCAGAAGGAAAAAATAGAACAGCTAATAAAAAAGAATTAAAAATTATTCAAGATAGGACCAAGGATCATTCAACATGGTTGGACTAAATTTGCCAGAGATTCCACAGCCTTTAAAGAATATCGAACAATCTTTAAGAATAGCATCAGTCTATGACCAACGAGATCCTGTTGTTAGTTATTGGTGTATGTGTTTGCTTTTGACCTAACTTTTTACCATATAAACAATTTCAGATCGTTAATTGTTTTCAAAGTATAACTATAATTTATCGATACAGGTAGACTGTATGCTCTTCAAACAGGGTTGAAGCTTTCAACCAAAACACCAGAGGAAACTAATTTTTTATTAAAATTAATGGATTGGTTGGAAATGACCAAAAAGGAGTCGCGCGATAACGAAGCTATCACAAATGATGCAGCTGCTCAGGCACATTTGGAGAATTGGGCAGAGAAGATTTTTCTTTTTGCAGATACAAACGACAGAGCTTCTAATATTACCAAGAAAGTAGCACAGAGTTTTTTTACAGCTGGCCTGCTTTACGATGTTTTAACTGTAATCGGTGAATTAAGCGAATCCGATACGCAGAAGAGAAAGTATGCTAAATGGAAGGCAACATATATTTATAATTGTTTGCAAAATGGTGAAACACCTATACCAGGACCAATTGAAGAAAATACAGAGAACATTGATTTGGAGAAAAGTTTGGAAGAAGGTGAAGAAAATGCACCACACTTGCATCAGTATTTTTTAAATTTCATCATGCTGCAGACCTATCTAATAAAAGAATTTTTTTATTGAATAGTAAAATTTTCTATATTTTTAAATTATAAAAATGTTTGTATTAATGAAAAAATCGTTTGATTTTCTTTCGTTGTAATAACTAAATCTCGTCTTACCTTTTTTTTTGTCTTTTAACAGAATTGGACAATTCTCTTGCCACAATGAAAACAAAAGAAGAAGAAGAAGCACCATTAAATACAGATGGATCAACTGATAGTCAAACTAATTCAACTAGCAAAGGGAACGCGGGGAAATTGCCTTCCGATATCAAAGAAGACGACTATACGTCTTTAAAAACTGAAGGTAAATCACAAATAAACAATTTAATCGATTCGTATGCAATTATTTGTACGATAAGAATGCATATTCAATAGGAGGAGTTGAATTGTCGTTAGAGCAGATTAACAACGCACAAAAATTTATTAAATGGGCTGGAGGCGCTTTGAATTACGATGACGTACCTTTAACCGTGACAAACCTTCGAAAGGCTTTAAACATATTGACACTGGCGAAGGACTCAGATGATTAGGAGTAATCTTGTTCAATGATGAACTTATTTCGATCGACGATTTATATTTCGCGATAAAATCTACATGCAGTTCGTTGACTTCTATTGCTTTGTTAACAGTAATGTAAACACGAGTAGCTGCAATTTAACTAATACAGAAGCAAAATCAATAAGTTATTTATTGAATCGTTTACATTATTACAGCCACGCCGAACATCGAGAATCTTTTGAATATAAACTTGTCTCTTTTTTTTTTTTTAAGCTTAAGATCACACCAACCTGTTCGGTTATTAGTGACCACGATTAGATTAACCAGTGGTGATACTTAGAATGGAATGGTACTACTTAGATCATAATAAAGAACAGAAATGTGTTATTTCAGCTAATGTGGTGCAAGCATGTTTAGCTACTATGTCTGTTTCTTCGTTTCCGACTATGCCAACATGAGCAGAAATCCAGGAATATGTTTTTATAGGCAAATGTAAGTTGTGGGAGTTAGGGGTGGTTTTAGTAAGCGTTTCAATTTTGGTAAATCAATTCTTAATAGGAGGATTTTTTAAACGGGAACATAGCATCTTTGCTGGCCGTTTACAACCACTTAATAAGTCCAGAAGATCACTAGAATTATCAGATATTTCCGACCATGAATAATGTTACTTATGCTATTAATTGGTTCTTCAGTTACAACCATATTGCTGGAATTTAAAGTCATATTATCTCTTTGGTTCTTGTTCGATTAGTCAGGCATCTGATAAGTTTTTATTTTCATTATGTTTGCAGTGCCTTGCCCACATATCCTTCCAATTTGCAAATTAAGCATGTTTAAAGAGTTTGTAGAAAGATAAATCCAATAGGTCGTCTGATAGTAAGTAATAAAAAATGTGAATAAACCCATCTTTTGGAATGCCAGCATGTAAAAACAAAATTGCTGCCACTCTTTGCTAGAGCTGCTTGCTAGAAAAAGCTGCTCCGAACTATGCTTGTATAGCTACGTGGTCTGCTAATAGTAGAAGCGTTGATTTCTTGATTTGATGCCATTTCGGTGAAAAGATTGCATCGAGGTGAGCACTAGATATAATTAAACAGTAAATTGAACAATAAAGTATTAGGCACTTTACATAATTCACTTAAAGGAATGAGTATCGAGAACTCGTCCTTGTACGCGTATAAAATCGAGAATGAATCGTCGCTCGTGCTTGTTCTTGGCTGTCGTAGGAAAGAAGGCATTAAAAAATTTTTAATGAACATCGGTAAAAGTGAAAACCAGGCATTGATCGCCTGGATTTTTCCATTGTTATTTAACTCTTATACGTTTATATGTTTAATTTTATGTTATAATTGTATTCACTTCGCACGTGCGTTCTTTAAAGCGTGTAAAGTTCGTAAGTGAAGGTAACTAGTAACTATCGTAAATATTAGTTTTTTCGTAATTAAAATATTTCGTGCCGTCCTTACGTGCTAAAAATATTAACCACCTTAGAAAACGAACAATACTCTCAATTTATGAATGGTTTCCAAAAGATTGTACATGTTTTTGTTCGTACGTGTGAATGTGCTGTGCCTGCTTTACTCTTTATTTTCACGTTACTTTCTCAATAAATCTCCGTCCCTTTCGATACAAAAGTTGAGATATTAAAAATAAATACGATTAAACCGAATTGTGCGATCGTAAAATTATTATATTTAAGGTCGCAGCTGGTTGAACCACCGAGTAAGTAAACGAATTTCGTTCGGTTTTACTTTTTGACCGTTTTTGCATATTTTTAAAAAAGTGCATACCTAGGAAGAAGAAGAAGCAGAAAGCAACAAGAAAATAGAGAGAACACAAGCGTGTATTACAATGTCAATATCGTTAATCGTTATCTAAGGACATGTACATACATACATCTTAATACGATATCAAGGAGAACACATTAATTCAAATGGCAGTTAATACCTTGTGTTTGAGCTAATTGTGTTTCATGGCCCACCGTAGGCGACTAGACTAATATACCGATCGTGTTCGAGCGAAGCGATACTTTTACTCTTCGAGGTACGAGGTTAATGATCCAGGGTCTTTATGGTTGTGAGTTTGTTTTCGAAAAATGTGCTCGGTAAGCTGAACGAATACAACTCGATCGTCGTGTACGCGTTCATAGCTAATAAATGAGAAATCGAACGTCGATCGAATTCATCGGCATTTTCGCGCGCTCCGTGATGAAGAAGATCATAACGTTTACTCGTTTTCCCTTTTATCAGTAATTATTTTAACACGAAATAAAGTCTTGACACACGAGTTCAATCCTGTTTTTTGGTTTTGTCGTCGACTCCGTTCGCCGTTACCGGTTGCGCGTCCTCTCGTCTAAGTTGCCAGTCTATCACCAATCGTCCTGTCAGCATGAAGAAGAATACCTAAAAGAACGGTCGGATTCGAACAAACTTCCGCCATTACTATTACGGAATATTTAGAACTCTCGTTTTATTCTCACCAATGCTGGAGCAATTCTCTCGAATTTATCGTTTACCATATAGTGGGAATATACGGCCATTAACATCAACAACAGTAATACCGCGTTCGATGCGTTCTTTATTTTGTCTGAAAAGATAATTGTAAGATAGGAAATATTTTGACAATGTATTGTTTATTGGCGATATGGAAGTAGACACGAAAAATGGAGGAACAGGAAAAAAAATGTTTTCTTACGACTCGGTACTATCGCCATTGCAAGTCCGCAGATAATCTCGAGCGATCCGACAACTCTTCTATACCATTTGCTCGGTACTTTAAAGTCCAGGGTACCAGAAAGAGGGAACACCTTTGCATATTTGACATACTCCTTTCTCTAGAAACATAGGAAATCAGTCGGCTGAGAAAAAGCCGCAGATTGACGGGCAGAGAGTGGATTTACTCGATGCGTGGAAAATTATCACAATTTCTGGCTATAGTAAACATCGCACGCTGGCACTCGTAGCGATATTTGGCGCATCACCAAAAGGTTGACGGTTTACTAGAACTTTGGACATTGGGTAACAACAGGAGACAAAAATAATCTCCTCACGAGGCGTATCGAGGAAAACGAATTACATACATTAAAATTTGATCGCGCTAGAAGGAATTTCAGATATTCAAATGTTTTATTATTTCTAGACCATCGAATGACTGCATACGTTTAAAAAAAAAAAAAGATACGCATGGAATGATCTCGAGTAACAAATGTTTTGACAAGTGACAAATATTCAATGTGGCTCGTAGCTTGAAGACTATTGCCGAATTCCCTCCTTTTCCTCGTACGTTTTACGTTCTCCGAAAAATTATTTGGTAATATAAAAAAAACAAAACGAGAATATGTTCTTATTAGTATTTATTAAGTTTTGTTTCTTGACATGCTTGCTAATGAAATGAACAAATGGGCGCGAGCGCGCGCGCGTTTGTACGTGTTACGCATCGACGAGTATTTTTTGATCAAATAGATAACGGCTGTGCGAATCGAGGCAGAGCACCGTGTGCCGTACGGATCTTTGAAACGAGAGGGAAACGCGTGAAAAAAACGGGAGCAAAAGAAAGCGAGGGACCCACCACGAACGTGACAGAACGAAAGAGGGAAATGATGATCGGCGGAGTTGACAGCTAGCCACACAACACGGCGCAACTACGATTAACCGAGTAAATTCGGTGAAAAGGCGAGGAAGAAAATACTTGTGGTGCGGGGCTACGAAAACCAGGGACAAACGTAACGTAGGAGCACATTCGAGACTTCGTTCAAGAACCGTGAATTGAACATGGAAGGAAAGAAGATTGCGCGGTGAAACGCGAATCATAACACAGGGTGAATTTCTGTTACATAATTACGCGAAGAGCAAGCTCTGACTCACCAAGTCCTTGTGAAGATCCTTGCTGATATGCGAAGTCAGCTTCATGGTACCGACGAAGACAAAAAAAATACCAAGAAGGACTGAGAGAGATTTTAGAACGATCGAGCCCATATTTCGACAACGTGAAACGGTTTGCGACGCGAACGCTAGTCGTACGGAAGAATCGATTCGGAATCTGGGCTGGACGGGACGACGAGCTGTAGCCGCGAATTTGGGGAGTTGCGCGACTTGGGTACGCTCGGTAAAACCGTCCGTCTCTTACCTATATGTACATATCTACGGACTTTCAAAACTTATTCTCACGAGCGCCCTTAAGAATTATTCGAATCTTACAAATGACGGCTATGGACACGATATATTGCTGTTCATACTTCCTTTTTTCTTTCTCTCTCGGTTTTGCTCGGTCTATTCCGACTGCGACAGCGCAGAGCGTGTACGACGCGACGCTAGGACGCTGTGCGTCGCGTCGCATTACCTTCCGTCCTGTAACCTAATTGGTGGGGTTTCTAGAGACAAGTTAGCCGTCGTAGCATCTGTTGCAATTTTAACCACATATACATTTCTTTTCAATTTTCCGCCAGCTTTTCGTACCGATTGTAATCGCTAAACAAAATTAACAGATAAATCATTTCACGATATTATTTATTTCAAATAAATATTCATGATAACATTTAATGTATTCCCGGGAGCATAGTTGATCTTAACAATACTTAATAGTTAGACAGCTTTATTAGTATTGATTATGTTATATTATTTCAAATTAAAGTCTTTATACCTAGGATAAAAAAATAGCACGCTCGCCTACGTCAACTACGTTCGAGAGATTTTTAGAAATCGCTCTCTATTTAACTGTTGTATATTATGCACATGTGTTATTTACAAAATTTTATACATTTTATTCTCTAGCGTGAATAGTCGTAGAACCAAGTACAAAGTTCAACGATGTTGGTTCGATCGATAAGTATCGTATCCTAATGAATTTATAAATGCGAAAAATACCAATTAAAGGCGCATTTTTCCTTTGCAGGATTCTTTTCTCCCCCTCGTATAAACAATTACTGTGTAGTTGATTCTCGTTACTCAAATATTAACTACATCATTTTCTTCGCGTCGCGAACGCCTGCGGGCTCTTAATTTTAAAGGAAAATTACATTCCTTTTTATTACTTGTGTCGGTTGAATTGATACTAGAATCGGAAGTGTTATTTATAAGAACAGTCATGTTCGCGTTGTTGTTCGCTAAACACACGGGTTTCTTGCGACGAGCGAATAGAATTACTTTCCCGTGAATTTTCGTCGACGTATTCTTTGCATTTGTAACGTTGGATTTCTCGGTTGGCATCTCTAACTCGTTTAATTGTTCTTCTTTAATTGGTCGTTTGTTGATCTCATCTTTCTTCTCTTGGACCGATTGTATCGTAACACATGTATTTTCTACTCTGCTTTTTCCTTTTAAATCATTCTCACAGTCGTTTCGAATGTTTTGATCGTCGTTGTTGACCAGGTTACTAGTGTTTGAATCTTTACAAACGCCTACATCACCAGCATTGATGTTACTCGTTTTCTCGTACGATTTCAGAGAATGATTTCGAAGAACTTCCGAGGTATTTTCTACAGATCCTTCTATTTTTAAACGATCAGACTCCTTTTCCGATAATTCGATGGATTTTTGCAATGCACATTCATTCGCTTTCGTGAAATTTTCAATATGTTTCACAGGAGTTTCTAACGCTAGTTGCATTTCAATGCGATCGTTTTCGATATAATGTTCGGAGCCGCATGGGGACGTATCGCTCGGTTCAATCGCGTTGATTTTCACGTTCGTTTCTTGTTTCCCATCAAACGGAAGAGGTTTACGAACATTAGATTCCGGTACATGATGTTCTCCGGAATTTTTCTTACATTCGTAAGCATTATCATTCGTTGATACGCATTTTTTTGTGTGTTTGGAGTGGTTTTCTCTGCCAGCAGCTTCCAATACCGATTCTGCCTTCTCGAGATTTTCATCGTTGAAAGCATAATTGCGAATAAATTTCTCAATGTTTTCAACATTTTCTACATTGTCAATACTTTCGTTATTTTCAAGACGTTGTTTGCCCGGGGATGGAATTGGTAAACACGTCAAAACATCGTTGGAAAGTACGTTCGAATCTTTGACCAATTCATCTTGTACGTTATTACATTCTATCTCCTTTTTCTCTATATCAATCTTTACAGAAACATTCAGTTCGTCAGAGTCGTGTTGGCGTTTTTTTAATCCTTCGCGTTCATTATCCATGCTTGGGCTATTATTTGGTGTAACTTTAATCTTAACCTTCTCTAACTCTTCCAAATTTTGCAGTCGATCATCGTGTTTCTGTGAAGTTGAGGCCAAATCGTGAGGTCTCTGTGGAAGTTCGTTTTCTGTTAGTACATGTCGTCTAACTTGTACAACGCTTGCCAGACATTCTTTAGATTCGATGATATTTTCTCGATTCTTTTCGCGGCTTTTTTCTCGACTCTTCTCGCGGCTTTTTTCACGAACTTTCTCGCGACTCTTTTCTCGACTTTTCTCGTAGCTCTTTTCTCGACTTCTTTCGCGTTTTGAAGCTTCGGAATATTGTGAACGCGCGACAGATTTTACTACACAAGACTTCAAATGTGACGAACATTCGTCGATTTTGTTTTGCTTCTTGCACGGTTTAGTTGTTTTGACAACACTTTTCAATCGTCGAAACCCAGAATCATCGTAATGCTTACTACTTTGCAAATTATTGGTCTTTCGATCCATTGAAGAATGTTTCGTCGTACTTCTTGGATCGCAAGACTCCTTGTCACCACAAGTGATATGCTTGCTATATTTGTTTTTAATGTTTTTCTCTTCCTGATAATATTTATATGAGGTTGACTTTGTGCGCGATCGATAATCGTCTGCATCACTCCCGCGACGATCTTCTTTCCTCGCTATCTCGGTGCAACGATAATTCACGTCTCTTTCGTTTAATTTAAACATCGGAGTTTTTGCGTGCTTGTTATGTCGTTTCGTAAAATGTACTTTTGTGACTTTCTTATCGCACGATACGTCGTCCTCGTCTTTTACATTTTTTCTTTTATCTTTTTTAACAGTATTGTCGCTAAAATATCCACGTTTCTTAATATCTGCATTCATCTTGTAGTCAAGTTCTTTATCTGAACTTTTTGTGACGCGTTCCATTTTGCAAAATTTATCAGAAGGCTCAAATTTATTATACCTCGCAGAATCACGTTTTTTCTTGAATTCAACGGCGACATTCTCATTTCCTTCTTTATTCGCCGATCCTGAAAAATACTCCTCGCCCTCAAATTTTATTCGTTTAGCAGGGATGGATTTACTTTGGTCGTCGTTTGCTCTTTTCCCGGTACAGTTTACAGCAAGCACCGAATTCCGTTGAAGATTTGTATCGGTTTCATTTTTATCGCTAGCTAGGAAATCCTTTGAACTGATTCTTGATGTTATCTTAGGGCTTTTTGTACGTTCATTTTCAGAATATTGCGCGTCAACGCGCACCTCAATTTCTCTCATATTACAGGAATTAGTATCGCGCATAGAACCATTTTCCTTATCGCTTTCGGCTACATATCCCTCAACGCACATTCCATTATTACCATTAACAGTGAACTTGCTTGGTTGTTTGTCCTTCCTTTCTAAATTTTGCTCGTCTGCAAGTCTTTTACGTAATCGTTCACCAAAAACAGTAATAGGTGTCAAGGTAGATTTAATCGAGTTAGGATCTTTAGTTATGTTACATGTTGAATCTACTTCTAATGGTTCCTGTTTAATTTCAATAGATGGCAAAGGAAAGTCAACTGCCTTGTGGCAGGTATTTGTAATTCCTCCACGGTTAGTTGATTTGCGAGCCAAGTTCTCGTTGGTTCTGGCATGGATGCCTCTCTTGAATGCTATATCGTCGAGCCTACAATGAACATATCTCTGTTAAGAAAATATTGTTACGATAGTAAAAGAAAAAGTATCTACTCACTGTTTTCTCAAATCCTCGATCATCTTATCCTTTCGTGCAATTTCTGCTTTTGCCGTTTTTAATAGGGAAACCATATTAACCTCCATAGTTTCGTTAATTTTTCGAAAATTTTCCAATTGTACCGAGAGCTCTGCGATTTGTTCCTTTAATTTCTCGTGTTCATGCGTAATGTTTTCTTCATTGTTTGGCACGAACTATAAATACCATATGATTTTATGATGTAAAACTTAACCTAATCTTATGAGAAAACAAAATATTGCTTTGCGATACTTACGTCCTCGTCACATTTCGTTTCGAAACTTGGCAGATCTGCATAAATGTCAATATCATCCTCCATCTTTTTTATTCTCCCGCACGTAAATTTAATTGAAATACAATCATCCTGTTGTTTCTGCGCCCTTTTCGATTACACCACACATCACGGCAGGTCTTGTATTTTTTACATGTTATACAAAACTTTACAAAAGCGCATGTTACACATTACATCTGGTTAGATCTTATCGTTCGTCTCTATGTACTGAAAATCATTGTGGTTTAATTAATAATGCCAATTGCAAATTCATAAATAATTGTCTCTCTATGTAAAGTCTTAAACACGCGGTTATAAGGAGTCTAAATGACCAGACCAATAAAAAATGTGTAAACGTTTATCATTCTCACTATACCTATTAGTTGTTATGTATCATAACATAACTTGGATGAAATAAATGATTAAATTTTATAAGTGCTGAGAATAAGAATATTGTGTTCGATATACCTAAAAAATATTGCATTTTATTTTGGATATATTTTTAATTTATTTACCAACTACGTAAGGTTGTATGTAATTGTTATTAAAAATATTTCAAATTTTCTTGGAAGCTGATATTTCTCGTCATACCTAATGTATAATTTTATCCTGTTTTTTTATACTCTCGTCGAACAGCAAACATTACTCGATCGAGAGATATCGTTGCGTTGTCCCTGATGAACGAATCGCGCATGCGCGTTTCGTAATTTACTCAGTCGTCAGTGGTGCTCCGATACGTTTAGTTGGGCGAACTATGTAGTATGCGGCACGCGGTGGTATTGGACGGTACGTTTGCAATGGTTTCGCGTCAAAACTTACCAAAAGTTGGTTAAAGCGTCGACGAAGTTTTAAAACGAGTGTGCGTATGCGTGGATGACAAAGAACAAGTTCTAGTAGTCCAGGAGTCGACGCTAACAATCGTAATTCTGGTCTTTGCGATCGTTGTGTCAGCTGGCAACGGTACCAGTGTGCGAGGCCGGTCTTGAGTAGAACCGCGTACCGGTTATATGTGTGCATGTGCGTAGCGTTGTATTCGCGCGAGCATACGCGCGCTCTGCGCTTGCGTGCGCGCGTACGAGCATGCCCTGTAAGGCTGTGTTTGTGATGCTTACGCATTTATGCTCAGATTAATGTCATCGAAATCCCATTGTGGATTAAAGTGTCTGTGCCTTGAGTACTTGTCGAAATAGTGGTGGGTAATGTCGTGTACTCATCGAATGGAAGCACTTTCCCGCGATGCCACTGAAGTCAAGATCACGAAGAGTGGCGTAGACGCCAAAAGTATATTCTATTTTTCAAGAAGAAGAAGCGATCCGTTTAACGGAGGTACGTATAATTGATCAACAGGATTTGTTTCATTTCAATAAACTCGAATGAAATATACTAGATATAATATTTGTACTTTTATCCTTAACATATTGCGTAGTAGTAAACTTCATTTTTACTAAATCTGCTTTTGTATATCTTGTACGTTTACAATATGATTCTCCGAAACTGTGATGAATATCATTTTATCCCGTGGATTCTGAACAATAGCACGATATTCGCGCGTAAATGTAACGTGCCTTGAATACTTCAGATAGATTTTGCCGCCAAATATTCAGCTCCCTAAGATCGATGTGATATTAAGTGTAAATAGAAAATGACTATTGCGTAGTAGTTAAAGAGTAAATGTTACTATCAAGAGAGCTGAGAGGAGAAAAGAAAGGAACGTTTTTCACGTGTCACGATGGTCACATGAAAAGCCTGCTATCACTTTTATGACTTTTTTCGAAGCTCATCTTTTCGATATAGCTGTGAAAAGAGTTCTCTTGAACACTTTCTAAAGGTTGCTTCAATAATAAAACGGATCGAGCTCGAGACGCTGCGACGTTGACCGCGTACATATACTTACAAACAGCCGTCCTCGGAACTCGTTTCTTCAGGGAAGCTCTCAGACTTTCGTCTGTGAGTTTTCATCGCAGAAGCTTTTAAGTATGCACAAGTTTGCACGCTTGAGAGAGAGAGACAAATTGAAGCTTTTACAATAAACTGTAGATGCAAAGTAAATGCGTGCATACGTATTCGTTTAACATATTCGTGTGAACGAAATAAGCAGGAAGCGGTTAGTTAAGGGCAATAAACAGACCGTCAGGCATCCACCCTCGACAGAGCTCTAGTAACTCGATGGCGTAATGTTATTACGTAGTTAAATGCGTTGCACGAGGACCATTTTGCGGTTAGATTTGTAGCTGTCCTGTGTCACGTGTCGTGTTCGGCGCTACAAACGAACATTTCATAAAAATTCATACGCTTTATCTCGAAACAAACTCCACCAATCTGATATATGCGTTGCATTCATTACACTGTTACGAACGGAAGAAAGTAGAAGGGGGAAATGCATTCGAAGTACATCATCGAATATTATTACCTTTGACATTGTTCGATTTCATAATATGGAATACGAGGAGGTCGTTTGGTGTCTAATGGTGCAATACGTAATGAAGTTACGAAGGAAGCCATACAAAGAAAATTAGATTCGTTTTCTAGCGTGTCGATATACGCCAGCGAGTAATATGTACTTTATAAGTTGAAAGAGAACAAAGAACTTGTAATTTCTTCCATAATTTAATTCTTGTTGTTATTATTATTATTAGCAATAGAATAGTAATTTGTTGCAAGTTGTGTTTCTGTAAACATTTGTCCTAAATATCGTTCGAGGGAAAGTTTAAAATTACAAATTTTAGTTGATGCGAAGTAACGCAGTGAAAACAAAATGGGCGAATGTATTTCATAAAACAAATGGGCATACGGATACTGCGTGGAAAGTAACATTTTAAGGACACGAAGATGCGTTTGCACGTGTAAAATACTAAATATAATACAAGAATGAAAGAAAAGAACCGGAGAAGATACGGATTGGAATAGAAGGAACGGAACGGGATGGAGTGGAACGGAACGGAACGAATTATGTAGAGTGGTTAGGATCGGAGCAGATCGGACCAAACCGTATCGTTGCATGGCAGTGAGCAGTATAGGGAAAGGGAAAGTAGGACTAGAGAATGAGGGGGAAGAGAAGGGGCGACTGGTGGAGGGGAGTTGGCAGTAGGGTCGGTGGGGAAAAGGCAATAGCAAGACGTAACGTTCTCCCACTCTTGAGGCCCCAGCTTTACCGAGTCCGTTCGCGTCGGCCAGTTCGTTAGTAATTACACGACGAGAGATACGTTTTGGTTGGGTATCGTACCGTAGAACTTGGTCGTGTCTGAATACTGTTTGGGTGTGGCGTTTGTTTTTATAGGATCTGGTGTAACATCGTCGATAATTATTCTCATCGAAGACTGTTCAGTAGTTACAAAAGGAAGAAAAGTTTGAATTCACAGTGGTGGCTGCAAGTTTGGACTAAGCTTACGTACGTTGAAAGTGTTCCCGCTAACGGAGTGTGTAACGTTAAAACCGTTGAATACCACCTGTTTTCCAAGGTAGAAAAATGCTGCAATTTCGACGGATTTCGAGAAATATGCTTTCACATTGTCGAGTTAGTACAACGGGAAGATTGTTTACGTGTGTTTCTCGGGCAACGTTACATTTTGTAAATGCTGCAAGGAACGATAGTCTCTCGAATCCACGAGTATAGTGAAGATTTTGCATGCACGCAACCTTTCCTCTACAGCTCTGAGGATTCTCGTGTGCCTCGTAAGTCGGATCACATTGTTTCCGATACTTTCGATGCAAGCCAGTATTCTCCTTCCAAACCGACAAAATCTCCGTTACTTGTTACTTGGAGGCGTCAAGTTGTGTTTGGATCATCATATGTCTTTCGTGTCCGCCGTATTTTGTTCAACCGCATCGGAAGAATGACAGTCTCGGAAGAGTAAGTACGATGACGCATCGAAGTACTTCCTGTCCTTTTTTCCTCTCTCTTTTTGACTGACTGATTTTTATACTTTACAGTTTTAACAGCATTTAATACACGATAGTATTGAGTTTGCCGTTTCATACATTTGTATAATTTATTTCTATAAATTACTTATTTAACGCTAACAATGGGCGAGTTTTGCCATGTGTTTTTCGCATTGAATGTTGTACGTTCTACAGTAATCGTGAATAATAGCAAAATGTTCGTTTTTGACAAACTGTACAGTGCATTTTTTCACTAAAAAACTGTTGCTACGTTTATTCACAAGCTATTACTTTTACCTCCTTCGTATCGTGTTTGTGACAAATATTCACCTGACCTACATATCACGAATGAACAAGAAATTGGCTTGTAGAATAGAAAAAAGAGAGAGTGAGAGACGCGAGTAGAAATTTTCTTTAACGTATACCTAGCAATAGAGTCCAACGGCTTATCGGAAATCACGGTATTACTAATGCTTTTAAGTAATTAGAGGGATAGTAATCTTGCAATTAGCATCGAGCATACAAGAGTCTAATCGTTGTTGCAAATCGTGTTATTTTAAACAGAAATTGAAAGTACGAGATACAAAGGAGGAAAAGAACGAAGGGCAACATTCTATGAGATCGTGTTGGTATGTTATCCGGTGAGAAAATTTCGCGCCAAGAATGATCGGCTCTAGTCGTACAAACATCTGGTTCGGGTGAGCATTGGAACGATCGCAGACACTCGTAAGGGTTGTTGTATCATGCAGAGGGTACTCGAGCGTGTTCGAGTTACTCGAGCGCGCTTTTAAGGTTTTAAGACCGAATGCTGTCGAAGGAGATAGGAATGCATGGTATGCGACTTGTTCGTTGCGACGCGTTCTACTCCGAGTTGGCCCGATTCGATTCGACGACAACAGCCGAGGAGGGCCGAGTCGAGCCGATCGCGACCGATTCAAACCGATCCCTTTCCTGCCGACTGTGACAAACGTCCCTTTGCTTTGTTGCTCGACTGCAAATTTCTCGAACGCTTCGTGACCCTGATTTACCGATCGTTCGAGGACCATGTCTGTTCCGTCATGCATTTTTCCTCGCTCACCTTGCTAGATGCGTAAACCATTACACGTCATAGGAAAATTCTCTCGGTAAGCTGTTCTCTCCGTTTTTATTAATCTCTTGTGCCACGCGTAATTTCAAATAAATACACTCACCCAAAAACAAACAGACAAGTTTCGAAGTAACGCAATTTATCGATGATTCGCTATCGCGTTTTCAAGTTTATAGATAAGAAACGATCGCTGGAATAATATCGATAAGACAAGACGGGTACAGCTGCACGCTTGGCAGCGAATCGCGGCGAAATTGAGAAGCATTGATGTATAACGGTGCATCCTTTTTACACGAGTGACAAGGTGCACTGTCGTCGATTGTCTTTCGCGTATCAAACGACTTGAGATTTCGACTGTCCATTAGCAATTTTACCGAAGGTAATTAGTGATTCTTGTTCTTGGCGAAACGATCGTCGAGAAAGGTTCTTAATGCGCATCGTAGATAGTAATTGGCGCATAAAAACGGGATAGAATTTGGAGAAACTAACGACGAAATGTCACTGTTATTCGTATACGAAAAAGGTCAGGAAAGCAAAGCTTAATATCGTCGGGATATTGAAAAGCTTTAACGTTCATTTTTGTTCCCTATACTTACTCGTTTTTATCTTTTTTTTTTTCAGAATGGCCACGGAGTTGGCAAGTAAGAAGGCCGAACGCGAGGCACTGCGTGGCGTGATTCAACAATGGAATGCCAACCGCTTGGATCTGTTCGAGCTTTCGGAACCGAACGAAGTGAGTTTCCGTATTGTTTCTCGTCAGTGTCCGGTGGGTTTTTCAATCGCTCGATCGAGATCTTTTCTGACGTTTGTCCGATTTTTCAGGACTTGGAGTTTCACGGAGTAATGAGATTTTACTTTCAAGACAGTGGTCAGAAAGTCGCGACCAAGTGCATCAGAGTAGCATCGGATGCGACGAGTCAAGCGGTGATCGAAACTCTTATCGAAAAATTCCGTCCAGATATGCGAATGCTTTCGGTTCCAGAATATGCCCTCTATGAAATTCACGAGAACGGTGGTAAGTAGATATAACGTATACAAGATAACGTACCCTCTCCCCTTGTCCTGTTTCTTTTTCCCCGCTCATGTTTTGGGGGGACAACGGGGAACACATAACGCGACATCGATTTCGATCGAGCGTCTTACACGCGCGGAAGTTAAGCGTATTTACTAATCGAGTTTCGTTTACAGAAGAACGTAAGCTCAGGCTGGATGAAAAACCGTTGCTGGTGCAATTGAACTGGCACATCGACGACCGCGAGGGACGTTTCCTTTTACGAAGAATCGACGACAAAACCAACGCTCAGGGCGTTGGTTTTTCTTGTTCAGACGGATCCAGCTTTCGCAGAAAGCTGAGCAAACGCGAGAAGAAGCAAATGAAAAAGCAAGAGAAGCTCAGTCGGTTGAAGAGTCTGGAACAGGACGAAAACGCGGTACCCGTTGATCAGAATGGAGTGGCGGAGAAACTGTATACGGGTAATGACTGTCGATCAGATTTTGCTTGTTAAAATATATTTAAAAACGAATACGCTTTGGTAAGGAGACGTTTGTTATTTCAGAGCTACCAGAAACTAGTTTTACCAGAAGCATTTCGAATCCAGAAGCTGTAATGAGAAGACGACGACAACAAAAGCTGGAGAGAAAGTTGCAGCAATTTCGCAGCAAAGACGGCGGTCCTGATACGGGTGGAACGTTGAAGATTTACGGCGAGGCGCTTTGCAAAGACGTCCCATACAAAACGTTACTTTTAAGTGTACGGGATTCGGCGGTTCAAGTTGTACGGGAAATGCTCTCGAAATACGGTTTGGAGAAGGTTGATCCGCAACAATATTGTCTCGTGCAGGTCAGTCTCTCCTTTACTTTGTTCTTTTTTTTTTTAACGAATACAATTCAATTAACGTATCTCTTATCGCATTCAGATACATATATATAAATACGATTATATTCGTTGATATTATCGATTGTGGAATTGTATCCAATCCTTTGCTATTTTATTTTGAACATTCCACAGGTGAACAGCGAACACGTGAGCGGAGGAACACAGCAGGAATATATATTGGACGACGATGAATGTCCTTTGGCCATTCTTATGAATCATCCTTCTGCACGGGGTGAGTTGGTTTAAAATCTTAAATATTCCTCGAATCCTTTGCGTCAACGAATATTTAAGAAGCACAGAATTTACACGATGACTGTTCCAGTTAAATAAATCGAATGCGATTACCGTTCGTTGTAGGTATAATCTTATTAACGAGAGATATTCGGTGTTAATCGTCGTGGAACTTTTCGAACTCACTCGCTAAGCTTGGATATTTGATAGAAAGACCGGCTAATCGATTGGGTATCAAATCGAATACCGAATATATCGAAAACATCGCTATAAATGGAAGAAATTTGTTCAGTTCAATAGATTACTTTGGAACGGAAACAAAGAGCGAGGCCATTAAGCGAAGATACATTGAAAATTTTTATTTCTTTCTGCGGTAAAGTAAACGTTGCAAAGGAATGTTAAGTTGGTCGCATGATTGCAATGTATGGTTGTGCATCGACGTCTATTAAACACGGATGACTGTAACTCATTTCTGATCGAGAAACACGCAAAAAATCGCTGACCAACGAGTGGATAATTAATCATTCTTCAAACAAATGTGCTTATCTCGAAACGTAATGCTTATCTTAAAAATTATGATGTATGCGATTAATCTCAAACTATTGGAGTACACGTACTCTCACATCACAGACTTTCATGATCCTTTCTTGTGCTCTTTTTGGTGCACACTATAACACAGTGTGTTTCAGGATTCGCTTCCTCGTTTATAAAATTTGATCGTCAATCGACTGGTACGATTTTCTAATCTACCGAATAAAATAAAAAAAAACATTCTTCGAAAGATTAGAGAGCCATGTGTTTACACTTTTGCTCGTCACTGTATACCGATAGGTACACGCGCGTGCGCCAATTCCTCCTCTGTTCGTTCATGCTAACCAACGACTGGCCACCCCCGTTTCTATCTGCAATGCTCAAGTTCATTCGCGCAACATTGTGACGTAATGCAACGATACTTCTTGTCAGTCGTGATTCGAACTTGGTCGCGACGCGAACAAGTCTCGGTGCAATTCTCGCTCGAGTAAGGAAGAGAGTTTGCTTTTACCTTGGCCAGGCAGTTCTGAACTTCCGTGGAAATAGTTGTCACGATGAAACGAGATCGGTTGGCCGGTGTTCAGGATTGTACGATATCGCGCGTGAAAGATCACCGCGAACCGTGGTGCAATGTAACGAATAGTATACGGTAAATCGTCGAAATATCGGGACGATACGTTTCGAAATGGGGTGATTGGAAACGTATTTATCGCTGCAGCCTGCCCGGGTGTGAAAACGTGCCACTCATCGTAATTATTTGTAAACGAGGAAACCTAACTGCACGACTTTTTTTGCGAGATACGACGGGGTTTATTCGGGGTGTAAGAAAATCGAGGGATAGACGAGGGCATACGACGATAGCATCCCGGGCAGAGAAGAACCAAACCAGCGAAAAATCGCTATGGTACATTAAGGGGAAACGATATCATTTTTCACAAGCAAGCTCTTTGTACGATTTTTGTAAATTCCTGAAAGGAATAAAGAGAAGACGACAGTATATATTTTGTCAAGTATATTCGCCTTAGAAGAAAGATCGTGAAACGTAGAGGACCAAAATTCTGACGGACCATCTTTGATCGTAAAGGGGACCACATCACGAAATCAGGGACCACAACTGTAAAATCAGCGTGTTTTACGCAACATGATGGATTGGGGGATTAGACGTAAGAATCTTGCCCTAAAACCTTTTTCTTGTAACGAATTCCGATTCACGTGTTTTCCCCTTTTCCTTCGTTGTTCTCTTTTTTAACCGTCGAATAGTATTCTCGAGAATTGGAACAGAGTGCATGAATATAAATATAACACGCACGACGTAACCTTTGCATAGGGTAGATCAATTCGATCGTCAAATCTCCATGTTTATACGCTACGATGAAAGTATCGGAGAACGTATATATGTACATTCGACATCGATTTTACTGTCGAAGGTCTGGTGCAAGCGACTTTTAAAGAATGTGACTTTGATTATTGATCGTTTTTCAAATACGTTCATCCTACAAAAGTTTCCATTTCTTTATTGTTTCTTTGAGAAATAACGAAATATCGTTTTCGTCCAATGGTAGGATCAAGTTAGCTTTGACCAGAGATCAAATAAACCAAATTTAATAACGTTAGAAACGTTCCTGATTTTTCGTGTCCGTTCCTTTATGTTTGCGTTGATTTCGCAATCTCAACGATGGGGAAGCATCGTTCGACGAGTTAGTGTATCGATCGTAGGAAATGGAAGTAAAAAGGTGCGCTTGTGTCGACGCACGTGGACTATCTAGGTCAGTTGGACACGCAACGTCTAAGACGTTACGATTTCGCGTCGATACCGACAACAAACATAAGGCGATCGTTGTTTTGCCGCTTGAAATAAGAAATGAATGAAATTTTAGGAATCTAATTATATAATTATAGGAATAAACTAAACTAGGAATTATACCAGGGGGGGTAGTGGATGTTTCGATCAAAACACGATTGTTATAGAAATGAAATGAACCGTGACGAGATACGATTAATTAGAATCTTTCGTATTGTTTTCAGGTTCAATTATGTTCCATGTACGTAGAAGACCCGCGGATTACGTGCCTCGGAAGCGCAAGAAAAAACCTAGCGGAAAGTGGAACGAGTTTGACCACAGGTTTGTAAAGAAAGCAGCCATCTCCCTACGATTTGGTTTGGCGAACAGATTTTTTTTTACAAAGACGTTGGATTCGATCTAGCATAGATCGAAGGGCGTGTGCCCGCGCATGTGGACTAGCTATCCGGACCTTAGGGACCATGGATGTAATGATTTATTGTACGATAGTCATAGGTCGAGTTGCAATAATATTAGTGTGTCATATGTTGTACCGTGATCCAATACGAATCTTACACGTTTATAATTATTTTTCAAACAGTCTTCCCAACGATAGTTTCAAATATACATATAACGCGTAGAAAAAAAGTAACCATATATGGACAGGTTAATAAAATAATTAGAATCATATAAATATCATAAATATTAAAGAGGACAAATCGTTACGTCTATGGATTACCGTGAGTAATCGATGCAACGAGTCTACGGTTCGCGTGGTTTGGTTGCCGCAGGTACGAGGACGAGAGATTACCATTTTTGCTCGAATTAAATCCTGATGGAAGTGACGTTCCGAATGGAGCCGGCATACGACACCGGTTGCAGCCTAACGTGACGGAGGTAGGCTCGGAAAGGCCCATAGGTCCACAGGCTGTACAAGCTCAAACCCTAACATTGACGGGACCGATGGTCATGCCGAGGCATTGTGTGATTGCTTTTACTGAAAATATTGTTACACTTACGCCTTGCTCCAGAGACGCTCACACATACGTTAACAATCAGAGGATACATCAGACAACGATACTCCAGGTAACGTTTCATTGCATTGTGTTGTGTGTACACGTTTTGATGGGCAGTATTCCAACCATTCTGTTTATAGAAAACAAAATAGTACCCTGTATATGCTACAAATTTTTCATGATTCTTTATCTTTTCACCAACATTTTTAGAACGGAGCTATCGTCAAGTTTGGCAGACTACATACCTTCAGATTCATCGACCCAGCGCCCGAGGAACGCATCAGACAACGACACGATTCCGGGAGGCAAATCGAATACGGCTACGACCGGTGAGTGCATTCAGTACGATTAGCAAAGGAATAGTCTCGCTTGTTCGTTGTTTCGCTCGGAATGAATAATATGAGATACGCGATACGAGACGCACGATGCACGTTAGAACAACGAATAAACGAGTAGATGGATAGACACGTTAAAAACGGCCACGTAGCAACTCGTGGACGATCAAGATAATTTAGGGAGTAGGTTAGAGACCGAAGGTTTAAGGAAAAAGGAGGAAAAACTCCCCGGGGGAAGTGTCTGCGCTTGAAGTATCAGGTGAGAGAGTAAAAGGATGTAGCGAGTAGACGAGATCGCCCGAATTTGGCTGCTGCGATGGAAAAAAAGATCCGCGTTCCGGGAGCACGCTTGTTTTTATTACGTATAGTTGACGAGGTCGGTGTATCCGGCGAAGAACGTAGAGTCGCCGAAGGCTCTCGTCCCCTGGCACCCTCAAGTTTTCTTTCGTTTTTCGTTTCTTGGTTTTCGCTTCTTTTTCTCCTGCACGCGGCCTGCTTCTGTACCGTAGACGCTCCCCAGACTTGACCAATCAAGAGACGAACGCGGAAAGATACGGGTCTGCGTCCGGAACTCCGAACGGTGGTCAGGTTCAAGGTCAAGGCCAGGGCCAGCCGGGTCAGGATCAACCGTCCCATCCGTCTAGTCCGAGCAAGTCCGCCGCGTCTGGCACCGCCGCAGTTTCCCTCGCTCGAAGCCCGAATCACGCGCCGGAATCCACGCACAATTACGAAACTACCTTCGATCTCGATGGGAACGTTGAGACCGCCAGTCTGACCAGCAGCAGGGACGGTAACAGGTAACGGAAGCAGTGGTTTACCACTGGACGAAAAAAAAAGCTTCGCTTTTGTCTCGAAGTGGCGTGATGTGCGCACGGAGATATGCGTGCTTCCGTGAGTGGATGGGTGTGTGCGTGCGTGTGTTCGAACGGGGGGGTTGGAAAGAGGAGACGGGGCACGAAACACTCGGTCGCGATAAAGGAGCGATTCGCTGGAATTTTTTTTTTTTTTGCAACCACGAATTTCGTTCGATTCGGGGAGAACGAATGCAGGAGTAAGAGCAAAGAGTAACATGGATGTTTGTTCCCTGTTTCGACAGAACGTTGCAAAACGATCGACAACCACGCGGAACGGATCCGATATTGCCGGCTGTGCTGGAGTTTCTCGAGGAAACGGAGGAGACCTTCTTTCATGCTGTGATCACGGATGTGGAGCCGTCTGCGCCTCAGTTTAAACTCGCGCCAACGTACACGCTTTACTTGGCGGCGAGATATCGCGCGAGCACGCACTATAGACCGGAGTTGCAACCTACGGAGAGGGCGCATAGATTGACGGTGATGTTGGCGAACGTCGCCGGTATGATACAACGAGTGATACAGGTAATGGTAAAGGAGAGAAATAAGAATGGAAGATTGAAACGATGAGTAAAATTAAATACGTTTAACGAATTGTTTAATAATGATGAATTTCGAAACCGTGATAGCATGTTATAAATGTTGATAGGAACGGTACATGGACGCGTCCTCCTTGGCTCTTTGGTTGGCGAACGGATCGGAACTGCTGAACATGCTAAAAAATGATCGACACGTAGGGGCGTTCTCGACGAGGGCACAGGACATTTTGACGGAGGCGGTTCACGCGGCATTCGCGTCGTTGGTGCGCTGCATTTCTCTGGAACTTGCGCCGGCGATGTCGCAGTTCATGGCGGACGCCGACGAGCCCGCCAAGGAAGCCGGGGTCCTGCAAATATTCTCGAGCACGATGGCTCTGCTGAGGCGGTGCCGAGTGAACGCCGCCCTCACGATTCAGTTGTTCAGCCATCTGTTTCACACGATAAACGCAACCGCGTTCAACGCGTTGGTCTCGAACACGAACTTGTGCGTAAGGTGGTTCGGTCGTCGGCTGAAAGCGAGATTGAACGCTCTCGAGACTTGGGCCGAGAGGCAGGGCCTCGAGCTTGCGAGTCAGTGTCACCTGGCGACGATCATGCAAGCGACCCATCTCCTGCAAGCGCCGAAATATAACGCGGAGGAGCTCGCCACGTTGAGCTCCACCTGTTTTAAGCTTAATTCCCTCCAAGTCAGGGCGTTGTTGCAAAAGTATCAACCAGCCGCGGACGAGCCGAGACTTCCGGCAGAGTTGATCGAAAACGTAGTAAAGGTAAGTCGATTTGCAAATTCATCATATCTTTTATCGTATTACAATAACGTTCAGTTGCATTGCGTTACGTTGTGCGAACGTTTCAGGTGGCGGAAAGCGTGGCCGATACGCTCGCGCGTGCCGATGGTAGAGAAATTCGACTCGAGGAGGAACCCACGCTAGCGTTGGCTCTTCTTCTTCCGGAGGACGGATACAGTTGCGAAGTAATACGCGGAGTACCACCGGGTTTGGCTGAATTTCTAGCTCCCTTGCAACGAGACGGTTTGTGTCGAATGGCGCCACAGCCTACGAGCAGTGGATACTGGACCATATATATGATAGATCATCACAACAACGTGAGTCATTTCCTCCGTGTCTTTAACATTTAACCAGGATGATGTTTAATCGATCTTTATCGCAGTTTCGTAGTCCCAGTGCGATGAGTAACAGGTCTGGAGGCTATTCGTGTCACACTGGACCTAGCTCGGCTCAGCCAGAGATTCACGTAATAAAGTTACATAAATCGACCAATGGAATGGGTTTGAGCATCGTCGCAGCAAAAGTTTGTACCACGATTCTGAAGCTCGTCAGACAGTTTTGATATTTAAAAATCTATGTGAAATTTTTCGTTCGTGTTTTGCAGGGTGCTGGTCAAGATAGGCTCGGAATATACATAAAGAGTGTCGTTGCAGGCGGTGCTGCTGATGCTGTGAGTACAGATTTATGATCAAAAGATCGCACATCGACTTTTAAGGGATCCTCATAAAGGTTATCTTATGAAATTTGCACAGGATGGTAGACTAACAGCAGGCGACCAGTTACTTAAGGTGGACGGACAAAGTTTAGTCGGAATTACTCAAGAAAAGTGAGTACACGTTGGAGACAACTGGTGACCAATTTTAATGTAACTTTCATGTACGTCCACCTATTCTTTAGGGCTGCCGAATATTTGGTGCGTACCGGACCGGTAGTAACCCTCGAAGTTGCCAAACAGGGTGCCATATACCATGGTTTGGCCACTCTACTGTCGCAGCCTTCGCCTGTTATGACCAGAGGTGCGTATTTTTTCGTTTTCCGCGCGATATCTGGGATCCCTCCTCCTCTTTTTCGATGGTGTTCCATCGATTCTCTTACACGGTCATCACGATTCCGTTCAGAGCCATTCCGATCGAAACGCGTATCGCGAGTCGAGCAACGAGCTCGAAAGAGAAAAGTGGCGCGAATCCGCGACCAGACCGACCGACTTTCTCGCGTCCAATAATCCCGCTTTGTTCCGCGATCAGCTCGAGGGGTAATGTTCCATGCTTTATGACGCTTTCTCTAATCGTTCTCGCTCGCATTACGTATCTCGGTCTGCCTCGTGCGAGGCCGCGAGGTGTAAATAATCGCTTGATTAACGCTTTACTAACTGATTCTTCCCCGAGCAGCGCACAAAGCCCGACCCAAGTCCGAGCATTTGGAAGCTCCGAAGGCGCAGGAAGCGAACGAGCAGCCGTCTACATCCCATTCGATGGGTAATTTGTTGACCGTACCGAGGCACGCGATCGATTCGGTCCGTTCGATCGATCCAGTACCATCAGGTGCGACAATCACCCTGATTTCCGAGGGTCAATCATACAATTTCGATTCCTTGAATACCGCGTGTCGTTTGAACCGAACGAACGACCCGTGGCGCGTTTTGCCGCAGGATACGCGACGGTGTTTTCGAGACGAAAATCCGTGGGGTTTCGTAGATCGTGGCTCGATCGTCGGGCGCAACGAAGCAATCTTGGTACAACGAGTTTGTCCGTCGCGGGAAGAAGAAGCTTCGCTTCGTGCGGCTCTCTGTTCGTCTCTCGGGACTCTGCCTGCGTCTACTCGAGGCCATTCTTACGTTCCGCTTAATGATCCGCGTTCTTGGACCGATCGTCTCCCCCCAACCGATACAAACGTTCGACAAACCTGTCCGCAAATACAGGTCGCGGATAACGATCATACGTCTATCGACGCGAACGAATCCTCGACCGTGGAAAGCAAACTCGACAGCTTCTCTCTCGACTCGATACCTTACATCGATCAGACGGATGATACTTGGCTGGATGAATCGAACGATAGCATAAACGATCATCAGACTGAGACTGCGACCACCATGTCAAGGTCCTGTTCCATCGAATCGCTACGTCGACTCGACGTGCGAGAACCAACGACGACGATCAAGCAACAGCCTTTCGAACAAGAAACGAGGGACACTGATTTAACATTAGAGAAGTTAGAAATAGAAACGCCTACCTCGACGAGTAGTTCGTTGGATAGAGAATCGATGGAGTGTGAAACGAGAGAGAAGAGCCAAGCGTTTAATGTCTCAAGGGTGTACACCACGATCCCGGAATTAAATCTCGATTTGTCTGGCCTGGACAGCGACACGTCCAGCGACGTGTCGAGCTTCGAGAAATGTTGGAAATCGCCGGAAGAAGTACGCCTTGGATGTGGCCGGGTGGCGGCTCTGGCTAAACATTTTTCCAAGCTCGGGAACGCTGAGTCGGTTGTGTCGAGATCGAACACAGTCAGGCTGGGAAACGATTCCAGAAGATTTGCATCCGAGCCGAACTTTGTCTCGCCGGAAGTATACGAGACAAGACCCGGTCATCGTTTCTCCGTTGTTGGCAAAGAATATCTGTCCGAATTGGATTTGCGGATGAGCAGCGAGGAGTACGCGCGACACGGTAGCGCGATCGAGGATATTATGACCAAGAAGAATGAAAAATCGACGAGCAGCAAAGAGAAATTGTCGTTGTCGGAGCAACGACGAATAATAGAACAGCTCGAAGAAATGTCCAATCTCGACGACGCAGTCGTTCATCCCTGTTCATCTTGCGAAAATATCGCCACGTCTTCGGATGATATTCTTTATGAAAATTTGGATTTGAACGTGAACGAGCACAGTGACGTTCAGGATGACTATACGGAGGAGAAGTTATTCGACGCTCGATTTCCAAGGCAATTTTCGAGCTCTTATCCATGTTTGAAGAAAATCGATTTACTAAGAGGCAGAGAAAATAAGATAGAACGACGCTCGCAAAGTTCTTTCGTCGATGGTGAATCACGACAAGCAAGTGACGCAAAATTCTATTGGGTTATCCATGAATTGAAAAACAGTTCGTCTCAAGATTTGAGATCGTGCACCCAACGAAAGGAGGATCGTACCTCTATCGAGACTCGACCAGAGAGTAACAACGACCAGGAAGAACGTACTATAATTCCTGGTGACGATTCTGCCAACGATTCGACCAAATATCGACAGAAATCGATCTATCCAAGATCAAATCGAACCTGTCTAGAAGTTGGTTCTGTTTTACGTAAGCAAACGACGCATTGCTCGCGTTCCTTGAATGTTTGCCTGCCGAGTTTGGACATGATCGTTGTATCCAACACGCCTGAACATCCACGCCCAGCAATTATATGTACACGTTGACGAATTTCTTTTAATCCAAGCCATCGGTTTTTCACCACGCATGGCGAGGTTTTTTTTCATTAAACGGTTTCGTCGACCACAGTTTTTTGGTTCCCCTTTTTAGTTAGCAATTTATTCGCGATCGAATTCAGTGTCGTAACCATGACAAAAACGTTTTAATTTTTAATTTAGATCCTAGCAATGGCCCGAGCTAGTTCTACGTGCAAGCAAGTCCGTTTGACGTTCTTTCGTTCGCCTCGCCTATACTGTTCGTTTCACATGCGTTCTCGTTCGTGTTCGTGTTCGCGTTCGTTTTCGTACACAAAACATCTTGCACGCGTATACGCACTACGTGCACGTTGCATGCTGTCTGTTGGCTTGCTCACGCTAGCTATAGATGTTACCTTCTCGTACGGTCCCGTACGAGAAACCTACAGATACGTGTTTTTGCATCTTGTGCTTATCGCAGGACCTCGTCGCATGAGTGAACGAGATTTACCGTCGCGACTTGGACGCGACGCAACCGCTCCTCAGCAACAAATACATACCAGCAAGTCCGTGCCAGCGTTGCACAGTAAGTAACAGTATGACTGACGTTGGCCCATCGATTTGCTATCGTATTTTTACAACACCGTGTCCGTCGTTGCTATTGCCTTTCACTCGTTCATTCTTCTCTGCTCTGATTTTTCGACGTTACTCTCCTGAAACTTGTCATCAGCCACATGTTTACATAAACATTTGTTATTGTTATTGTACTTTTATTTGTTCACCGCGTCGTTTCATTATATTCGCGAAGAGGAATGATTGGGGAAAAAGGGAGTATGTTATATATTTGCGACTTATTACAGACGTTGGCACCGACGGGAAACAACAACACGAGGTATTCAATCCTGGTTACAGCAGAGCATCGTCCAGCAACAGCGTTACACCACCGGTTACCCAACCACCGTCGATGACCGCAATCAACGGTACTACATCGCTGCGTTCTCGGCAAGTACAATGAATATCAGATGCATTGTTATTCGAATATGTTATTTTTGCCCTCGAGAATATACGTTAACTTTCTCATCCTATAAAACAGCTCGAGTCATAATTTGCATGACCCGATAAGGATCGGAACACTACCGCCAAGCGGACTTGTAAGTAGACAGCAATCATCGCCGAATTTAAATCCCGGTCAGACGACCGCGAGCAGCAATAGTTCGACGACTGCCATCGGAACAGGCTCCGCAAATATTCTTCAAAGCAACGAAGCCGAACGATTTTATCAGAACTTGAGTGTCTACAGAAATCAAGACGCAACGGCAAAACAGCGATATAGCCCTTCTCAACACTCGGACGAAAGGTAAGCTTTAGCTTTTATTTGCTGTGATTTGTTCGTTGATCGTACGGTGATCGTATTTTTCGTGTTTCAGAAATCCACTCCAGTTGCAGAAGAGTTCGAGGGGCTCTCAGAATTCTTTAAATCGTCCAGGTACGTTCGAAACGAGCCAACCTAGGGATCGACCGATATCCGCCTACGTATCGCAAGCTCAGCAACAGTCTTACTTCGGTGGCCAATCGCAACAACAAGGCAACGCGGCGCCTCCGAGATCGCAATCCTCGCGGGACATAATACGACAGGAAGCGAAGCTTCAAGAGATGCAAGAGGAAGTCAGGAGACGCGAATTGCGAGGTGGCGTACCGATCCCCCCGAATCAGTGTCGACCTGCCACGTACAACATAAAATCTAATATGACGCAACAGTCGACCAATACGGTCGTTCGACCGACGAAATCGATCAGTTCTCAGCCAAATTTCGGATCAAATACGCCGGTGGCGGTGTCCTCGCCGACGATTTCGACGGCTGGTCATGCCGCGAGGCAAACGACCGCTGCAAATTACGGTTACATGGACTCGCATTACGGACCGTACGTGGTCCAGTATGGCAAGTCTCCGCCCACGCATCAGCATCAGCATCAACATCAGTATCCGCATCAGCACCAGCATCAGCATCAACTTCAGCCGCAGCCTCAGCTTCAATCGCAGCATCAGCACCAGCATCAACATCAAAATATGCAACAACAAAACCTTGGACACGTTCAGTACAACACCCAACCGACGAGGGGAAAGAACGACTCGACTCGATTGCAACCGAACGGGATGTCGCTTGACTACGGAAGGGATCAAGGTGGTCAAGAAATTGGTAGACCGTATGCCGACCAAACTCGGCACTTTGCTGCTGGATCGCAGTATTATTTGAACGGCGGTTCGGATGCGCGAAGCGATCAGTATATCAGTGAAAACGGCACGAACAGAACGCAAACTTTACCGGAAGGAACCGCGTCCATCCAGCCGAATGAAATTGCTCCTATACGACCTGTACTTCCCGAGGATGGATTCAGAGAAAGTCCTCCGCCCCCACCACCGAACACGACTCATCCTCTCTACAACAAGCAATCGGATTCGAGATACACGGCGAGCATGCAAGATCCTCCTCGAGGTGGATATTACCCGGCAAATGGAACGGCGGGGACTACTTTGCAACCGCGACAATATCAATACAGCGCTACAAATCCTTGGCAGCGAGAAGAAAGGGAAAAGGAACAAGCGCTGAGGAGGGAAGCTGCGAGACAGTGGCGAGATCAACAAATAGCGGAATTGAGTGCATTGCCTCATAGAACCTCGCAACAGGAGGAGCAGCTTCGAGCTCTCCAGTTGGAAAGAGATTTCCAAAAGAGAGCTGAGGAAGTTGCTAACCAGCAAGACGACGAAGAGGAAAGTAACGATCTGGATGCTGAAAGCATGCAGCGAGTTCAGGGTTTGCTTCGTCCAACTACGACTCAAGAGCGAGGAAATCTGCCGGAACAACATAATCCTAATTTGTCCAGGGTGAACGTTGCCAGTCAGTCTGCTCGTGGTAGCCACGGTGTTCAATCTCTCGGTGGATCGATGCATTCTACGAGTGTTACCGCGCACAGTGTCGGTGCTCAGCAATGCTCGCAAAGCATTTCAAACATCTCTTTAAGCCAGCAAGAAAACTCTGGCTCTCACTTGTCCCAAAATCTCCAACACGAACATACCAATCAAGTACAAAACGCTGTCGGGCAAATACCGATGTCATCCTTGATTCAGTTGGCTACTTCTCAGAAGTCCTGTTCTCTTGGCATTCCTCAGTCCATCGAGGACAAAGAAATTCAGCGCAGGCAGGATGAGATCAAAAGAAAGCAGATCGAATTCGACGAAACTTTAAAACGGAAGGAAGAAGAGGCTAAACAACAACAGATCCAACACATATATCAGCAGCAACAGCAGCAGTATTTACAACAATCGCAATCCCATCTTAAGAATCAACAAGTATTACATCCTAGTATGTTGCGGTTGGAGAATCTGGTTATCAATGGACCGAATACAACCTGTAAGTACATACTACGTACGATGAATTAAAATGAGTGAAAAATATACTCGTATGTGTATAAACTAGCCAACTACATATTTTATAGCAACCCAAAATGGTAATAGTGACGCACCTTTGCCACCGGAACGGGGCTCTAGCTATGCAGTGATGTCGCAACAAGGTGCTCTCAGACCGAATAGCGTGAACGCGTCTAATATGATGCCATTGGCCCATCCTCAACAGCCAACTTCCATTAAAAGAGTCTCGTTTCACGACTCGAACGCGAATCCGGCGGAAGCTATGCAACGAAACGTTTCGACTGGAAATTTAAGCACACCGCCATCCACAACTATGGATATTATCGCGGAAGATCCAAATGTAAGATTCTCGAACTGTCCTTTCTTTTATTTGTACAAAACTGAATTTCCCCAATTTTCCTGTTGCATATATTTTACCGTCTTCTTTATTTTAGAAAATTTGTTTTTATTTGATTTTAATCGCGATAAAAGTTTCATTTGAATTTGATTGAACATTTGTATTTCAGAATTAACATGTCAGTGGACGATCGTAAAAAGATTATCAGTTTCTCGCCTGATTCCAGAATTTCATCAACGATGCGGAAAATTTATTGGCGTCTCCAAAGACACCGGAAGGATCTGGTATTCCAAGTACCGGCAGCACACCTGGCGTGATAGGTGCTCAGGAAGTTTACAAGTAACGCCACGTTATTGTTATTGTACAGCGTATAAATCGACCCAATTGCATACACGGTAAAAAAAATATTTTGATCGCTCGATTGTCCAGGGATCCGAGGCAAAGACGATTGGCCGAGAAGCAAAAACTGCAACAGAATTCTCAAATCGGGCCGGTACCTGAGAAACTCAGCTTTAAAGAAAAGATGAAAATGTTCGCGATGGAAACCGGCGAAGACGGGACACCTCGTGATAAAGTGAAGATTTCACGCGCCCAACGCGAAATTGATAACATAGGTAATCCTACAGCCCTAAACAGCAATAACAACAGCACCAACAACAATAACAACATTGGTAGCAATACTTCTATCGCCAACAACAATAGCAACAATAGGAATTAAGACTGAAATCCTAAATCAATTTCATTCGTAAGCACGTCGTGTAGTTACTGGCGCAAATAGATGGGGTGTTACGTGGAATCATTCCAACCACCGTTTGCAGAGTTTCTGGCTAAAACTACGTACCTACGAAGAACGCATACGTAACGATTAATAACAAGAATTATTTCGGACAAACGTAATTGTACACTGTCGAATCGTTTCTCGTCCTCGTGGCAGACCACGTTCGATGTACTCGATTCGTAATCTCTTGATCAATTTAACGTTAACATTGAAAAATTTACACGCAACGAACAAAGCTTACGAGAATTATCGCTCCGTAACTTAAAACTATTACGTTGACTTCGCCTAGGCAGCGTACAATAAAGATTATATTTTACGAATGTACATAGATGGTATTAGTATAATTTTTAGAACTACTTGTTATTTACGATGTTGTTTCATATTTATATTTGATATCGCACGTATCGTACCGAGTACGGAGCGTCTCGACGTTACGCGTATGCACGTTTTCATTATTCAGCCAAGCGGCACGAAAGCTTTAATGCGATCGTTCGATAGAACGTGCGCGCGCGCGCGGACTAATCAAACAGGCAGCTTTAAAATAAGACTATACAAGTAGAAAAAAAAAGATACGCGTCCGACCCAAGGCAGTTTAACAATTTTTAACTACGGTTGGGCTGTTACGCGTTGTAGGCCTACCGCGTTGATAGTTGTCCGTCTTCCGCTTTCGTTCCATTCTATTTTGTTTTAATCAACCTTTAAATACTACGCAAGGTTCTAGGGACCCCGGCGTATATTTATTTTTGGTATTTCAAAATGAGAAAAAAACGCGTGCGCTAGGGATTCTATATATTTTTCTTATAGACGGATGATTTTCTTTCTTTTCTTTTTCTTTTTTAATATGAACGTCAAAAGTTGTGTGCATAGTAATTACAGGTTTATTCTATCGACGGTCACACATTGTTCCATTCCACGTCTATTCTTATCGACGATGACCAATTAGATAATTATTTTTTCTTAAGTAATTCAAAGGAAAAAAAACTCTCGAAGGAAGAACATAGAATGACGATTAGTGTTAATTGTGCAAAATAGTCCACTTATGCTTATACACGTAATGCGCGATGAGGTAACAGTCTAGTTATTACGGTTTTTTTTTTCAACATTTTTGTTCGTCACATTGGTTTTGCTAGTATGTGGAGCAAGCGGACGATTGCGACACGCGTTAACGAGACATGTGTAGTAAAGTATCTTCTTTGTTGTGTATAGCAAGCATGTGGTACATTTGCACTATATTTGTTGTAATGTACTTCACGTTCTGTCGAAACGAAAATTGATTTCGTTGGTGACTTAAAGCAAGTACTCTGCGATAGTAAACCTTATTATCAAGTATTGTCACAATTTATTATCCTATACATTACCGATTATATTTTTAAAGATCACATATTTTTTAACTATTGTAAAGAAGTATGATGCGAATGAGAAATATAAGAGTCACTTGTAATTTCAAAAAACGGTGGAAAAGATACGCTAGACGAAGTTAAAGTTATTCGTCCATTGTATTTCGGTGGGATGTGTGTATGAACACAACGAAATTTCAACAACGTTAGGAGTAAAAGCGATAACAGAATTTTTGGCAATGTACAGGGAGAAATCTTTGTTGCACGCAAAGGAAGGCAAATATTTGTACACACATTAGTAAATTCGTAAAAATAGTAATACAGAAACGCATCTCGTGTATCGTCCATTTGCAACTGTTTGGAGTGCTGTCCAATCTTGAAAAAATGGAAGAGACTATACAGTATTTATCTTCTTTGATTATTTTAAATCATCGCTATTGGAAATTTTATATTTTCTGTGTAGATGTAGTTACCGAATGATTTTAACATCTGTACAAAATATAACGAACGAATAAATTTAATTTGTCTAGTGTGTAATTACCTTTTTCATCACCGTGTGTTTTTGTAAAGTATTTTAGCAGCTAGAAAATTTCCTCGATCGTTTTATCAACCATACTTACCCGATTATTAATAAATTCATTGTAAATTTTACGCGGCGAATTGGGCTTTGTTTTTAAATTGTACTCGGGCGGTCGTACAGCCAATCAAATCGCATTTAACGCACCAACGCGTTTCGTTACTGGAACCGCACGGTAGAGAGCGCAGACGCGAGCTACAATTTTGCTGACATTGACTGGAAATTTGCCGAGGGAGGCGGCATTGTCGCGTCAGTCGAAACGACGAATTCCTGTGTTCGATTTGTAAGGTACGGTGGGGCGTCTTGGTCCAAATTTAGTCAAACCTCAGCAATTGATTTGGTCGGATCGAGAGGGACTACGCAAATTTGTTCGAATCCATAACATTTATAAAAGTGAATTGTTCGTAACAACTAAGTCGAGCTACCTTCAACATATTTTCCTATCGACACGTTTATGAGTTGCCTCTCGCAAAGTTAAGCAAGGAAACATTCTTTCAGCATAAATACTTCGAATCGAAAAATCGTTCGGATCGTGTACGTCGAGATAAGCACTGGTTAGAAAGGCAAAGGAACAATTGTTAGGGCGAGTAAGGGTGGAAACGAACAAAGTGGGAGCATCGACAAAGGAGGTGAAATAATTGACAATCTTGCAAAGTAACCAAAGTGTAGAAAGAGCGCGCGCGCGCGCGCTCGCGTGCTATTCGTCGGCGACACAACTCGAAAGGTAAATGTATTTTTTATTTATTTATACGATTCGTCTGTGATGTTTTCGGCCCGAATTTGATCGAACGTAAGGGAACCACGATACTGTCTATGTGAATTGGTTAAACGACATTTGTTCGAAGAATGGTAATAGACCAGAGACGCATAGGATCCTTTGAAATTTGTTTGTTTCCGAAAAGTTGTTTCTGTACGATCGTACAAACTAAAAACAAAAGCTAAGCAACTTTATACGCGTGCGTGCGGAGAATTTTAAGTAACTACAAATTTCCTTATGTTCAGTCCTATTGATCGTATGAGTATACATATATCGGTACATATATATGAGAATGTTCAACGCGCGTGTGTGTTATTTGGAAAATGTTACAAGTCTCGTTTACGTGGCATGTGCCCTGCACTCGGTAAAAAAACTACTGCTCGTGGAGAGGTGCGCATAAAATTGTTGCATTCTATTTTTACAAAGAAAGTATATGAGAATCCTGTCGAGTAATTGACATTCTTCCTCTGAAAGTATTGTATTTCCAATTACTACGTCTTCTCTGCTGGTAGTGACCATGCATCTGCGTTATTGCGGTCAGGTTTTTTTTCCCTCGAGTCTACACATGTAGGTCGGTCGAGCTTCGATAATTGTTGCTCGTGAACAATTTTGTTTAACACTTTAACTACCACCTGCGTTTTATTCCAACTATGATGGCCGAAGGTGCAATGCACTTCACGTTTCGAAGTAAATAATGGTCGCACATACTTTTTCTGTATTAAATCTGCAAGTTTTAAAGCGTCACCGTTATGCTATCAATTCCATTTACAGACGAACAAATTCGTTTTCGATGGATTCAAAAAATTGCAGTCATATTTTATGCATTACAAATGTTTAAGGAATTGGATGATCGATCTTTGAAAACAGTAAAGATTCGGGAGAAAGTACATGCGTCGCGGTTGTATTTGTTTTTATTTCTTACGACTACATATGCACATGATGTTACGATTAAGACGAGAAAGAAAATCGAATTGATATAGATCTTATCAAAAATGGTAAAAAAGCATTGCGTGAGTCTAAGAGCTGCTTATATGTCTCAATCTCTGCATTTTCAGTGGAAGTTTCCGTTTACCTTTATCAGATTAGTATCATTAAAATTTGGTGAGAGATAATTGGTCTCGAAGGTCATACCGTTCTTGAAAATTTCGGATGAGTAAGCGATTCACGATTTTCAATGACTCGTAGTGAGAACACCATCGATCGAGTGAAAGAAACTCAAGATCTTAATTGCTGGTTGGACAGGAAACAATTTTAAAATCTTTAGAGCAAATCTTGACATTTCCAACGATATGTAATTAATAAGAATAGTATTACTTACGTGATAGGAATTCTTAACTGCTAATGTTTTGCGTTGCAATTTGGTGCTGTTCGAAAGCCAAACAATCAACAATAGTAAGTCAGTCGTATAACGATAATAGAGTAAAATCGTTATCAATGACTGTCACATTGCTAAAATAGAAATGTATTTTAGGGAAAACCTAGAGTTTTCCAGGTCCTATTGGCGCTTTGGCATCAGGCCAAATATAGCCGCCAATCGCCAAGCCTACCTATCTACCGAGTTGCCGAGTAAACGGAACATATGGACGATGCATCGATTAGCCGTTGAAATCTACCATCTCGAATAAACCAGTATTTTTTTTTTAAACGTGTAGCGGAATGGAACAAAAAAGAGAGATCGTAAGCGAGTTACCATTGGATTATTATCCTTGTCCTACTCTCGATTAGCAAAGAAACAGGCTTCGTAACATTGGCAGTATCCCGAATTCTATCTCTACTACACACTATTTGATTATTTATTTATACAAGTATCCACAAATCGTGGTGGGTGTTCCCTTCGTGTTCAATCGACTAGTTGTTTTTTTTTTTTTTACAAACCCAATTTGGTTCTTAAGAACCAAATTTTCATGTTTAAAAAATAATTCATTTACTCTTACGCTAAAAGTGACAATTTATTGGTTAGGTTTCTATTTATATGTACCTCGTATTATTTGTTTAAAAGTTTAGGCGCAAATATCTAATATACTTTCAACTGATTTATTTCCTTTATTTTCAATACAATTAACGCAGTTTACAATTACAGTTTATGCAATATTTGATTTTACATTTTGTGTCTGTCTGAAAATATATCCGTGGAATTGAATTATTCCCCTCGTACGTATATGTGTAAATGCGACGCAGTTAATGCGTAACTGTTTAACCTTCGAGACGAAGAAACTGTCGATTAATCATTTTTGTTAACGATAATCATTTAGAAATGGTTTTCCCGTTTTCAATTTGGATAGATAAAAAACTAAAAGTTGCACAATCGATTCGTAAAACAAAAGGCATTGAGATCTTCGATAAGAACGTATCAGTGATGATATTTCCGTAAATATGAAAAGGAGACCGCGATATGTATCTTGATCGAAATCATATTGTGCGATAAATACGCGGTGTTTTGGTAACGAAATGCAAAAAGGTTCCGCAAACGTTCATAAGAGCGATAAACATAGTTGGGTTAGGCGAAGCGCGGGGTGCGAACGGATGCAATCGGCGGAAATGAGATGGAGGGGGTAGGGTGGTAGCGTGGAGGGGGAAGGCGGGGCGAAGCTAAGCAAAGCTTGACGGGTCGAGTGGGATATACCGCGACGTGAGGCGGAACAGAACGAGAAAGGAGTAGTGAAGCGGGGTACGGTGGGACGAGTCGAAATCCGGCAGCGATACGTAGTAAACCGAGCAAAGAAACCGAAGATTTTAAGACGGAACGGGACAAGATAGAACACGGACACAGGCGAGGCTAGAAGGAAACGTGGAATCGACAGGGCTGAGCTATCGGTGGGGAGAAAACACGACGCAAGTCGCGAAAAAATTGAACGGGTGAACATAGAGAGGGTAAAATGGTAGAAGGGAAGGGAAGATGAAATGCGAGCAAGGAACGACGGTAGTAGGCCGGAAGCTTTTTAGTAGCAGTCAAAGGGTCAGGAAATCAGTTGATGCTTGAGATTTCGAGAGATCGGTTTTTCCTGAAATTACCTTGCTGTATCGAAGAAACACGAATCAAACGTAAAGAAATTTGTGTGTCGACGCTGCCGCGCACGAAACCGCGGGGGTAAGCATGTACAATTAATTACTGTACCGCGATAGTCATATTTTACGAGCCACGCGAAGACCCGTGCTGTAAAAACGACTCTCGGAGAAGGCTTGGCAGCCATCTTCCGTGAGACCACATGTCTCTGGTCGAGCGACAGCCAACATTCTTCAGATTTGTCTACACTTGGCGTTATCGTGTGGACGATTTTTCGGTAAACCGAATTTCCTCTAGAGCTGCCACCCGTTTCATAGTACAAAAACCGGAAATTCTAGTAACAAAGAATAACTAGCACGGATGTAAGAAGTTCGTGAAATTTGTGCGAAAGAAAACGCCTTTATTAAAAAGAATAAATGTACATTATATCTAGTAACAAGTATGAAACAACAAGCAAATTGGCTAATGTTTATACTACAACTTTTTTCAATCTGTTTTGTTCATTCACTCGTACGACACTTGGGCTTTTTCACGGTAGATGGCGGTGAAATCAGTATTCTTAAACTTTGAAGTCTCGGGATAAAAACGAAAGAGGTGGCAACACTATGTTCCTGTTACATTTTGGTGGTGTAAACTTTCGTTTGGCAGTTTCTTTTCTACGTATATTGGGAATAGGGGTGACAAACGGTTTACCGATGATCTAGGCTCGATGCAACGTTCTCGTAATGTTCTTCCGCGTTCCTGTTTTACGTTATGTAGTGTATGAACAAAATTGTTGCAATTGCTTAGTTTAGATGAACAGGGAAATACATATTAATAAGACAAGAGTACAAGATGGTGCACGTTTCAATCATGAAAAAAGGCGTAACACAAAGGTAGTATGTAGACATACAACATACCCAAAGCATCTTGAATATAATCGATACGTGACGGGTGGGTTAGGTGAGCCAAGATGAGACAAACATATTATTTTTGCAATTCAGCCTTTGTCGAAAGTAAACTATCCGACGATGTGTATGCGATTCCGCTATGTGGCGAGTGACGTACGAGATCCACCGGTCTCTTGCCCGATATTTACCCATGAGACGAGCGATTTTTCATGGCATGAAACGCGCAATAACTGGATTCAATTTCTCGCTAGCTCGAACTCGACCGCAGAGGTGAACTCCAATGTCAACTCTATCGATTATTTTCCGGATCGGATTCGCGACACATCGTATTACAACTTACGCGTTCTAAGAGAGTAACGAGGGGCCACACCGGTTACAGAAATAAGAAACTCGACGAATATGTACACGTATTTCCTATCGCCAATGGAGAAAGGCAAGGAACATCACCAACTATATCATTCGCTACACGATCGATCATACTTCGTTATACGTCTGTATATAAAGTCATGGTCGACCATTTGAAAAATTTCGCGTCTCCAAACAATCCGATTTGCGTCTAACTGATATGTTGAACTTGATACTTATGACGTCGTCACATACTCCTACTCTATGTTCTTTGCAGTTTCTTTCGTTGGATACGGTTTATCTATTGCATTAGATGATTAAGAACGCGCACGACTTTACGTAATGACTGGCTCGGGTATGCGCGCGCCGGCGCACGTTCACGCGTTCGATTCGATTTTCGACGGTGCATAGTGCATCATGTAGGTCCGTCCAGTGCAACTGCGACGATAAGGGAGAACCCTTGAACTCGCACGCGAGTTCGTCCTACCGATTCCGCTGGCGTTTATTAATCGTGTAATATCTCTTTTATCGTATCCTCGTTATATCTAATCTTCCCCAATTCTTTCACAAATAGAATTTCGTTCCATGACTAATTTGTGAGCTTAAACTCTCCAACGCCGTAACCTGTTTCAGATTGAAAATATGAACGTAGCCGAGCCCTGGTCTTTACCACCAAAGCAGGCTCTTTACGATCCAACTCTCGAGAAGGATGCTTGCGGTGTTGGATTTATCGTTTCTATAGATGGACAAAAGTCGCACAAGGTAGATCCTTCACCACAAATTACTTTTATTGTTTTTCTAACATACATTTCTTGTTTGAGATCGTAGATTGTTGATTTTAAAGTTGTTTGGAAAATAGTAACCTTTTTAAGAATTTGAACTTTTTTATTTTTTTTAAATTTAAAGAATTTGTATTTAAGCGCTTAAAAACTCATTCACTTTTAAGATATGTTTAAGTATCTCCAAAATATAATACATCCAAGTTTCAGGAAAATTAAAAATATTACTCGAAAAAAATGTTTAATTCTGGCTGAAATAATCCTTACGCGCTACCAATTCCTGCCATTACTACGCGTTCTATTCTGTTTGAATGGACGCGATTATGCAAGTGGACGACGATTACATTGATACGTTGCGTATTGCGCGATCTGTTTACAGATTGTTCGTGATGCGGAGATCCTGTCGGCGCGAATGAACCATCGCGGGGCCTGTGCATGCGATAACGACACCGGAGACGGTGCCGGTGTTCTTTGCGCAATCCCGCATGAATATTACGCCGATGAAGTTCGGTAAAAGATAATCAAGATTCATGGCCCTTCACTTTTATCGCGTTATCATTCCCCAACGTATTGTTGGTAATGACGCGTCCGATTTCATAATTCTCGCGGGTCGATGGAGTTATTTGTAGGTTATCACTTTATGCGCCATACGTCGTTAGCCGTGCAGAAATATTGTCTGTTTACCTTCTTATCACCACCATTAAGCGAACACAATGTCTACCGCTATATGACCAGCAGTATTTACCCGTCGTTTCAACCTATTTCTCGTTTTTTCTTTGTATCACGTTCTTGTTCTCGTTCCTCGTAGTTACGCATTTGCAGCATGATGCTAATAATAGCTTAAATGCTTTGACAAACGCGACGTTAGGTAAGTATACGGTATACGGAAGACGTTCGCTTAAAAGGGGATATATTGTACCTGATATTAATTGTATTTATATGGAACAGACCGGGTGTAATTTTCGATATTTCCAAACGAATACGTTGTCGAATGCGAAATACGTTTTATCAACAAGAAAATTAATCTTACATCGATTGATAATTAGACTCGTGTTTACAAACATTCTAATGCGTAGATAAAGATAGACTGAAATAATTTAGTACATATTAAAGTGTTGCAATTCTACAACTACTATGTTTAGGGTACGAGTACCTTTGTTTAGAAATTAAATCATTTTTTAGCGAGGGACAAAATGTCGAATTGCCAAAATTCGAGCGCTACGCTACCGGTATTCTATTTCTCGACAAGAATACACACGGTGAAGTCGAGGCTGCGTTTGAAAAGTTAGCTGAAGAATGCAACCTGAGGGTATGATATCATCGTACATGCATTTACGCGTGCTCGCCTATTTCCGAATGTTATCCTTTTAAACAGACACTTCGTTTCACAGGTAATTTGTTGGCGCGATGTTCCAACCGATAACACACGGATTGGTCAAGTGGCGCGAAAATGCGAACCTTACATGCGTCAAGTTTTTGTAACCGGCGATCAGGATGATGCCAGTCTTCAACGCCAGGTAAACAGTATTCCAAACAATCTTTTGTTTGAATTTTATTCGAACGTTGAAAAATAATTCTAGCTCGTGATATCGATTAAGTAGGAGAATTGGCGAGTTTCAACCAGTATATGTTATTTTTAACTGCAGGTTTTCGTCCTAAGGAAAAGATCGTCCCATTGTATACCACGACCCGGAATCAGATACTACATATGCTCGCTTTCTGTACGGACGATCGTATACAAAGGCCAATTAACGGCGGATCAGCTGTGGCTTTATTTTTTAGATTTGAAGGTGATTAGAATTTGTTAAAATATGTATATTCTTTATATACTCGTCGGTTACCGGAGTATTCCTGTTTCATTGTAGTCGCCAAGATTCGAGACGTATTTGGCGTTAGTTCATACAAGATTCTCCACGAACACATTTCCAAGTTGGGAAAGGGCACATCCCCTTCGGTAAGCAATCGTAGCTAATACAGCTAATACATTACCATTCTTTCTAACAAATAATTCGTTTTTTGCAGGTTGTTAGCACACAATGGTGAAATAAACACTTTGAGGGGAAACGTGAATTTCATGAAAGCCCGTGAAGGAGTGATGAGCAGCAAAATCTTTGGCGATCAATTAAAGCAACTTTATCCCGTGGTGGAACCACACTTGTCGGATTCCGGAGCTGCCGATTGCGTTTTGGAATTCTTAGTGATGGCGGGACAACGAACTTTACCTGAGGTATGTGCCTGTTACACGTTAAATTTGATCGAATTCGGTCGAACGAAGATTGAACGAAACCTGTTGAATTCAGGCGGTGATGACAATGGTGCCAGAAGCTTGGCAAAATGATTTAACGATGGCGACGGAAAAGCGTCACTTTTATCATTGGGCCGCTTGCGCGATGGAACCTTGGGATGGTCCTGCCCTGTTGACCTTTACGGATGGACGTTATGTTGGCGCTATTCTCGACAGGTAGAAACTAACGTTTTTTATTTCGCGCGATTCGAGTCGACGTCCACTTTCTACCCGTTTTCGTGCAGCTTCGTTCTAGTCGTATACACAGGTCCTCGATCGATTTCTCTAGCGTAATTATTTCGTAAAGGAGTTACGACAAAACTACGCACGCATGGAATTTCTTCGTCGAACTAACGGTGTTGGAAACAACTAAAAAGATGTGTCTGCGCAGTACGTGCACGGTAATTTACGTTGTTCATGTTTGTGTGTTTCTTTTTTGTTCTATTTATTGTAAAGAATTCGAGGTGTCCGTTTTGAGAGAAACTGTTACGAAAACGGTGTACGAATCAAATACGACGATTACACACGACTGTCGTAATAATCGAAAAATCGTGTGCGTGCGTATACATATATGTCATCCCGTACTCGCGTACAGACATATACGCTTTTGCGAAGCGTAACCTCTATATATCTACACATGTAACCAGAGAATCGACGAGCCCATGCTATGTAATCTGTGTTATATGCATATAACAAGATTCGAGTAAGTCGAACATAAAGTATAGGTAAACATAGATTATTGAGGTTCTGGAGGGAAGCAGGTAGGATCGCCTAGATTGATTGCAACATGGAATGTTGGAAAGGTAGGGAAGAAGTCGAGACGCATTTCCAGAGGATGTATTGTGATCCGGCAAAGGAAGTATCTTAAACACATCGAAACATCGTAATAAGAGAGTGTTCGCTTCCCTCCGAGGCTCGTAGGCAGAGGAACACGCGGAACTCTCACTCGTATCCAGTGCCTATAAAATTGATGTTTATAGAGATATAGGTATACTCATCCTTCTTTTAAGGTTGGGTGTGTAATGTGTGCGAAAGGTAAATGGGCAAAGTTTAGGCAGAATGTGTGCATGTGGGCATGCGTGTGCACGTGAGAGAATATGTATATACATATACAGGGTGTTCGACCAACCCTGGAAAAAATTGTAATGGGAGATTCTAGAAGCCGAAATAGGACGAAAATCAAAAATACCAATTTAAAAAATTACTAACGTTTAAAGTTTTCGCCAGTATTGAATTTTTTTCTCGAAAATGCGCAGGATTTCGGGGGTATGCCTATTCACCAAAAATGATTGTAATTGACCCCCGCAACCGAAAATAATTTTTCCAGAACGATTCAAAATTTTTTTATTTCGCCGAAAAATTTCACATCTTCTCGAATTTTTTTCTCGAAAGTGCATAGGATTTCGGGGGTATATGTATTCACCAAAAATGATTGCAATCGACCCTCGTAGCCAAAAATAATTTTTTCAGAACGATTTGAAATTTCTTAATTTTTGTCGAAAAATTTCACATCTCGAATTTTTTTCTCGAAAGTGCGTAAGATTTCGGGGGTATATGTATTCGCCAAAAATGATATTGTAATTGACCCTCGCAGCCAAAAATAATTTTTTCAGAACGATTTGAAATTTTTTAATTTTTGTCGAAAAATTTGACATCTTCTCGAATTTTTTTCTCGAAAGTGCGTAGGATTTCGGGGGTATATGTATTCGCCAAAAATGATTGTAATCGACCCTCGCGGCTAAAAATAATTTTTTCAGAAAGATTTGAAATTTTTTAATAACTTCTTGATTTTCGTTGTATTTTCGCCTCCAGAATTTCCCATTAAAATTTTTCCCGGGGTTGGCTGAGCACCCTGTATAGACACATACATATACATATATATATATATATATATAAGCGAATGCCAACAGGAAGGCAATGCGAGAAAACGAACAAGAATATAGTCACAGTTGATAACAGCGCGCGAGACTGAGGTGGTAATACAAAAGACTTTTTTGAATTTTTGTTTGGCAGAAACGGCCTGCGCCCGTCGCGCTTCTACGTCACTAAGGATAACATGATGGTGATGGCGTCCGAAGTGGGCGTCTATGATACTCCACCCAGCAATGTAGCCCTGAAGGTAAACGAGGAAATAAATGCATCATCGGACAGGCCTACCCTCCGGATAAGTTCCCCAGCCGAGCTAGCTCGTGACGAGCGATTCGTCCCCGTCTATATGATGCTCCCTCTGTATTGTGTTCGACATAGAAAATTTCAGCTCTAGGGGGAAGACGCACGGAGGAAACCTTTTTTACGAACACGGACGGAGAGAACGATGCGCGCGGATCAGAACTCGCACCTCGCCATCGAGAACGCGTTGTCAAACACATCCGGTTGCTCTCGACAATTTAATATTTTTTGTGCTCTCTTCAGTCTCTATACGCTTCGTTCGTATTTCTTCCATCTAATCTATTGATCGCGATTTTTTCTCGTCTTTGTCCATGTGCTTGTCTTCCAACGAATCATTTTGGGACCGATCAGAAGCATAGTGTTTGCAAATAGTACCACCTACGCTCGTGACTGATTCGTATTATAAAAAAATTTTTTCGCTTCGAAGATAATGGACACAAACTCGAAGAACAGCTTACGAATCGGTCACGCGTTGCGTGTACCAGCGCTTCGCCTTTCTATGGAATGAATCTTGCAGATGAGGTATCTCTCGATAAAAACGGACGATTCGATTCACCGTCCAATTCATCCACCTGTTTACCGTCTTGTCTCATCTCATTCGTTCTACGTATCGCTTTAGTTTTTACGCATATAGACGGTCATATTGTATTTTATTTATTTTTATACGTGTCATATGTGATGTATAATTTTTCATTTAGGAAGTAGGTTTGTATAGAGTCGTAGGATCGTCATCCAGAGCCGTCCTGTGAACGTTGAACGGTCGTAGATGCTGTTCGATGATTATTATTTGCGTTTTGTTTTATTTCCAGAGCCGTTTGAAACCCGGAAGAATGCTGCTCGTCGATACTCACGAACGGAGGATTATTCAAGACGTCGAACTGAAGCTACAGATTGCTAGAAGCAGACCGCATTCCCAATGGCTGAAAGATCAGGTATCTTCGCGTTTCATTATTTCTCATCGTCGGTTGTAACGAATACCTTCGTTACATATCAAAATCATATTGTGCTTTATACATTTGTTTGCTCTAAGCCATTTCCTCCGCTGCTACTCGTATCGCACACATGCCATCCTAGTATCGTGTAGAAAATCCAAGTAACCGATCATCCATGTCGATACGTCTAATACAAAAGGGATTTGTCTTTTTTTTCCAAACTTACCTACGCGCGGTCATCGTGCTGTATTGCACGCAGATGGTGAGTCTCGTCGCATATCTCTTGCCGCTTTTACCGTCTACGCAGAGTTCGTGCATATGCATCGTATCACATAACATAAATAAAAGTTTCATATTCTTCTTGTTTACGAATGTTTCCGATTTACATTCGGAACAACGATATTATTACAACGATCATCTTACTTACTCTGTCGTATCCGTGCACGGCGGTGGTTCGAGAGAACGAACGCGACCATGTGACAGAAAGTGCATCGTTATGAAATCGAATTTGCTCTCGCCCGTGCAGATCACGATAGAAGAGCTACGCGCTGCCGACATCGGTCACGCAACAAAGCCATCTGAGAACGGCTCGGCGGAAACCAAAGACGAAGCCATGAGAAGAATCGCGGCGATCGACGCGAATCCCATATCTGCTGTGAATCGAGTTTGGGGAGGCGACAAGAGACTGTCCCTCTATGGATACACGCTAGAAACCATTAATATGTTGCTTTTGCCAATGATGCAGAGCAAGTATGTATTATTTTATTTATTCTAGTCTCCCAGTTTTTCTAACCACTGCAACGAACGGTTAACTTTCACTGTTGAGCCCCAAATTCTTACCACCCGTTAAAAAAATTATGGACTTCTTGTTTAGAAAAGAAGCACTGGGTTCCATGGGCAACGATGCACCGCTGGCCTGCTTGTCGCAATTTCAGCCGCTCATCTACGAGTATTTTAAACAGTTGTTCGCCCAGGTAGAGCCACTAATTTCAATGTTACCAATAGTAAATTATATCTTTCTGTTCCTTTCCCTTATCCCGAAACGTTTTTTTAGGTTACGAATCCTCCGATAGATCCGTTTAGAGAGAAGATCGTAATGTCGATGCTTTGTCCCATCGGTCCCGAGAGCAACATCTTGGAACCAAGCGAAATGCAAGTGCATAGATTATTTTTGCCGCAACCGATACTGTCCCTGGAAGATCTGGAGATAGTCAGACGGACTAAATACCGTGGATGGAAGACCAAAACAATTGATATGACTTACCCTGTAAAAGATGGTCCGCCTGGGTTACTGAATACGTTGAACCGCGTCAGCCAGGAGGCGGATCAGGCTGCGAAAGAGGGTTATCAGTTTATCATTCTTTCCGACAGACAGGCTGGTCCAGAAAGGTGAGTTGATCATCGCTGCATGCATATATTATAATATATGTATAGTATGTAGTAGTGCAATTGCACCTTCTTATACTGCAATAACCAATAACTTCTTTGTCAGAGTACCTGTGAGTAGTTTGTTAGTACTGGGTGCAGTGCACCACTACTTGATCGAAGAACGACAGCGTATGAAGGTTGGTCTTATTCTCGAAACCGGCGAAGCCAGAGAAGTGCATCACGTTTGTTTGCTACTCGGTTACGGGGCGGATGCTGTTTGTCCGTATCTTGTGTTCGAGATGGCGAGAAATCTACGAGCAGATGGTGTACTGGATTCTTCCTTGACCGATAACGCTTTATGCGCGGTAAGTTAAAAATGTTTTTTGCGATTCATTATTAGCAGTTTGATAAGAAGAAGATAGAAAGACTGTGTACGAATCGCATTTTGCAAATGTTGTAGAACTATGCGGAAGCAATGGAGAGGGGTATAGGAAAGGTAATGGCAAAAATGGGAATCTCCACGTTGCAATCGTACAAGGGAGCTCAAATTTTCGAAGCGGTCGGGTTATCCGACGAGGTCATCGACAAATGCTTCAAGGTACGTTATTGTTTTACTGCGCGAAATGCTGATATAATACAATTCGATAGAAGTATGTATGATTAAAAATTGGATCCAATTAATGAATGGAATGGTCCGTGATTAAACATTTTCGTATGACGTACTTACTATCGTGGTATCATAGACTTTGGTGTATTTCATTTACTTTTGCGGTATGATACATTCTACAATTATCAACTTAAAATTTTACAGGGTACACAGTCCCGCATTGGTGGAGTTACCTTCGATATTTTGGCACAAGAGGCATTCGAAAGGCATCAACTTACATATTGGAACAAACCTATGGATATGCTCGTCATTCGCAATCCAGGCATTTACCACTGGCGTTCCGGCGGTGAGAAACACATAAACGATCCTGACAGCATTGCGAATTTGCAGGTAATTTCGTATGTATATCTTTCTGAGGAGGGTATGGGGCGTTTAAAACCAAATATTCTGTCTCGCAGGACTACGTGAGTTCGAAGAACTTGAGCGCGTACGACAAGTATCGAAAAACAACGATGGAAATGGTGAGGGCTTGTACGTTACGAGGTCAATTGGAATTTGTGGACAAGACCGAGAATTCCATACCCATCGACGAGGTTGAACCAGCATCCGAAATCGTGAAACGGTTCGCAACCGGAGCCATGAGCTTTGGAAGTATTTCGATAGAGGCGCACACGACTCTGGCGATCGCGATGAATCGTATCGGAGGTAAATCTAATACCGGCGAAGGTGGTGAAAATTCTGACAGGTAAATATACGCGTACACCGAAGAGTATGCACGATTCTTCCCTGATATCCGCACAATTCCGATCATTTAACATTCTGTTTAGATACTTAGATCAAGAACCAGAATTTAACAAACGATCAGCTATTAAGCAGGTTGCTAGTGGTCGTTTCGGCGTAACCTCGAGTTATTTAGCGAACGCTGATGATCTTCAAATTAAAATGGCGCAGGGAGCGAAGCCGGGAGAAGGAGGCGAGTTACCTGGTTACAAGGTTAGTCGATAATGCACACGTAGCGAATAAAATCGAGCGTGTATGAGTTCTTTGGATTTAATTTGCGCAGGTCACCGCTGAAATTGCTGCGACCAGATTCTCAGTGCCTGGGGTGGGGCTGATCTCACCGCCACCTCATCACGATATTTATTCGATCGAGGATCTCGCAGAGTTGATTTATGATTTAAAATGCGCCAATCCTTCGGCTCGTATCTCTGTCAAATTAGTGTCGGAAGTAGGAGTAGGCGTAGTTGCGGCGGGCGTGGCAAAGGTAATATGTTATAATAAGCAGACCGGTATTCTAACTATTATCTGTGCAAATGTTGAAACTCTTCTCGTTGCACCGAAACAGGGGAAAGCAGAACACATCGTGATATCCGGTCACGATGGCGGAACTGGAGCCAGCAGTTGGACGGGAATAAAATCCGCGGGTTTACCGTGGGAATTGGGAGTCGCTGAAACTCATCAAGTTCTGACTTTGAACAATCTTCGATCGCGAGTTGTTGTCCAAGCGGATGGACAATTACGCACGGGATTCGATATTGTGGTAGCAGCTCTCTTGGGTGCCGATGAGTTTGGATTCAGTACCGCACCCTTGATTTCTATGGGTTGTACCATGATGAGAAAGTGCCATTTAAACACCTGCCCTGTAGGTATCGCCACGCAAGATCCTGTACTTCGCAAGAAATTCGAAGGGAAACCGGAACACGTCATAAACTTTTTCTTTGCATTGGCAGAAGAGGTACAGAGACATTGAAAAAATAGAATTTTGTTAAAAACAATTTTAATACCGACATAATTTCTTTGTTTGCTAATATTCAGGTACGTTCGCACATGGCCAGTCTAGGAATTCGTAAGTTCCAAGATCTAATCGGCCGTACGGATCTCTTAAGAGTTCGAAGAAATGTCTCGATCGAGAAAGCCAAAACGCTGAATCTCGATAATATTTTGCGCAACGCGCTCGAATTTCGACCAGGAGTCAATATTAAAGGCGGGTCGATGAAACAAGACTTCCAGTTGGAAAACAGATTGGACAATCGCATGATCGAATTGTCGAAACCGGTGTTTGAAAGAAAACAAGATCGCGTCGAGATGGAGTTGAATATCAATAATGAATGTAGAGCGTTTGCATCGACTTTGAGCTATCATATCTCCAAGTAAATGCTCTTTTTATTCCATTCGATTCTCTAAATAATCTCTAATGATTTCAGATTTATTAATCGGTGTTTTATTTATAGATTGTTCGGCGAAGACGGACTGCCGGAAGGTAGTATAAACGTGAAGATGAAAGGTTCAGCAGGTCAGAGTTTTTGCGCCTTCATGACCAAAGGGGTGCACGTTACTCTTGAAGGAGATGCCAACGATTACGTTGGAAAAGTAAGAAACATCTTTCCTCCCGTTTTAATGCTTTCTTTGACATTCAAGGTCACCAGCACTGTTTATAAATGATCATTTTCAGGGACTGTGCGGAGGAGAAATTGTCATATATCCACCGAAGGATTCTACATTCGATTCCGAAGCGAACGTAATTGTAGGCAACGTTTGCCTTTACGGTGCAACTTCCGGGAAAGCTTACTTCCGAGGGATCGCTGCCGAAAGGTTCAGCGTTCGAAACAGTGGAGCAGTAGTTGTAGTCGAAGGCGTAGGAGATCATGGATGCGAATACATGACGGGTGGTTGTGCGATCATTCTAGGCCTTACCGGACGAAATTTTGCTGCTGGAATGTCCGGTGGAATAGCCTACGTATTCGATGTGGACGGATCGTTCAAGAGGTATACTTCTTTAGTTACTAGTATGCATCGTATGCAATGCAATAATAATACGTGTACGATGTACATAATTTTTGTACAGCAAATGTAATCCTGAAATGGTAGAGCTGCTTCCTCTAGACAGGACGGAAGATATAGACTTCGTGAAACAACTTTTAGAGGAATTTGTCGAGAAGACCGGTTCCTTAATAGCAAAAGATCTACTAATGCTGTGGCCTGAACCAACGACACGATTCGTGAAGGTACAATCATTTTTTATCACCTTTAAAACAATCTGTTCGACCAACTGGATGAAGTAAACGTTGTTTAATCGTTATTTTGCTTCAAGGTATTTCCGTATGAGTATCAAAGAGCATTGAAACAAGTCGAGGAAGCCAAACAAGCGCAACCAATCTTGAATGGAAATTCTCAAACATTGGAAAACCAAATCAAGGACATCGAAGACGCCATTACGGATATCAATATGGAACAACGTAAATTGGATAAGATAAAGTACTCTTTAACATTGACATTCTTTTGTTTAATCTAATGAATCGATCGGATCGTTTATTCTCGTAATATCGTTGCAGAGGATTTATGAAATACAAGAGACAAACGAGCGTTTATCGACCGACTGAAAACCGAGTAAACGACTGGGACGAAATATATAATTTCCAAGGAGTCCGCAAAGGACTACGCGTACAAGCTGCGAGGTGCATGGAATGCGGTGTACCGTTTTGTCAAAGTAGTCATGGTTGCCCATTAGGAAACATTATTCCCAAGTGGAACGATCTTGTTTTCCAATCGAATTGGAAAGAGGCACTGAATCAATTGTTACAAACAAACAATTTCCCAGGTACATGCAATAAATATTTTTCTAACTCTTTTTTTCATGTATCGTTTTTGTAAACTTTTGTCAACTAACGAATTGAATCTTATTTAGAATTCACGGGGAGAGTTTGTCCTGCTCCGTGCGAGGGTGCTTGCGTTTTGGGAATATCTGAACCAGCAGTTACTATAAAGAACATCGAATGCGCTATAATCGATCATGCGTTCGAGCAAGGTTGGATAGTGCCACATCCGCCCACGACGAGAACCGGTCGACGAGTCGCCGTGATTGGTTCCGGTCCAGCAGGATTAGCTGCAGCTCATCAACTAAACAAGGCAGGACATTTGGTAACTGTTTATGAAAGGAATGACCGAATAGGGGGTCTTCTGCAATACGGAATACCAACTATGAAATTGTCGAAACAAGTTGTTCAGCGAAGAGTCTCCCTTCTCGCCGCCGAGGGAATCACTTTCAAAACTGGCGTCAATGTTGGAAAAGATATCTCTGCCAAGGTTAGATTCGATTTCACCTCAAGTTTAGTTCTCGATCGTCATTTTTTTCACTTTTTATATTTGTATACAAATTGTAGGAGTTACGCGAACAGTATGACGCAATGTTGCTTTGTACTGGTGCAACCTGGCCAAGAGACTTACCAATACCTGGCAGACAGCTGGAAGGCATCCATTTTGCCGTAAGCTTTTTGGAGCATTGGCAAAAGAAACAAATGGGAAACGATACTCCGCTCGATATGCGTCTGATGGCCAAAGACAGGGATGTCATTATAATAGGTGGTGGTGATACCGGTTGTGACTGCATAGCTACATCTTTGCGACAGGTATAATTCTGTGGTAGCTTAATAAATGAAAAAAAAAAAATTATTGAAAATTTTTATCTTCATACGCCTCTTATACTTCTCTCTTACAGGGTGCCAAAACAATCACAACTTTTGAAATTTTACCAGAACCACCGAACAAAAGGGGAAGGGATAATCCTTGGCCTCAATTTCCAAGAGTGTTCAAGGTAGATTACGGTCACGAGGAAGTTTCCCTGAAGTTTGGACGCGATCCGCGTCAATTCAGTACGTTGAGCAAAGTAAGTAAGATTGTAATAAAATAATAATTCTCGCTTAAAACAGTCATTATTTTATATTTTTTTTTTTCATAGGAATTTTTGGACGATGGAAACGGACACGTGAGCGGCATTAAAACCGTGTCGGTTTCGTGGACGATGGAAAATGGTCGTTGGAAGATGGAGGAAGTTCCCGAATCGGAAAAGGTAAGTAGAGAGATTCGTTTCGTGAATTGAATTCGTTAAATCTTAAATCTCTTTTCCATTTTCTTTTCGCAGATATACAAATGCGACTTGGTCTTACTCGCAATGGGTTTCTTGGGTCCTGAAAAGTACGTAGCGACGGAACTAGACACGACATTGGATGAAAGGGGTAATTACAAAACTGCAATTGGCAAATACGAAACAAGTTTATCCGGCACGTACGCGGCTGGGGGTAAGTTTTCTCATTCTTTTATGGCTATTCTTGTTTTATTTGGTAACAGTTGCATCAGATGCAATGTTAACGATGATATGGCGTTGATTCCACGTAGATTGCCGGCGTGGACAGTCGTTAGTTGTTTGGGCAATTACCGAGGGCAGACTAGCCGCGAGAGAAATAGATATGGCTTTAATGGGATCGACTGGTCTTCCCGTATCCGGTGGTGTTGTTATAACCAGCGTTGTCGATTGAATCGGCCGACACGGGATACGAAGAGGAACGATTTTTGTTTTCCCTCTCTCCATTCCCTTGTATCCCTCCGACGGTGGTCCCGCGATTGCGATGCGGGCGGGTACCGTTGAACGAACAAGGGAGAAATGGTTTACGCGGGAACAGGTCAACCAGTATTATCGCAAATTTACGAATGTTCGAAAGCGAATCAAAAATGATCGTTCGTCTCTCCGACAAAAATTACAGCGCGCGCGAGATTTTTCTAGCACTTCCATTCCGAGATGTTATCGTTGTCGCGTTGTTCATTTGTTGAAAGAAAAAAAAAAAATTGGCGACGGTATTCGACGTTTTGTTCGCCGCGTAACCATAAATAACTATGTATGTAAGCTGTCGAGGAAATACTCGTAGATATTTTGCAAAATCTACCTCGTATCCTCCTTTGCGTGTCTTGTTTCTTTTACGAGGTAATACAAATTATTACGTAATTAGTAATAGCCTTTCATCGATTAATGCGATTGTACGGAGAATCATTCGTTGGAAAGCTTTGTTCGACTCGAAAGTATGAACCGCAAATGCTCATAATGGTATTTCGAGGCTGACACTATCGGAAGAGGCACACGGTGCATTGCCTGGCGTAGCGTTCGGTTTCGCGTTAAATCTCGTGATTTTTTTTGTAACTTTTGTAGTTTTTAGTACGTCGTTAGTGTATTGTAACGTGGTGTTGCGTGCGCGCGTCCGTGCACGTAACAGCTTCAGAAATTTGTCGTAGGATATTTATTTATGAAGTACGTAACAATGCGCGTACAGATTTTCTCAACTGTACACAAGGTTTTCGTACACCAACGAACTTTGTTTGTTTGTTGCGCGTATCATTGTAAATTCTACACAATGATAAAGGAAATACTTTGAGACAATAAATGACTACCGTATAATGAACGTTGAAATATCAAGGATATAACTTCATTTTATGAAAGTTGTAACTGTAGGCATGAAACGAATACAATAAATAGTCCTGACGTAAGCTATCCTGTCAATTGTGACCGACACTCCGCCGAGCAACAACGATTAGCGTTTAATTTGCCACAAAAACACGGATAATGGGAAACGAAAGAACTGTTCCATCGGATGGTCCATTGTCAACCATGTTTCGTTGCGTACCTTTCGATATCCCGGACTCGAAGTGGCGAGAACTCTCGTACGAGCAATCTATCGAATATGTAATCGCTTCTATTTGCGAAGAAATCATAGACATTGCAGCGACTGTAATCGAAGAACATAATATGGAGAAAAAAGCGTTCGAATTTACCAGTCGCTGTCTCCGTGTGACATGGATACGATTATTTGATGCAAGTTATTATTATTCGTTTATAACTCCATCCTCGAAACTTGGTTTACTTTGTAGTATTTCCGTTTATTTTGTAGTGGATGTTCCCAAGGCTAGAACCTTATTTGAAACGCGATAGCTCGAGAAAACCTCTACATACAATCATCGGCGATATCGAGCCGCAACCGTTGCCCATCGATTCGTGGACTTTTGGAAAAATGTCGCAAACTTTCGTTCAGAAATCATCTATCGAGAAACCCGTACTGTTACCGTCCAAAAATGCCATGAGAATGACGTTAAAGAATCGTAAACAAACGAAGCAAAACAGTATTAGAGCTGGGAAGCCGCCTAAACGACTCGTCGAGAAAGATGCATCGATCAAAGACACGAACGATCGATCTGATGTTAGTGAAAAAAGAAAATTCATCGGAAAACAACCTGCTGTTGAAAGCTCGTCCAGAAAAGTACTCGGAATGGATCATCCGATGGTAAGGAATTCATACAGCTTACGTGCCACCGCCATACCTCTTTTTCGTTGTTGAAATCGTATCCTTTCTGTGTTCGAAGACGTTGAGATATGGCGGCAACCGTGAACGGCAAGGCGATACAATAAATAACCATCGATCGACAAAGTATTTGAAACAAAGCAATAGCAAATAGCATACCGCTGCGTAAATAAATTAATCCGTACGACTTGAAAAAACGTTCGCATCAGTAAGTCTTTTAATTTACTAATTTTTACAGAAATATGGTGGATATATTTTTATTCAAGTTGATAGGTTTACTTTGATCTTACCTTTGCACCAATTTCCTCGCTTGTAAATACAGCAATAGAAACCGCTGCATCGTCGTAGTTGTACATAAATAAATAATTTCCAAAGAATTAAACAGCAATATTTATTAAAAGTTTCATAATTCTTTATTTCTTGTCTTTCTTATTTGTCAGTAAGATCACAAATTAAAATTAACATCACATATAGGCGGTAAAGGGTTCAAGAAAATAATCACAAACGTCTCGCAAGAATAAATTTTACAACGAAGTATTACACACTCCCCTACATCAGTAGGTCGAAATTTATACAATTTTCCGACTACAAAAAGAAAATATGATGAAACTAGCGAAGAGTTGAAGCGAGCCATGAAACGAGTGCAAACTCATTAACGGGAACCGCTTTTCTCACGCAAGAGGAAAGACAAATTGCAGAAATTGATCAAAGTATATTAAAAAATTTACACTATCGGTAGCTGAATTTCGTAACACAACTTTTGTTTCTTGTTCAACTTTCCGCCATGTTTCTCTATAAGCAAGCAATACCTAATGGTAATATCGTATATAAAAAAAAAAATTAAATATTCTACGGCGTTATGCTTCTAAATGTCTTTTTGTTATTTCTAATTTTTTAACGAAGTACAAAATATACGTAACAGCGTTTTATATACTCTGTTTTCTACGTAATCAATAATGACACGAACATCACACATACGTCATATTTTTTTTTGTTTTTTTTTTTGCTTTTATCTTTTATCTCCAAAGTGATCAGGGAGATCATTTCGTTCAACGACTCAATCCCGCGAAACTTCGCCAAGCGATCGGTGTTCCACGTACATACAAATTCTCAAAGTATCCCTGTTATTATAAAGAAGATATACCGCATGCACATCTGTTGATTTTGTATGACTTGTATGAAAACTTATTCTGACAAATTTAGTATCTATCGCTGATCAGTCTTATAAATTCATACATATAAATTTCAGCGCGCTTGTGTGTGTATATACATATATATATATATATATATATACACATACACATATACATACATACACATATACATATATATGTACATATTACACGTCCTCCCGGAAGAACCGATACATATTTTCTTCGGACGAAAATGATTTCAATGTTTAAACAAAATATTCTATTAAAGTCGTCAACTATGTTAATTCGCGAACAGCAAACATAATTGTTTTGTCCTAGAAAACTGTTGCTAATACAGGAGAAGTTACGTACATGATTGTTTAATATGTTGCGCGAATTAGATATATGTTATTTATTAATCACTTTTGTTTTTATTAATATCACAACATCATTACCAATCGATACCTAAATTATCGTGATTAGACGAGGCGTCGGAACGAGGGAATTTGATCAAGATTAGTGTAACGATAGATGATCGACATCCTCGGGTAAAAAAAAACGCGCAACACGGACCAGAATGATTAAAAACAAATTGTATGAATGTGTATCGAACGGGTGTCAGTTTAGGTATCAGATGGCGATTTTCAAACTAAAAATTATAGCGTATCTAACTAGATACCTAGACTATTATGACTAACCGGTGTCGTTAGGCGTTATCACGGAGAATCTATAAACGAATCATCGCTTCGTCAAACGAAGATACGTTTTCTCTTATAACGTGAGAATGTATCTGTACGCGACCCCGGAAATTTATTATCATGTTTATTACACTCCCAATAAGTTCCATAAACAAGTTGCGAAATGTAGGTTTAAAATAGCATTATAACAATCTATCCGATTACTTTTATCTTTCGTACATTTATCTAAAAATGCATCGCTATTGGTTGGATACGTTTGCATTTTAATGTTCCTTGCGTGGATATACTACGACACCGGTACCTTGTTAATTTTACGATTAAAGGAGCATGCAAAGTTCAAGAATCGCGTATAGAAACTTTTTCGCCCTTAACAATAGTGAAATTTATGTTTTGTCTTACTATCACAATAGTCGAACTTTGTCTTCAAACCGATCGCAATATTAGCGGCTAAAAACACAGCCAAATCTCGCAGAATCTATCTCGAGCCATCGCAGATTGGACTTAAACGCAACGTTATTATTTCTGCATTTCCGCAACGGGACGCGTTTCCAACTTTTTTTTTCTTTGCAATCGCTTTTTAATATTATGGTCTGGAGATATATCGATATCTTAAAAATTTAGCATATCGAATTTTATATCTCTCTTCCCTCTGTCTCTCTTTTCTTCGTTTCTCCTCCTTTGACGACTGCAAAATATGCACACATCGAAAATATCGATCTGCTATTCTGCGTGGAAAATATAGGCTCTAAGATGATCATCTTCTTGATCCTATGAAATTATTGGAGGAGCTTGGAATAACTGTATCTACCAAGAAAATCGAATGACACAGAAACAAATAAATCGTTCATTGTGTCTGCTGGTATGATCTGTACAATTTCTTTTTTTCCAAGGTAAAATCTCTACTGATCATGATGGTACCTCCTCGCGTAAGATTTCTGCCAAAAGAAAAGGACGCGTAAAAATTTAAAAAAAACTCGCATCAAAAACTGTTCGCTCTTGTCTCGTTTCTTATAAATTTTTGCTACTCACTTTAAAAATTGAGGTAAGAGAATGTGCCACGACGTATGATCCTGCTTTAACGTCAAGTAAAGTTCGAAGGTTGATACTGCGTTAGGGTCGCATTGTATTTTTGACAATTTGCGACATACACTGTCGGTTTCAAAACTGATAAACAAGGTGCAACCTCTGTAACGATCGAAATCCGTACGAGTTACATTTCGAACATTCGAAAATAAAAAGTGAAATAAAAATGTCATTGTAATTAGAAATAACTTACCGAAGACCACAAGGTTCATTTTCAGCCATGCTGAGAACATTTTTGGCTATTCTAGGTAAAAGATCGGCAGGTAGCAACACTTCCCCGCAAGCCAACTGAGCGTGCTTGGCCCTCCTTAGTTCGACTTCCAGACGTTTCGCCAGAGCCTGGCAAGCTCCGTCCACTAATTCGTCAGTCACAGTTCCAGCTACAATCGAGTAATAACCAGACGATTAGAAACGTCCGTCTTTGCTCATATTTTCCTACGCGGCTCGCACTATTCCTCCGCGATACGTCATTATGGCCGGTAAGTAAGCTCGCGTTCGTAAGATACGTATCCTATAGAGAACGTATCTATGGGTGTATTTATGTACACGCATATACAGCTCGAACAACACGATGACGATAACGACGCCGCTATACCGGCAACCAAGCTACTATTATTCACAGACCCAAGGCTTTCTAACCATTATTCGAAAACGTACTAATATCATAACGTTACGATCATTTTTTACTCTCTTGATAAATACCATGTCACACGTATAAGAACAAATTACCGAACAAACACATATAAAAATGTTAAAATAGAAAAATCGAGGAAATAGATAATATCAAAACTGAAAAATGAACTTGAAGCAATTACATTCGTTTAAACAGTGTCGTCGGGAGTAAATGGAATCTATACGTTCTCGGTGAAAAATCAGCTGACTCGCAAAATCAGCTGAAACGAACAACTCCAACACCAGTTCCCGATATTCGACGATCGATTGTCTCTATGCACGCAAATGTGTGGAAAAAAGTGCCGGTAATGTCATAAGCGAAAAACAACGGACAAAAGATAGAAAATAATGGGACGTTTACCTCTCGTGTTGCTGAAATTCACGTTCACGGGACATGGTAAAACCTCCATGTTCCAAAGGCAGATACTACGAACGTCAGAACAATCTTTTCGGGATTACAACACGGATGATATTGTTTCTTTGACGTTGCGAGTGCGTTTAATGCTTTAATTGTCACCGATAACAAATTTCCGGTACTCTTTGCAATACGAGCGATATCACTTTTGCCAAATATCTGAATTAAAACGGTGCTCTTTCCTAAACTTTCACTTGAACCAACACCATGCAACAAAAGACAAACAGTTACACATATCTCATTCGAACAACTGATTCGCCGGCATCGATGACGCGACTTTTATACCAACATCCCCCTCTCTGTCAATTTTTCCCTTGCATCGCCCTCCACAAGCCGCCTAGCAACACAGACTACGTGATGTTTCTCACTGCATCCACTTCGGGTGTTTCCGTTTCTTGTCGTTCGGTTATCTTCGGTCCTTAATACCGTTTTCCTTCGCCATCATCTACCGAACGATCAACGAAACGACCAAGGCAGTTCTATCTCGGCATAATCGTGGCCTACCGGTGTTTTCGATGTTTATTTCCCCTTTCTCTACATTACTGCTTTTCCATATTCATATCAATTTTTGAACCCGTCCAATTGTAATCGACTTCTCAAATGATCATGAATCATTTATTTTACTGTATACTTCTTGTGATACGATCATCTTTCTTTACATTTTTGATCTTACTGCACGATATCCGTAGTATCCCAGCCACGATGCATACTTAAAACGTTTCGTGAACTCGTTCTTTTTCATCTACGTTCGCTCAAAATCAATTACTTATTTTTTCATAAATAACAGCAGTAGCTTCGACAATTCTTATTCGACGACGTACGGTTTCTTTGTCTCTTACCCTTACTATCACTCCCCTGCCCCACACACAACCTCCTGCCTTCTCCACCATGTCTTTATTTGTTACTCTCTTTGCCCAGTGACTTGTTCCTTACTCTTTTTGCCTTATTTTATACTTCATTCGGTTTCTCGGCTGAAGCTGGGACTTGAGAATTACCGGTACTATCTCCCATTTATAGTACCTACTACTCGGTGGATTTCTTTTTAAACAAATTTAATATGACGAACAAAATTTTACATTTCATCGGTATTATCGTACAGTTTCTCGTTCGAACAAAGTGGAAATGATGGTCGGAAACGATAGGCAATGCTAATTAATTTGGTAAATAAGCGAAAGTTAAAAGTGTACGAAGGAAACGTCGATCAACGAAATTCTAGATACTTCGAAACGCACGATCTAGTAGTATAAAGTGTGCGTAACTATAGCCACAAGCGTAATTTAAAACAGTTAATATTATAGGAGTAGTTATAATATTATATGTCGATGGATTAACAATTGGTCCTTCGTTATCACAAATTTATAATTTTATGCTCGTGTGAATTTCCACGCACGTTGTCGACGTGTAATCTATGTTTCTAATCTCTGAAGTATGTATTATTTTTAAAAATAAAATAATTCAGTAACATACAGAATGAAGACAATTGAGCTATTACTAGAGCGATGACTTCACATTGAAATACGTGGACACAAAGAACGACCAAACAGTTAAAACCACTTGTCCTATAAATAAATAAATTTTTTTAATTCGATTCTCTTTGGAACGAATTACTGAAAAACGTGATGCAATTGTGGCATTGAAAAAAATGTAAGAATCACAAGCATTCGATACAAAAGCATTGTTTAAATATTATATGTTATACTAGAATATAAGTGATTGATAATAAAGTTTCAGTTTAGCATTTTTACTACTTCCTAGAGAAAATTCTGACTACGCCCTTGGTTAAAACGATTTTCGTATTATATACGAAAACAAACTGTAGAGAAAGGAAGGGTACACAGAAGAAGGAGCAAAGCAATTTAATGAGCAAATGGAAAATGAGATTTACACGACCAAGTACCAGAATAACAACGAAAGAGGAAAGGAGTAAGGAAGGAAGAACGAAAGGAGGGAGTATCAACCACGTAATCACATAAGAGAACAGAGGGACGATAGTAAATTGACGAAAACGGCGACTATATTTAGTTACGTTTTGCGACATGAAAAGGATAAAGAACAGAATGCAAGCAGAGACTCAATAGGAAAATCAAAGGATAGCGTTTCTCGTAAACATCGGTAGATAGTTGTTACTTTATTTTAAAAGGGATTGCAGAATTAGATATCGCGTCCGTCGTATTATTAATTACACGTCTTAACTACCCTCGCGATATAATTGAACCGTTGGTAAGAATTAGAGCAATATCGAATTGTTAGTTTATGCGTAACCGACCATCGGCTTATCTCTGATGGCAATTTACAACTACATTTAGATTACTTAATGATAACTCAAAATGAATATACAACAAGGATGATACAATGATAATAAATATTTCATAAGCAGTATGTTGGCAAATGTCATGTATTTGTTTACACAAATTTTGTTCGTATTTCGATTATTTCGTCTTTAATTTATAATCCATTGTGCTTCCTACTGTGCCGAGTTTATCAAATGAAAAATCCACGTAGTCGATTCGTAACAATTTTGTTTTTATATTAAATTATATTCGCGTTAATTATTCGAAAAGTTCCGAGTTTTCTGTCGCTATGATGATGCAACAACAACGGATATTGATTTGGCTTTTCTTACGTCAGAATCGTCGGAACAATATTGTTTTCACCTATTGCATCATTTTTATAACTCTACGCTTAAGCAGCTCATAATGTTAGAATAAGTAAGCGTATATATGTATACGTATATGTGTTAAACGTTTAATGTTCCCGCCTGGCAGCGAACGGGTCGATCGTTAACGTGTAGCACCACGGCCATTGTGTAAAAAGAATCCATGACGCTCGGTTAGCGAACACCAAAGACAGAACGTGTCCATTTAGTTTTCCAAGTTTTGCCTATGTGATATTTAAACTGTGCCAATAGAATTATTAACCCGAAAGTTTCAACAGGTTATGGGTCCAGAAAAGGAAATAGTAACGCTATCTACAGGCTCTCGTTTTAATGAACCCGGCACTGTCACAACAGATTTTATTCGTGACTGAGCAGTAGCCTGTTATAACTTTAAGATAGAACAGTTTCTTTACTCTTTATCAAAGTGTTATACGAGAGCTGTGTAAAAGATTTCATCTTTTCACACATTTATTCACGCATTCGCGTACAACATATTACTGTCAATTTTATAACAAACCCTAGCCTGATCTAATGTAACAAATCGAAAGTGTAATGTATGATCGATAAAACATTTCGCTGTTGTAATTCATAGCTGTTCTGATCGAAACCAAAGTAGGTTAAATTGGCGCGTTCGAGTGGAGTGAATATAGATATGAATGGTGCTATAGTAGTGGTAGAGGGAGCCACTTCGAACGATATGATCCAGCACGCTTCGTCTAGCATCCAGTGATGCTAGATTGGGCACCGGGTGCACTACTCAACACTATGCCAGATAACGCGTACGTGAGCTCGTGGAGTTACGGAAAATCGACAAAGGCAAACCGACACATGTTCTCTTTCTCGATTCTCCGAAGCTATCCGAAGTAATTTCGGACCGCCTCGTGGGAGTCGAGAAAGAAAGGCTCGCATTTGCCTTCTCGCACTTGAACTAAACATCCGACCTCACGCCAACGCCATGCGATTTGGAATCACGAATGCTCAGGCATTTTTACTTTCCGACCTATGTACATGCCTCTACATGCCTCTGCTGGGCTCTACCTGCCTCCGCTCGTCTCTGCTGACCGCTGCTGATCAATCCTGATACTTCTGACAACGTATAACGATTACAACTTGCTATTGCTTGCTCCTGCTGATCTCTACATGCCTCTACATCCCTCTACATCCCTCTGCTGGCCTCTGCTGGCCCCTGCTGACCACTCCTGATACTTCCGACAACGTATAACGATTACAACTTGCTATTGCTTGCTCCTGCTGATCTCTACATGCCTCTACATGCCTCTGCTTGCCTATGCTGGCCTCTGCCTGCCTCCGCTCGTCTCTGCTGACCACTCCTGATACTTCTGACAACGTATAACGATTACAACTTGCTATTGCTTGCTCCTGCTGATCTCTACATGCCTCTACATGCCTCTGCTTGCCTATGCTGGCCTCTGCCTGCCTCCGCTCGTCTCTGCTGACCACTCCTGATACTTCTGACAACGTATAACGATTACAACTTGCTATTGCTTGCTCCTGCTGATCTCTACATGCCTCTACATCCCTCTGCTTGCCTATGCTGGCCTCTGCCTGCCTCCGCTCGTCTCTGCTGACCACTCCTGATACTTCTGACAACGTATAACGATTACAACTTGCTATTGCTTGCTCCTGCTGATCTCTACATGCCTCTACATGCCTCTGCTTGCCTATGCTGGCCTCTGCCTGCCTCCGCTCGTCTCTGCTGACCACTCCTGATACTTCTGACAACGTATAACGATTACAACTTGCTATTGCTTGCTCCTGCTGATCTCTACATGCCTCTACATCCCTCTGCTTGCCTATGCTGGCCTCTGCCTGCCTCCGCTCGTCTCTGCTGACCACTCCTGATACTTCTGACAACGTATAACGATTACAACTTGCTATTGCTTGCTCCTGCTGATCTCTACATGCCTCTACATGCCTCTGCTTGCCTATGCTGGCCTCTGCCTGCCTCCGCTCGTCTCTGCTGACCACTCCTGATACTTCTGACAACGTATAACGATTACAACTTGCTATTGCTTGCTCCTGCTGATCTCTACATGCCTCTACATCCCTCTGCTTGCCTATGCTGGCCTCTGCCTGCCTCCGCTCGTCTCTGCTGACCACTCCTGATACTTCTGACAACGTATAACGATTACAACTTGCTATTGCTTGCTCCTGCTGATCTCTACATGCCTCTACATGCCTCTGCTTGCCTATGCTGGCCTCTGCCTGCCTCCGCTCGTCTCTGCTGACCACTCCTGATACTTCTGACAACGTATAACGATTACAACTTGCTATTGCTTGCTCCTGCTGATCTCTACATGCCTCTACATGCCTCTACATGCCTCTGCTTGCCTATGCTGGCCTCTGCCTGCCTCCGCTCGTCTCTGCTGACCACTCCTGATACTTCTGACAACGTATAACGATTACAACTTGCTATTGCTTGCTCCTGCTGATCTCTACATGCCTCTACATGTCTCTACATCCCTCTGCTGGCCTCTGCTGGCCCCTGCCTGCCTCCGCTCGACTCTGCTGACCACTCCTGATACTTCTGACAACGTATAACGATTACAACTTGCTATTGCTTGCTCCTGCTGATCTCTACATGCCTCTACATCCCTCTACATCCCTCTACATCCCTCTGCTGGCCTCTACTGTCCCCTGCTAACCCCTACTGACCCCTACTGACCCCTGCTGACCACTGCTGACCACTCCTGACCCTTGTTAACAACTTCTCCCATGATATATATGTATTAAAACATTGTATAATGTAAATCTATGACAATAAATGATATAATTTCAAAGAATTCTATGCGTTCTCATCATTTTTACCTTTCTTTTCCTCTCCTAATCATTCCCTTAGTTTTAAGAGTCCGTTTTTCCGGTTAAAATTGGATTCCCAAAGTGTCCAGCTCTCGTACTTGCTTCCAAAATCAAACATTAACTTTTAAATTTTTTTTCTGTAACCGTCAGTCTCGTACCTCTTGGCAAAATCGAGAATTCATTTTTTTCGTCGAAAAATTTTTGCTCGAAAATTTCGCCGATTTCCCAAAAATGTCCTGAAACAACTATGGGAAGTCCTGAAACAGCTGGAAAGGCCTGAAACAGCTGGAAAAGCCTGAAACAACTTTTGGAAAGCCCTGAAACAACTTTGGGAAGTCCTGAAACAGCTGGAAAGCCTGAAACAACTTTTGGAAAGCCCTGAAACAACTTTGGGAAGTCCTGAAACAGCTGGAAAGCCTGAAACAACTTTTGGAAAGTCCTGAAACAACTTCGGGAAGTCCTGAAACAGCTCGAAAAGCCTGAAACAGCTGGAAAGTCCTGAAACAACTTTGGGAAGCCCTGAAACAGCTGAAAAAGCCTGAAACAACTGGAAAGTCCTGGAATTTCTTGGAAACTTGGAATTTCTTGGACTTCCGAGGTGTTTCAAGACTTCCTAGTGGGTTCAGGGAAACCAAGGAGTTTCAGGGAGTCTTATAACTAAGGTAATGACTTGGTGAGGAAGAGAAAGGTAAAAAATGATGAGAACACATAGAATTCTTTGTAATTATATCATTTATTGCCATAGATTTACATTACACAATGTTCTAATACATATATATCATGGTAGAAGTTGTTAACAAGGGTTAGCAGTGGTCAGCAGGGGTCAGTAGGGGTCAGTAGGGGTCAGCAGGGGTCAGCAGGGGTCAGTAGGGGTCAGCAGTGGTCAGTAGGGGACAGCAGAGGCTTGCAGAGGCAAGCAGAGACCAGCAGGGGCAAGCAGTGGCGAGTTGTAGTCGTTATACGTTGTCGGAAGCATCGGTGGTGGTCAGCAGTGGTCAGCAGAGGCCAGCGGAGGCTAGCGGAGGCCTGCAGTGGCAAGGAGTGGCAAGCAGAGACCAGCAGGGGCAAGCAGTGGCAAGTTGTAATCGTTATACGTTGTCGGAAGCATCGGTGGTGGTCAGCAGTGGTCAGCAGAGGCCAGCGGAGGCTAGCGGAGGCCTGCAGTGGCAAGGAGTGGCAAGCAGAGACCAGCAGGGGCAAGCAGTGGCAAGTTGTAATCGTTATACGTTGTCGGAAGCATCGGTGGTGGTCAGCAGTGGTCAGCAGAGGCCAGCGGAGGCTAGCGGAGGCCTGCAGTGGCAAGGAGTGGCAAGCAGAGACCAGCAGGGGCAAGCAGTGGCAAGTTGTAATCGTTATACGTTGTCGGAAGCATCGGTGGTGGTCAGCAGTGGTCAGCAGAGGCCAGCGGAGGCTAGCGGAGGCCTGCAGTGGCAAGGAGTGGCAAGCAGAGACCAGCAGGGGCAAGCAATGGTAAGTTGTAATCGTTATACGTTGTCGGAAGCATCAGGTGTGGTCAGCAGTGGTCAGCAGGGGCCAGCAGAGGCAGGCAGAAGCCCGCGCATGTTGGCAGAGGTTAGCAGAGGCCAGCAGAGGCCAGCAGTGGCTGTGAGAGGCTGGCAGTAGCCAGCAGTAATGGTTATACGTTGCCAGATGTATCAGAAGTGATATCTGAAATGATATACATATCTACGCTCATATATAGGAATAATAAAAAAGAATTTATTTTGTTTCAATAATTCAAATATGATCGGGGGGTCTTAAAACGTGTCGTATGCTGTTGACGTGAGGTCGAATTTAGTTGTTCAAGAGCGAGGAGGCAAATGTGAGCCTTCCTCTCTTGATTCCCACGAGACGGTCCGAAATTACTTCGGGCAGTTTCGGAGAATCGAGAAAGGGGTCATGTGGCAGTTTGCCTTTGTCGACTTGCCGAAACTCCACGATCTCACGTACGCGTGATCTGGCATAGGTGAGAAAGTGGGTGAGGTGTCCCCCGGTGCACCCGGTGTTCCGTCTGGTATCTCTGCCTAGCACCAATTACAATCGACAACGGGGTTCGCGCTCCTCTGATTTGAGGCTCTCTTATGACGACGTGTAGTATCATGTAGTATACAACTGTTACTAACTGTTCTCTGCTACATTGTCAACAAAATGGAATATTTCAAAAGTAGTTTGAAGTCTGTTTTAGGTTCCACGCCCGTAGAAAATGAACCAACGGGCGCTGACACGGTATTTTCTATTTTCTATCAATTTATCTTTACGTTTCGTGTTTTATATCGGGTAACACATGGTACTTATATTTTGTGGCATAACCAATGTAAAATAGACCGATTGTAAACCACGATTTAAATAAATATTAATATTTTGCGATAGATTGAAAATCTTTATTGTTACTTTTCTACTTTTCTATTGTTTCTCTATTTTTTTGACTTTTTTCATTGAAGCATTTGACGCAGGTAGAACGATTGGTAGACAGATTACAATCGTCAACATTATTAAATGACAGACGGGATGCTTGTCGAGCACTCAAAGCTCTTTCACGTACTTACCGCGTTGAAGTGGGTGCTCAAGGAATGGATGCCTTAAAACAAATTTTGGAGGTGGATAGAACTGATTGTGAAATTATTGGTTTAGCATTAGATACTCTTTGTAATATAACTAATCCTAAAACATTCGATGAAGAAGGTAGTATACATAGTTGTACATATACTTTTATTTCTATAAATTCAATTGTATGTCATATAAATATTTCTTTTAGTGGATAAACTTGGACCTGTGAACCAAGTAGGAGAACAATTCACAGAAATATTTATTAAAAATTCAGATAGCGTGGGATTGCTCTTAACACTCTTAGAAGAATTTGATTTCAATGTAAGATGGCCAGCACTGAAGTTACTAATGCATTTATTAACTAATAGACCAAAGGATATACAAGAAATAATTTTAATCAGCCCGATGGGTGTTTCTAAATTAATGGATCTCCTGAGCGATACCAGAGAAGTCATACGTAACGATGTACATTTTTTTTCAAATCAAACTATACAATAAATTGTAATCTTTTAATAATTTATTGAACAACAGTTGAAATGCACCAAATAATGTTGCAGGTTCTGTTGCTTCTTATTCAATTAACAAAGGGCAATGCAAATATTCAAAAAATTGTTGCATTTGAAAATGCATTCGATCGCATCTTTGATGTGATCGCACAAGAGGGTAATGCAGAGGGAGGTATCGTAGTGGAAGATTGTCTCGTGCTTATGTTAAATCTTTTAAGGGGCAATATAAGTAACCAAAATTTTTTTAAAGAAGGTAACACGCTCGATCGAATGAAAGTACCAAATCTGGTGTGTCTAATAGAAATGATAATGAATTGTTTGTTTTGTAGGAAGTTATATACAAAAGTTAACACCAATGTTTCAAATACCACCAGAATCTGAAGATAGCCCTATGAGTGGGTGGAGTCCACAAAAAGTATTAAATGTTCATTCCATGGTACAAGTGATACGTGCATTAGTAGCACCAAGCGGGCCTGCTCAGGTAAGTGCAAGAGTACAAATTACCTTGAATCATTCTTTTTGTTTCTTTGAGAGCTGTTATGTTATTACCAAAAACCTGTTCAAAGGCTGTAGCAAATTGCCAACAAATCATGAGAGCCTGTGGATTATTACAAGCCTTATGTAATATTTTAATGGCCAATGGTGTTCCTGCCGATGTGCTGACAGAGACAATTAACACAGTAGCTGAAGTTATTAGAGGAAATACGAGTAACCAAGAATTTATAGCAGGCGTGATGGCACCCAGTAGCCCTCCACGGTAACATTACAGATTTATCGTAAATCGATCGAGAAAAAACTGTTCATTTTTTTAAAACGCGTATGTATCACTTTACAGACCTGCAATCGTGGTTTTACTTATGTCCATGGTAACTGAAAAACAACCGTTTGTTTTAAGATGTTCCGTTCTCTATTGTTTTCAATGTTTCCTGTATAAAAACGAGGTAGGACAAAATCAGCTTATTCAGACTTTACTGCCACAAGGCAATGAGATGCCATCATTGACAACAGGTTTGTGGAAAGCTACATTGTTATTTCTTTTTTATATCTTGATGCATAACGAACGAGAAATATTTTACAAATGTAATATTGCTAGGACAGTTGTTGTGCCGAGGTTTATTCTCGCCGGATTCCTCGTCGAATTGGTTTTCCGCCGTGGCATTGTCTCACGCACTGATCGACGATAGTACACAGAAAGAACAACTGTTGCGTGTACTTCTCGCAACGAACATTGGGAAACCACCGGTGACCTTGATGCAACAATGCGTTATGTTGCTGCAGCAGGGCAATAAAACGCAATGCAAATTAGGTCTTTTAATGCTGCTTTGCAGATGGACCGCTCATTGTCCAGCCGCTGTTAAATCTTTCTTGCTTATCGATTCTTCCGTATCATATTTAACTGCTCTGTTATCGTCGCAGGAGAACAACGATGATTTGCAAGAGACTTTATTACAAAGTATGTGCGCCATACTCATTGGACTGTGTATACATTTTAACGATAACAGTGTTTCTAATTATACAAAGGTATTTATATGAAACCCTAAAGTGAACAGTAGAAACGATATGTTTATGTATAGACTCGATTGTACTCTTTCCCAGGAAAAATTATGCAATTTAGTCGAGAATAGAATAGGATTAGAAAGATTCCAAGACGCCATTGGTAGCCTCGGTAGACACGAAGTATATTCTAGGACATTGAAACATCCTCAGCCTTCGGCAAAGAATCCTTCGGAGCTTTTATTGGACCATGAATTTTGTAGATTATCGAAAGCGCTAGAGGGTATTTATCATTATAATTTACTGTACTTTAATAACAATTTTTTAATCAAATCGATAATAGCTGAAAGCAATTTGATCACGTTGCATATTTTATATTTAGGTGTGATTACAAAGTCGGTTCTAGATGGAAGTAGCTCGCATCATAAGAGTGAAAATTCAATACCTGTACCGCCGGACTTTGTTCTGGTCGCACAATATAAAGAAGTTATTCGGGAGCAAGATTTACAGATACAGAAACTGAATCAAATTACGGCATTACTCGTTAAAGAGAAACACGAACTCGAAGTATAGTGCAGTACATATTTATAAACGATATTCACGAATGAAATTTGATAACTATGTACTTAGGTATTTATAGTATTCTGATCATTGATTGTTTCTACAGGTACAAGTTCATGATCTTCAGTCAACCATTAATCATTTAAAAGATCAAAATTTAGTATTACGAGCCACACAAAGTAATATGTTACTGGAAGAAACAGAATCCGATGGCGCAGTGAACAACGAGGATTCTGCAAAGGAAGTAGAGAAATGTAAGAGTTTTATTACAGAACTTGAAAACCGTTTAACAGAACACGCTTCAACGATAAAGGAGTATAAGCAGAAACTTGAAGAAAAAAATGAGACTGATTTTGAACGTAAATTACAAGAAAAATCCGAGGAATTAGAGAAACTGAAAAAAGATCAAGAAGATCTTTTAGAACTCCTAACATATCAAGATGGTAAAATTATATTATACAAGGAAAGATTGGCTGCGCTAGGTGAAACGGTATATATATATCTTTTAAATACATTTTTTGAAACGTTTTCATCGAACGACGTCACTTACAATTACCAGTATATTTTCTGTTAGGTTGAAACGGATGAGAGCCTTGTCGAACTTGACATTGACGATCAACCAGAATCCAGCAATTCAGTAGAACGAACTAATGACCATCATCCTCAAAATCAAGAATTATTGTAGTAATATTGACAATGAAAAGATTTTAATTTCAAGCATTCATTTTTTTGTTATTGTTAATCTCCTAATTTGTCAACAGCAACAAATTACACGTATAACACTGCGATGCAACATGCAGTGAAAACTAGAAAGCAAATATAATTTTTATTCCTAAACTAAAATTCTATGTACACGGAGATCCGATAATTCGTCCCATGTAAGAATTAAAACATTGTAATAGGTTCTTAATCAAATCAACGATTCGAATATTTATTAAATATGTACCATTGTACTTTAATCTATTCCTGTATATATCGTTTAAATAAAATATGCAAAATATTGTTTATATGTATATGGATTCATGTGTACCACAAATGTTTTAGATTAATATTCTGTAGAATATTATCCATCGATTTAATTTATTTATAAAATGTTCTACATTCCTTATGTTTGCATTAATAAAAAGTCAAAGTCATAATACATGTTTCCCATGCTTCTTCTTTATATACTCCTCTACCTTTCCCATTAATTTCCTAATTTTTATAAATTCTAAAGTATTATAATCCCTTATAACTACTCCAAGTATTATTCCAATCTGATTAAGTTCTTTAACCACCTGTAATTAATAAGTTATAAACGATTACTGGAAGCGACAGGTATGTATTTCTCTTTATATTGAATTTTATTCTATCCACATCATATATGTATTTCAATTATATGCGCGAAAAAGTGACAAACTACAGTATCGCCATCTAATATCAGTGTTTCGAAGTCAAAAAATCGTCCCAGGATCACAGAATGTTAGTGGAGGTATCCGGAGTACAGGTTCCCCCACTCCTCCTACTCACGATACGCAGTACCTTGATTAGTCGCTAATTACTCCTTTCCTGGGAATAAAATATGAACTTTTAGACATGAAGAATATAGTATAGACCCTTGGCTACGTTCAAGGATACTTTTTAGAACCATTCCGCCTGTAATTAACAAGTTATTAACGAATATCGAAAGTCGGAACATTTACGACTGTGTCACTGTCTGTTTTAATCGATTAATTATCAACTTTTAAACATTAACAGATATATTTTGGCTATTAGAGTACCAAGTAGACATCCCTGGCAACATTCAAGGACCGACTTTGCAACGCTCCATGCTCTAATTAATTAGTTATTAGCTATAAATCCCCAAAGTGTCGCGTTAAAAGGTTAGAAACAGTGTGCCGCCTTCCGATATTCGTTAATAACTATTTAATAAGGCATGAGATGGTTTTAAAGAGTATCCTTAAATCTTGCCAAGGGTCCATACTATATTCTTCAACCCTAAAAGTTCATAATTTATTCCCAGGAAAGGCGTAATTAGTAAATTAAGGAGCAATTGTTCATTAAAACCGGTGAATTATTGATTTTTACATGTGGCGCCGCGTAGTGGCGGAAATAGCGTACTATGTATTTCTTCGTATTTAACGAACAATTGCTCCTTAATTTACTAATTACGCCTTTCCTAGGTATAAATTATGAACTTTTAGAGTTTAAGAATATAGTATGAACCCTTGGCAAGACTCGAGGATACCTGTCGCAACCATGCCGTGCCTCATTAAATAGTTATTAACAAATATCGGAAGCCGGCACACTGTTTCTAACCTTTTAAAGTGACACCTTGGGGATTTATCGCTAATAACTAATTAATTAGAGCATCTAGCGTTGCAAAATCGGTCCTTAAATGTTGCCAGGGATGTCTACTTGGTACTCTAATAACTAAAAGATGTCTGTTATTGTTGAAAACTTGATAATTAATCGTTTAAAGCAGACAGTGACACAGTCGTAAATGTTCCGACTTCCGATATTCATTAATAACTTGTTAATTACAGGCGGAATGCTTCTAAAAAGTATCCTTGAATGTAGCCAAGGGTCTGTACTATATTCTTCAATTCTAAAAGTTCATATTTTGTTCCCAGGAAAGGAGTAATTAGCGACTAATCAAGGTACTGCGTATCAGGAGTAGGAGGAGTGGGGGAACCTGTACTCCGGATACCTCCACTAACATTCTGTGATCCTGGGACGATTTTTTGACTTCGAAACACTGATATTAGATGGCGATACTGTAGTTTGTCACTTTTTCGCGCATATAATTGAAATACATATATGATGTGGATAGAATAAAATTCAATATAAAGAGAAATACATACCTGTCGCTTCCAGTAATCGTTTATAACTTATTAATTACAGGTGGTTAAAGAACTTAATCAGATTGGAATAATACTTGGAGTAGTTATAAGGGATTATAAAGCTTTAGAATTTATAAAAATTAGGAAATTAATGGGAAAGGTAAAGGAGAATATAAAGAGGAAGCATGGGAAACATGTATTATGACTTTGGCCTTTTATTAATGTAAACATAAGGAGTGTATTGCACATTTCTAACTCTATTAAATAAAAACATGCCTCGAAATCTTGGTAGTACATTTTATAAATAAATTAAATTGATGGATAACAAACATGTGAGAAGAATTTTTTTTTTAATAGTTATAATATGATCACGATATAATATTTGTTACAATTGTATATTTTATATACAGACATGGAACGAAATTAAACATTGTATTTGGCACGAGAATTAGTGTCACATGAACTAAACTGATATCAATGGCGTTAGAGCGATTTTTTCATTGAATGAATAGCGATTTCGTTGACTACCGGGGAAAATTTTAATAGGAAATATTAGAGGCCAAAATAACATTTATTATATTAGTACGGAGCTACTATTGTTACAAGATTAGAAATTAGTTTATTATAAGTTGAAGGATTACAAGATAATAATGGATTGAAATCACACTCGTCTCACTCGTTAATCATCCTGATCGCGACTGCCGAATTTCGCGTGCATTCGTACCTCAGAGAGGGGGGGGTTCTGCCCCCCGACGACTCGCGGCTCGCGATTCCGGTATCGATTAGTTATCGATTGTCTCACTATTAATTAAATATACATCACTGCGTTTTACAAATTAATTTTGATACATATCACGGCAACCACTATATGACGTATCTAACTGCACGATGTTGTAACTTTTTTATAGGTTATAAATCTAAAGGAGACATGTTTATATCATATCATTTTGGGAACAAATTCTGATATGCGTAAATAATACTTTACATATTTCATTTAAACGACATATGCGCGAGTGTATTCACGAGCAACAATACATGGGTAATAAATAATTAACACGTAGATTAAATTGATAACTTATAAGATTGAAGTAACACCACCTAGCGTTCCATTCATGCTACAACTAGAAGCTTTTGGAAGAAGAAAGGGTACATTTGGTATATCGATTTTTTGCTATTTCCTGAAGCTCCGCGTACATGCATACGTAATGAATAGAAGTGTGATCCGTATTTAGTAGTATGAGTGTTCTCTCGTTGCTCGTCACAAATCGGAAGTGTCAACATCTGTTTCTCAACAGTAACTACTGGCAGATACTGACGTTGGGGTGATAAAGTTCTATGGCAGATGCACGTCGAAATTATTTCTTGCTCGATATTATATTCATACGCTACGACTAGACGATTCGTTCTTAAAGAGGTTATATCGCTAAATCACAAGAAATGGCAAGTGACGCAATAATTTCGTTGCCCGGGGAAATAATTATATGCATTTTAGAAGATAAACAACTCGGCTTCTTGGATGTGATTAATTTCAGTTCGACGTGTAGACACTTGCGCAAAATTGTCAACGACAATAATCAACTTTGGAAGAAAAAGTTTTTTCAAAGGTACATTCATTCGCTATCGAAAGTATCAAAGTGTTGCGTATAGTACGAAAAAAAAAAGAAATGAATTATTGTACGCAGTGTTGACTTTTAAGCGACCGCACCTTCTCATCAATCTCAACTATCGCGAGATTCTCAATAATTCCCTCTATAGACACGACACTTTTATGCTCTGTTTAGCCAATTTTTTAAAACGTAGATTGTTATTTTAAATCGTGATATAAATTTCAACTTTTATATACTAGGCGTGTATATGCGTAATTCATATACATGCGCTTACACTTCGTTTTGGCATGCACTCGTCTGTTGTTTCGTTTCTTCGTCACAGAACTGAAAACATAAACATTTTAAAGATTACGTTTTAATACGAGAACGCTTACATCTTCCTTCTTTTGGAAAATTAGTTGTAATTAAAATACACTATTCTTTTGAACGACAGATGGCCTCTTCTGAAAGATGCTTATCAAACAAACAATGAAGCAGAAGGTCGTGCGATAAGCTGGAGGGAAGAGGCAAAAGCTAGTTTAAACATTAGAATGAAGTTACTTTACCATTTATCAATGATGTCTAGTAAACACTATAAAAAGCAGGAGTTGCCAAATTCTGCATTTAAAGAATTTGATCCTTTGTTTCTTTTGGAAGAAGGTGCTCATCCATCAGCTTATTACTTTCTTGTGGATGAACTTATCAATTTAATCAAAGGTCCTGCAATGTAAGTATAATTTAAATATGATCTTCGCACATCTTTTCTCAGAGTAACGATTAATCATTTTTTTTTTTGTTATATTTCTAGGGCTAGCAATTTAACACATACATATTATGCACTTAAAGTTGTCAGATATTTAAAGCATCGTCATTTGAGAAACGAATGGGAGAAGTTTATATCTCTACAACCAAAGGAACAAACCTTAGAACGTGGTGCAGCCATTGTAGCTCAATGGAGTCAACCAAAAAGACATATATCATACTCATATATATCATCCTTGTTAGATAATATTGCAGAACAAACTAAAGAACTACTCAAAGAGCACTACCCAGCTCATTCGATATTTTCAACTCCGGTGGAGCAATTTAATTTTTGGAAAAATAATATTATCGATGACAATCAATGGAACCCAACAGAAATTAGACAAGTAACAGATGCACTGTGCCAAGTATTATTTCAGAAATTAGGATTCTATGGGAACAGTGAAATGTATTACTCGTCGGAAAATTTATTCATAGATCGTGTAAGTTTCAGATTGGAACCATAATGTTAATAATAATTTTCAAATGCAAACTTAGTCTTACATAAGAAATAATACATATATTGGAATAGGTCTTGGAACAGAAACATGGAATTCCTATAACACTGGCTATAGTGTTTGAAAGTGTTGCACGTAGACTTGGTATACGTTGTGAGCCTGTTAGCTTCCCATCCCACTTCCTATTACAGTGGAAGCAGTCATAGTAAGTTTCCAATCGCTATAAATATAAGTCATCTAATAATAAATTTTAATTTCTTTATACATTGCTATTTTAGTGATTCTGAATCCGAGGATGCAGAGAATTATTATATTGATGTTTTCAATGGTGGTCAATTTTTAACTAAGAAAAGTTGCCCTAGAATTGGTGGGGTTTCAAAATGTCCGATAGAAAAGTATAACGTCCACGCGGCAGCGACTGCCGTGGAGGTCTGTCATTTTTTTTTTTAAATTAAGAAGCCTCATTCTCTATAGTTACTTGAGTTTGATGATTATAATTTCTAACAGGTAGTAAGAAGAATGGCGAATAATTTAGAATTAGCTGCCAGACAACACACTCATCCTTATGATAGAACTGCAAGACTGTTGTCTGCTCTTGAACTACAACATATGGTATTACCCAATGATGCTAGTATAATTTCAAAACTAGCTCGCATATATATTTTACAAAATATGGATGTAACAGAACTGATGGAAATATTAGAAAAAATAAAAAATGAAAAGGTACTTCATGGTGTTAATATTATACATCGCGAAAAACCGTGTACAAATTTGAATGAAAATTGTATTAAAAATTTTTAGACCTCTGAATTGATATCCAAAAGGCAAGCAAATATTGTTTTACAGACACTTCAGCAACATGTAATGTCAGGTTTACCACCCGAGGTACGAATAAACGAATTATGTTTTGTACCTTTTCGCTAGTATCGATTAAGATTTAATAATTAATGATTGTGCACATTTTTAGAAAGAAACGGAACCTAAGAAAAGAGTACCGGGTGTAAAGTATGCAATAGGACTGATAATGAAGCACAAAATACAAGGATATTTTTGCGTGATAACAGGGTGGGATGCACCCTTTAAGGCAACCACAGCCTGGATGGCTGAAGTGGATGTAAGCGACACGGACGAAGGCGTGAATCAACCATTTTATAATATATTTGTAGATGATGTTATATTTGTAGACACTGGATCGTGTCATTACGAGGCTCAAGGTAACACTGATTTTATATTCATTTTATAAAATGAAGCATTTTTTATGTAATATATGAATTTTTTAAATTTAGAAAACCTGTGTTTGGCTCCAAACCCCGAATGGATAAATCATCATGCCCTTGGTAGATATTTTTATAAATTCAATGGTACTTATTATGTACCAAACGAAGAAACAGCACGAGAATATCCGGAAGATGAAAAAGCTCGCAATGAAATACTTGTTACATATATGCAAAGTCACGTAGAAAATAATACCACGTAACAACTTTCTTATCTACGCGGAATGCAAGGTAACGTTAATAGAACAAATGTTCATTTCCGTACAACGTATTTTATGCTCGATGCTAAAGAAATCATATTTTCATAGGAAAAGAAAGAAAAATCAAAAAATAATATACATTAATTTCTTTTTCAAAACTGAATGTAAATTTAAATTTGAATATACGTGAAAGTTTCATGAACAATAATAAACTAGTACGATAGTTATTATTTATTCTATGTATATCTTTAGGAATGCTCAGGAGTTATGTATAGTTTGAGTTGTAATGAGTTAAGGCAAAAAAAAAAAAGAACTCTACTAATTACAGATAATACGTATTATATAGAATTAATAATACTATATAATTGTTCAGAGAACAAAGAGTACCTTTTGATTTCTAGCCCGTTCATATGTGATATAGATGTATCTGAATTTAATTATTATCTGTAATAAGAATGAGAGAGTGGTCAACACTTTTATGATGGCACTACGTTATATTCGTAAGTACCGTGTACTAATCAATTTATACTTTTTATTAAATTATAAGTGACTGCAAATTAACGAAGTGGCGTTCAAATATACAACCAGAAAAACAAAAAAATAGCAAAAGATATTTATTTAGGTGTGCTCTTTATTCTATTTCAATGTCGTGGCTGCGCTCCACTTACGTATATTCACAAGCAATCAGGTATAAATAGTACAAAATTTGTTTTCATAATACTTACAATACCATAACCATCTGAAGAAATAAAGTAAACGTTTCGAGTATTTTGATACTATACATTAATATCCAAGTCTAAAGAAAGTGGAATTTTTCTGAAAATGTAACATGTGCGTGTAATAAATAATGATAAATAATGTAAATTACACTACCTAGTATGGAATGATATTGAAGTCATATTTGTTTTGTGTATGCTTTTCAAGCTGAAAGAAAAATTGATCCGTGTTACCAATATCGAATTAAAATCAAAAAATTATTGTCAAAGCAAATAGTGAATTATTGTTAAATAATTATAAAATATACGCGCAATATGTTATATTTTATGTTCCCGGATAATGTTTCGTACCCGCTAGAAGACATTGATTTCATTAAATAGTTACACTTACCATGGTAAATACGTTCAAATATCAGATCTCTAATCTGAGCATTCTCACTTCTTTTTTTTATCACTTCTAATAAGAATAATTAACGTTTAAATGAACAAAAATCACAGTACACTTGTAATATTAAGTATGACAAATATAATTCAAGGAGAATTTGAAGAATTAGTTTCTTCTAATGACCTGTAATAATAATAATGTAATGTTACATTTATAAGTATTCTATATTGTATAATTCTGTAATATTGTGTTAAGTATCTTCGAGTATACATTTAATCGATCCAATGTTAAAAAAGTACTTAAATTATTAAACATATGTATCAACCGTCTGTGAATAATATTTCTTTTACAAATATCAAATTTTACTTACTTTTCGGTAGCAGATTTATTGGCAGCATCGTTAGAAGAGGGTTGCATAGTTACCTCCAAAATACTCTTTTGACCTATGACGTGTAAGAATGTTGTTTCAATGACTTTGTATCATAGAAATTTCGTATTGTTCTCACGATATAAATTATATTTACTGTGTTTGTGTTGGTACAACGCAGGAGCCCAACTGTAATTGTTAGGACTCGGTACAGCATCTGTTGCATTGCTCGTCGACGACGATGCAATATCGTGGCTCAACGAAAGGGCAGCCGATTTGATAGTGGCGGTGGCGCAACTATTACCTTTTCCTTCCGAGGAAATATTTTTCCTGCAAATAATATGTAAACAAAAAATTACCACTTATTTGAACTTTTTTTCTTTTTTCATTACAATTATTTTAAAAGAAAGATTTCTACCTTAATTTGTTGAAACAACCGACGGTGTCCTTTTGAGATATCGGATACAACTGAATGGTTTCCAGCAATTGTTCAAATTCAAATACTTTACTGCTTCCATTGCTTATCACACTAACGTTGACAGAGGATGACGGCGACGATTGTCGTCGCGACAACAAATGTTTAGATACAATTTTATTGCTGTCCAACACTACTGAAAATGTATACGTTACGCGTTATTACGCGCATGAAATATAATCAATTACGAATACGGTAAATTTGTCGGTGTTCCAGTTACCATTTGGCACTATTAAGTCCGACCTGGATGTCTCCACCTCGTGGTTAATTCTATTAACTACAGATATCTTTGGAAGATCTTTCTCGCAATCTATCGAATTCGAACAAGTCGCGGGTTCAGACCTCGTTTGATTACCGCAAGCTATTAATCCAGAAACTTCTTGCTGGCAGATGTTCGGTAGTTGCCCCAGTTTTGGCCGACCGCTGCATATAAGCTGAGGTTGACAAAGATGCGAGGGGCACGTGGAACGTTTGTCGGAAAATTGCTCGTTGCACGTAGAGTCGAGCTCGTGATGTTTATGCAAGAACGAGGACGATCCGTGAGTAGGCAGTGTAGGGGTGTAATGCAAAGGGCTAGCATTATGATGTTGCAAACTCGTTGAAGAGGTTCTTGAATCACTGGTGTCGTCTACATGTTGATTGAAACACAAAGAAGTCCAAGCGGAGTTCCGATCTTGCATTTCAAACAAATGCAACAGCATAATCTCGTCTTCCAAACTATCATTGCCCCGCAATCTGTATAAAATTTGAAGTGTTTGCACCCTTGGTCGCAGTCCTCTTACTTCTTACTTATTTTCAATTTTTACTCTCAACATACCTGCAAGTATCTCCTGCACTGTCTCGGTTGTTCTGTTGCTTTGTGCGCTGTTTGTTTTGAATCCATGGCGTTAATGATTCTGCAACTTCTACGTCGTTTTCCCCTACAAACATTACAGTGATTATTATTAAAAATAAAATTATTATCGATTGTTAAAGTAATGAATATAAGAAGCTAAGAACTTGTATTGTAATTCATTTAAATGGTTGTTTAAAATTTAATAAAATGAATCTTCTACTCAAAACCTGTGACTTCGATTATTACAGCACAAATATGAAAATATCCTTTATTATAAAACCGAGCGTAAGAAGAAGACGGAGATTATTTAAGAAATAGACGGAAATTTTGTTATGAAACCGCTTGAAAGTGATCGGAAGTAGGATTCTTTTTCATAAAATCTTCGTCTGGCTTCTCATTCGTAGGTTTTTCATTTTTGACACCTGTATCTAACTTGCACGGTCGCTGCTTATTTCTCTGCGTATCTATAGAACCTCTGTTCGAACTCGTACCTAATTTTAATGACATTGTAATAGTCTGTCCTAATAGGCTAAATTAAAGTACATCATTCATATTTATATTGTTTAATACATAGAGACGAAAAAGGATTTCATTTATCTTCTCTATTAAGTTACTTAACGATGTTTTCAATTCGTACCTGACATGGTTTCATCATCCACATCATTTTCGTCATTAGAGTTATCATCTAAAAGTGTTAAATGTGGCTCATTATGGTCACACTCTTCCAAATATATATCGTGTTCACTTAGTTCCTGAAACAAATAAAAATTGTCAATTTAAATATGCAGTCATAACAAAAGACGTATCCTGTATTCCAGACTATATTATAGAACTTACTCCGCTATCGCTACTGCTACTACTGGAGAGAAGATTCAATGGTTGCTGATTAAGGACCGTCGGTGAAGAAAATGATGGGGATGGAGAATGAGCTCCAGTAGTTTGACAATCTCCCGGAAGACCGTCGTTCGTACTATGCAGGTTCGGTGATTCAGGTTTCACTCTGTGTTGTTTTAGACTCGTTTTCGACGAGATAGAGGATAACGTCGAAGAGGATCCAAGTGGACGTATATTTGATAGCTCTCCTAATTCACACATAGGCATTAATTGATCTCCTGACATGGTGGCATTATTATTTCCACTAGGAAGGACATTCTGTACTGATCTATCAGAGAAACAGGATGTTAAGATATACAATTTTTGTGATAAATTATTGCTGTAAAGAAAATACGACTCACCTCGTCGACGTGCCATTTGGATACGTTTCCATCGAACGAGTAGAATTTGAGATAAGCAATGGATCTCCAGCAGCTTGCGACTGTTGCTGCATTACCAAAGATGTTACATTTGATGTTGACCCACACAATGTAGCCCCACTGGATACTCTGGTTGCCGTCATAGCATTCCGAGACATTTCGATTGCCAGTCGCTATGAACAAATGTTAGTTACGCGTAAATGCGGGGCTGTAAATTTTTAATTCAGATATTACCTCTTTCAGTTCATTGATTTGAGTGGCATATTGATTTTGGACGGTAACTAATTGACTAATATACCACTGTTGGTCTCTGCAACGCTGATAGAACGTTGGTGGCCGTACCTGAAATCTATTGTCCATTTTTATATTATAATTTAAACGACAATAAATTGAACCATCGTAGACAAAGGAAATTATTGTGTACAGTAAAACGTTATTTTACGAGTTATTACGATTTGAAAACATTAGACGTACCGCAATATGAGAGTATCCAATTCTGTATTCAAATACCCTTCGGTTGCAAGTAAATCTAATCTGAAAAATCTATTATAACCCCAGCATTCACCGATTTCAAAGTCAGACGCGAATTCTCGAACAATATTCTTACTTGTGTCACGAGATCCTTGATGTATCATTTCAACTCGATATTCGTATCTGAAAAATAGAACAATAATAAAAAGACCTAATTAAAAGTTCAAAGAAACAGGCTGTTTAATTGCTTTATTTTTTTAAAAGTGAGAATGGTATTATTCATTGTAATTACTTTGATGTTTCTGGTAGACCAGCACTTAATTCCAGAAAAACAGATAAATAATTTCCGCGTACAACGCCGTTTCCATCTGGATATACTTTTAATCGCCAGCATAATCCGTTCACGTGCAAAGGTGCAGAATAGACTGGATCTGCTTTTAATTGTAGTTGAGTAAAATTTTGCATCGCGAACGTTGCACTGTCGTATCCTGGTACAATTTCGCTACGATAATAAACATATGATTATATCTTTGTAGGAAGGTACAGTAAATTAACGCTTTACCTATGAAAATCTGCAGGAACAGGTGCGGTCACAAAACTCGTCATTGGTTTCTTTCTCACTTGGTGTATCATCCGTGAAAGATCCGCGCTTTTGATGATAAGCTCGGAACGAGTACAAGTATGCAACTGATGTTCCACTTCTTGCAATAAAGCTTCCAGTTGTTCTGTCTCTAACGTTAAAGAATTCTTCTGACCCATTAATGTCAGCAATTTAGCTTTCAATTGAGAATCTAAACGCGCTATCATTAATTCCACCGCATTTCTAATTTCTCTAACTCTCTCATCCTTTGCAGCTCTTACAGACTCAACATTACGTTCCTAGCAAAAGATTGGTTCGATATTAATTAAAAAATCTCCAAATATGTTTTACAAAATTTCTACATACTACTTCTTGAACAAGGCTTATCAACTCCATCAATCTTCGTTCCAATTGTCCTACTTCTGCTTTTATTTGCGTGACATGCTGATCATAGACCTCTTCTAATGGCTTGAAAGTATGTCCTGAATGAGTTCCACCCCATAGGGCACACTGATGACATATACATCTACGGCAGGTCCAGCAATAAACAGATAGCTTCTCATGATGCACGGTACACCTAAAAAGAAATACATAGATGTTAAAACCAGACTTGGACATCGGCCAACCAATTCTTCTTTTCATTACAAAGAAGATACCTATCTCTGTTGGAATCATCGTGCCTTGAATTTGATATACCAACAGCTTGAAGTGTATCAAGTTGCTGTGTCACTTCCTCTACCCATCGACAATTTACCAATTCGTGTAAGTGCAGAGAAGCTCTACAATGGGGGCACTGAGAACGCTGTTCCGTGAGCCATCGTCTGATGCAGGTATAACAGCATAATTTACTGCAATGAGGACAAAGATGTGCATCCCTAAGCTTTTCCATACAGATGAAACATCGGAAAACTTCTGCCAGTGTCTAAAATAAACTTGTAATTATTATATATTATAAATTTTTAAGTATATGACCTATAACTTGACAGGAATGTGTAATGGTTTTATTTATATTTGAAATCTCTATGCAAGTATACTTAAAATGTACTATATTAAAAAAATAAAAAGTAAATGGTGCATTAATACAGTTCTCGTTACTTTTACAAGAGATATACAACTTTCATCAACATTATTATACAGTTTCGAACATAAAAATATTACATCGCGTATTTACAAACCTCAACACTGTGGTCATCCGAATTTTTTGAATTAATAGATGTTTCTCTGCTAGCCATCCTGTCTGACATTTATTAATACAAAATTTAATCGGATGTTATCGATCGTTAGATGTATCACCAGCACTCAAAGCTACGCGAATCTCCGACATTTCATCCCGTGCGGTTCGTTCAACTATATAACCGATTTAACAAAACGTTATTTCCTAAACGTGTTCATTATTAACAATTGTTACTTATCAACTGGTCGGACATACACGAAATGCTTTCCAGGTACTCTGAAAAATTTATAGAGGAGAATTCAATATTGTTATAAGCGGTGATTTGCCATGAAGTAAAAATATTCTACGGTAAGCAGTCTAGGAAACATTTGATCCCGTTAGACCATTTCTTTTGAAATTATTTTAAAAATAATACCGAATTTATCTTGATAAATTATTCCTTAATTGGGAATAGAAAAAAAAACTGACATATGAAATAGAAGATATTTGAAAAATATTTTTGCGAGTTTTTATGTTCGGTACATAATCTTTGCGATTTGATGTCTGTTTTTTCATTTAAAAAATCGTCCTGGAACCAGCATTTAACATTTTTAAAATGAATTCTACAAAGTCAACATTTTTAAATACAATAAAACAAGTAATAAAATATTCACGAGAGATAAAAAATAGGGATTATATAGAATATAAAACTATAATCTTAGATAAGAAACAAATGATACGCGTGTACAAATGTTTCATGGGTTTATTTTAAAATGGAATTTTATCGAAATATGTTATTATTAGAAACTTAAATATTAATTAGTATTAACATTTTTTTAAGGTAACTTTTGCAATCTGCTTTTACGTATCTCTTAATTTGTACAATAACATTAATTTGACGTATTTTTATTTATATATGTATAATAAATGAAAAAAAAAGAAGGGTGTATACACATACACAAATTCGTATTAAAAATACAGAACGTTTCAAATATAATGTAGGAAGTATATAACACCAATGCAACTGCACTGCACATCGTCACAATTAGTGACAAATGGCGACGAAGTTTGTTTTGAACCGTACTGATATTGTATAAAATATCATTTATGAAAAGAACCAAAGAGAACGCACTAACATATAAATAATATTATTTCTTCGTTTCTGGAAAACTTTAATGTTTATATGTACGTATACATAATTTATACCGAATCTACGAATATTTAACTTTTAAGAATACCAAAAAAACAATCGCGTTGTACTGTATAAAATTATTGCAAAAGTAATTACAAACAATATTTATCATTTTTAATACCGATTTGAAATGTGAATTCAAACTTAAAGTTGAAATATTATTATATTATTGAGGTTATATGCTTTCTTTCCAGAACTTAAAACACGAATTAAATGTATATTGTTCAAAGAAGGCTACTCTATAATGTAGTCCCGTATTTTTATTAAAATTACATAAAATTAATAAATGTAATTGATTTCAGATTCAGTTTTGATTGTACATATTCAATTATATTTACAACAGAGACTTACATAATGGCTGCATTTCCACTGAAAAAAGTAGAATTACAAACTGATGTGTACATGACATGTTTACAGCATGCCTTGTCAACAGAAAGTTTTGAAGTAATGGGACTATTGATCGGGGATGTATGTTCATAATTATATTTTGTTACCTGATGCAATTTTACACATTTTTCATTTCTGCAAAAAATATATCTATTGCTTCAATGATAATTTATGTTAGACAGTATGTGGCATTACAAAAATTATTGCTGTTATTATTTTACGACGTTTGGACAAAAAGAAAGACAGAGTTGAAATTTCATCTGAACAATTATTGAAAGCTGTTGTGGAAGCAGAACGATTAACAGATGAACTAAACCATCCTGTACGTGTGCTTGGTTGGTACCATTCACATCCACACATAACTGTTTGCCCTTCACACCTTGGTAGGTGTACAAATTATATTTACTACTCATATATAGATAACAAAATAAATAAACTTTATTCAACACAGAATTTTGATAATAAAAATATCTTTCTAGATGTTAGAACTCAAACAACATATCAGACAATGGATCGTACCTTTGTGGGTTTGATATTCTCAGTATTTTCAGAAAGCAAAGAATCTAAGGTAAGTATCGAATGAAAGTTATCCAACTGTTATGGTACATTTCATTTATTGTGGTTGTTTAAATAACAGGAGCAAGAGATCTCTTTAACTTGTTTTCAATCATGTAATGGAGAAGCAACAGAGATTCCATTAGAAATTGTACACTCATCTCTGATATCTGATAAATGTTTAAAGGTAAACTTTTATAGGATATATTTCTAGCTAGTTTTAGATATAAATGTAATTTTCATATATTTGATTTAGACAATGACGGATTTACCGAAAATTTTGGTTCAAGAAGAAGAAGAGATGGCAGAAACATGTAAAAATCATCAGGATATTCTCGCCAGTATACATAATAACGCCGGTTAGTTTAATTATTTAAATATTTGCGATTTTCATTGCAACAAAGAAAGAATGCATTTGATTATTATTTACAGTGAGAACGCGTACATTGGTTCACATAACGGATATAATTACGAAGCCTTTAGTATTGACGTTTCAGAAGAGGATAGCTTTAAATAAATTACGCGCCGCGCTTCTTCAAAGGCAGCTACAGGAATTGCAAAAAGTGAGCAACGAATAAAAATTTCTTCCTGTAAAAAACAAATATTTCTTTCTTTTTCTTATGCGTAATAAACATAAGTATATTAAGTTCAGTATTTTTCCACTTTGTACTAATACATTTTCATTCGGTTTTCGTATTATTTATTGTGCAAGGTGAAAGCAAGTTTCATGTACAAAATGTAAAGTTACTTAAGATAACGAAATATAATGAATTTCTTTCTTGTTTAATTTCCACGAGTTTTTTTTTGTCAACCAAATAAGAACAGACAAACAAACCTTTCAGTGATTATTTTTATTTTACCTTTCACGAACAAAGTTCTGGCAATAATTGCACAGTTCTATATTTACACTACGAGAACAACAGTGTATTTAAATAGACTTAAATGTATTCAAAACACGGATTCTGCAGAACGAGAAAGATGTATAGGATGAGAAGGACTACGTGCTAACCTTTTGCGAGGCAGCTTTTCCAGAGTAGTTAACAATTTCGCAAAATCGGGCCGATTTTCTGCATGATATGACCAACAAAGCATTAGGATATCCTATAAATATGTGGGGAAAAAGAATCAATGTTAAAAGATTATAGAAACTATGAAATCGAACAAGTCGACGAATATTTTAAGCAGCATCTTGTAAAAATCTGTAAATAAAATTTACAACATATTCAATTTAATATACCTTTACATCACGGGAGGCTTGTAAATTAGCTAACGTTTGCTTCATTCCTTTACCGACTTGCCAAATGATTGCTTCGGGAGGTTGTCCTTTAAACGGCCATTCACCGCATAAAAGCTCATACCACACGGTCCTATGATAGGACACTTCTTTTAGATCAATATTCTTTGCTATGTTTATTAGATAGAATGCATTACACTTATAAAGCAAAGTTATATTTCATGCCAATTTTGTTTATACTTACCCAAATGCATAAACGTCAGAAGCCTCTGTAAAAGGTAATTCTTCCTGATCTCGATTTTGTTGCGGTCTCAGTCGTCGAACAATTTCAGGAGCTAAATAACATAACCAGCCAGGCGGTATACTCAACGCATTTCCTTGTCTGTGCAAAAAATAATAAATATAAATTAGAATTACGATTTACATCAAGTACATCGTTTAAATTGAAAGTTTACCTATTTCCATAACAAAGTTTTGTGACACTGAATAAACCGAAATCAGTTATGACAACTTTTCCATTTTCTAAAAATATGTTTTTGCTTTTAAGATCTTTGTGAATTATTCCACGAGCATGAAGATATCCCATTCCCTAGATAATAAGAAGCGCGTTTCATGATTTATTTTCTTTTTAAATTTGTTAAAAAAAAAAAAAAAATGACGATAAATTCTACCCGGAATGATAATTACACCAAAGGATTTGTTTAAATGCTTTTTACGTGTATATACCTGAGAAATCTGTTGAGCGATGATAGTGGTTTTATTCATATTAAATTTATCTTTACGCAGGTGAATGTGAGTGTAAAGAGTCATGCCTTTGCTCATACTAGTCACTATCGCCAAGCGAGGAGGCTTCATGCAAGCTCCCATAAATAAAACTAGATTTTCATGTCTAGTTTTTCGGAATGTAGCCACCTATAAATTTGAACGTAATATAATTTAAATAATGAACGTTATGATATTACATTTTATTCGAGTAAATGATGTTACGAGAATAATTAATTTACAATAAGACATGATATCATGCTACATTTATTAATTTATAAAGTTTTTATTTGAAAACAAAACGGTGCATTAGTATTTAAATCAAGAATAATAGTTCCATGCGATACATTAATTTTATATGTACCATTATACTAGAAATAATGATATATAAATTCTCAATTAAGCTACGAAATCAATCGATTCATTATTTTGCTCGTGTTGTAATTAGTAAAAGCGAAAGTATAAGCGTTAGAACAAGCTATTCCCAGCGGAAGAATACTTTTTATAACGTGTATGAAAATTTCACGGCCGAATCGAATTAGTAAATGTAATTCAACTGCACAAAAATTTATTATACCTCTAACTTGAATGCTTCCAATGTTTTATCATCGTCTAAATAATAGTCCATGTTCAAGACTTTAATCGCAACATTACCATGCCAATAGCCTCTGTACACTGTACCAAATCTTCCGGTACCTATAGGTTCTCCAATTTTCAATTCGTCATAAGGAATGTCCCATTCTCGCATCGATAACTGTAATGATAAATCCCATTTAGACGCGATTGTAATACAAAGCTACAGCTCTCTTCTAAGTACATTGATGTTGCGTACACTGTTCTGCCGCGGCCAACGACTGTCTCCTGGTTCTCCGTCAGAGACTTGAGAATCCTGAGAATCAACCCTAACAGGTGTGCGTTCGGAATCTGTGCTAACGCTACCAGATCCAGAAACACTCACTGTTCTTTCGCTATCGCTCGACATATTTGTACCTTCGAGTCGATGGGTTTCCAATGTAACACCTTTATCATTGAGCACAACATCTGGAAGTGAATTGTGATCAATTTTTTCTATATCGCGATAAAATGCATTGTACGATAATTTTGGTACCTGGAAAATGGAACTGTTGTTTGGCAGGTGCCTGTGGAGTTTGGCTCGTATTGGCAGGTAGCAAAGCTGGACTAGAAGGCGTTGAGCTATTACAGCTCGAGGTATTTGAACTAGAATCCGCGCCCTGATGAATATACATTCGTAAAGTATCAAGTGTTAAATGGTTTTCATCTCGATTGTAATTTCAAGGTATGTGTTTCTGACATAAACAAGGATCACATTGACCGAAGAAAAAATATAAAGAAACGTGAACCCATATTCAACACACCTGAAAAGGTATGTTCACAGAAGAATGTGGATGGGATCGTTTTCGATCCCTTCGATTTAAAGAGCTCAATAAATTTGAGTTGTGATGATTAGGGGATGTTATACCAGGTTTGCTTAATATTGGAGAAACATTTACCATACCTAAAAAATTTTGTTTTAGTCAAACTTGTCGGAAGGAATCGATAAAACTTTAAAGCTTATACGCACCGTCACCTTGTACAGATCTTTTAAACTCGTCGAAGAGTTCCTGAGGTAAGCCACAAGAAGGTGGTACTTTGGATTCGCATTCCCGGTGACATTTATATTTACATTCTTTGCATTTTAAGCCAGTGTCCATAAACATTTGCTTTTCACAATAGTCGCATGTCGTCATCATTTTGAAAGTTTTGGTAAAGCGGTGAGCAATTATATGGCCCATTCCTCGGGTTACAGTCGGAGTACGTGGTGACTTTGGCACTTGAAGACTTGTTACTATGGAAGATAAAAGTAATCATTTGCAATTTATTTTAATGACGAGAAGCACTAACTATCTTCTCCGTCTTATACATCTTTTGATCCGGAAAGCCTAACGTTTTTATTAGAAATGCATTTACCTGTTCCCTTAAAACTGTTATCATCGCTTTCCGCGCTAGAATAAGGTGGTGATTTAACGGGACTACTACTATTCAGTAACAGACTTTCCCCTGTAATGTCTGCATTACTGCTGTAAGATCCTGATTCCGTAGGCAGACGATTTCTTCTTCCCACTGAACCAACAGGATCGGTCCCGCAACTACGGAAACGATGAACGAACATATGTATAATGCTTACATTAATTTATTAAAAGAGAATCGGTCTCTGATATTGCATTATGTTTGCCGAATAACGAAAAAGTATTACCTTGAAGCTGTATCTCCATTTTCAAGACGATTTGCTAATTGTGATTCATGAGATTTTGACTTAGTTAATGGAAACACTTCTGGTTGCGATATTGTATTTTGTAAACCTATTTGATGTTTTTTACAAGGAGGAGGAGTTGTTGGAAACTTGATTCCTATTATTAGAAAACAAAATTTCGGTGATTATAAAATTGTATAAGTATATTATAACGTGAAATAAATTAATATATTTGAAAGAAAGTTGTTACTTACCACGTCCTGACCTTTGTAAAAGAGGAGTAGAAGGAGGACTAGTTGAAGATAAAGACGTAATGGAAGAAGCTTGTGCTAATATATCACTGTTAAGATTATTGTTGTTATTATGATATGGAATGCTGTCTTCTGAAGGAACAGAACATCTGGTTGTACGGCATCGAGCTGGCCTAGGAGATGCTCCAGTACGTACATGGTGTCTATCCCAAGAATCCCAATACAAATTCATATCACTATTATCCATATCTCCTCTTAAGAGAACATCTAAACAAAATATAATATTAAATAAAAATACAATGTGCACTGTTCCAATATAAATGAACTCTTACCCATATACCGACGAAGATTGTGCAATGCCCTACAAAGTCTACGAAGTTCTTCTTTGTGTCTAACATTATTTTCACCCAACATACTACCTAACTCATGTTCAGACTTCTCTTTGAGAGCTTCCAATGAGTTAGCCTTAGAGCAGACCATCTGAAATTTATTATTAATGTACGTATTTGCTATGAAATTTTTAAAATAAAGATTACAGAAACATATTTTTGAAAGATTATTTGTACCTGTATAGACTCTTGTGTAAGTCCCACTACCCGTAACCATTGCTGCAAAGATGGATATTGCCTCATCTCTGCAGGCAATGATTCTACAGCCAGTTTGGCTTTGGTTACTAGTTGCTTTGAGTATAATTTGATAAGTTTTCCCTGAAATATAAATCACTTATATTAATGATAAGAACGAATAACAACAATAGATTCACAAAGTAAGCATGCAATATCTTTTTCAACATCAAATTGAATTATATTTTTATCGTCTTTTTTTCATAAAAAGATAATGAAGTAAGCGAAAATATAATTACAATAATTCCCACTTCGATCGCTCGAAATTGTTTTACCGAAACAAAGTATTTGAAAAGTATTCCACACCGGAGGAAATAAAAAGTTCGATATTTTTTACGACGCGACATTGTATCATTGTCTCGGATACGCGGTGAAAAGATAAACGGGGGTACAATAGCGTAAAATTATTCGCGTGCATGCAGATATAAACTCAAAGTCGATAAAGAAATGCATTTGCAACTTGTTGACAATCACACGGAACAGCCCTTCACGAGGTCAAGGCGATCATGTTTGAAGGTAACGAAAAACAAGAATGAGAAAAAAATCGAAGGGGCTGCGAATTATTTCGCGGTACCTCGAGCGTGCGAATTTCCTGTTGCGTGAGTTCCGCGCTGGTGGAACATTGGGTCCTCAAGCCTTCGAGCCGATCGGCGGAGATGTCAATCATGGATTGAACGACATCTAAGGCTCGACGAATCTCTTGTTCCGCATCCTCGCCGTCCGCCATCCCGCGCCACGATGACGGCCCCCTGTTTTGTTGTCCGCGAACCCTGACACCTACTTCACGGGCATAATTACTCTCGCACGGGGTCCGTATCGGTCACGGCTTTATCACTGGCTCTCCGTGTTACCAAATCACTTATCAACATTGACAACCATCTTGGCCGCCTATCGGTGACGTCAATCGGTGCCCAACAATCCGGGATCTCAGCAGGTTCATTCGAGCGACTTTATGGTGTTCCTAAAAACGCTTTCTTAAGTTAACGTGACTTACATGATTACAGCGGGCCACGTTACTGCCAACCACGCCACTCGCTGGCCTCCCTAGGGTGGGACTACGTGCCCCCTACAAAGCTATTTGTAACTTATGCTGAACTGCATAGTTTTGGAAATGTTTACTGAACAGAACGTATATAAGCGCCACTTGCAACATTTCCTTTTTTCATTTTATGCACTCAGCGTGCGGTTCGGAGTTTCTTATCTAGCTGTCTTACCCGGTCGATGAGTAATGATCATTTGCTCGCCACATATCTGGCTCGGTGACATGTATTCGTCTGACAAAATTCTGTGTCGTGTGTTTGAATTGTGGAATTTTGTATAATTACTGGTGTTATATGTCAGCGTTAAGAAGGACTCGATAGAAATGGTGAATATAGATACGATACAAAAGAATTATCCGCTGCACTGGCTCGTATGGAATAACAACTATGTAGAACTCGAGGATGAGTTATCTTCGAAGCTGGTTCGTACGAAAAAATTGTCATCCGATTATTAAACCGCGTTCGAAGATATCGTCAGTAGCATCTGTAATTAAGCAGATGCATTAATGAAGAGAAGAGTCTTGGAAATTTGTCGATTGCTATTTTTTTTTCCTTACTAACCGAATATGATAAATGACATTTCCCTTATGTCTCGTTTCTCTGTCCATGTATTGGATAATAACAGTGATAAAGTAGAAATTAATTTGCACATGCACTGTGTGATTCTGAAAAATAATAGGAAAGTATGTTTTTCGAATGTTATTTTATGACAAATGCTAACAAACTAATGTATGCAAATTTAGTAATGCCCCCTTGTATTGGTATACAAGGATATCTAAAAAAATCTCAGAATTGATGAATTTATTTTAATCTATTAAAATCAATTACATCCTATTGATTTGAATACATTATTTGGTATGCTGTCAAGAGAGCTTTATGAGTGAAGCCTCATGTATGTGGGAAACCATAAATGTTCACTGACTTCTAACTTTCGATATTATACTTTGAATATATCACCGATCGATTTGATATAGTATAATAATTGTATCACAAATTATTAACCTTGTCAATCCTTCTTTTAATATTACAAATAATAAAATATTATACAATGAAATTTTATCAGATCTACTCAAAAAAAAAATGTTCATAATTATTTTAAGAATATACATGTAAGTTAATAGAAACATAAGAATCATAATTAACAAAGAATCATTTTCATCTAGCATGACATTGAGAAGCATGATAATAGGGGAAGAACACCACTGATGTTAGCTGTAACTTTGGGTAATATTAGTTGCGTTGGAGTGTTATTGCAACATGAAGCTAATGTCAACACAGAAAATACACAAGGATGGAGTGGTAATAATCTCATTTGCTACATTTTTCAAATTTCTATAAAAATATGTACATAATTTGTAATTTTTTTTTTATAGTGGTCCATGAAGCAGTTGGCACAGGAAATCCTGAGCTATTGCAGATGGTGCTAGCACGTAGAGATTATCAAAGATATTGCAATCGGGTAGCCGGTATTCCAGAATTACTTCATAAACTTAAACAAGTGGGTTCGTTAGAACAATCCAGAAAGCATAGTGATATTTTGCAGAATGTAAACCAAAATCAAATATTTTCAGGCTCCTGATTTTTACGTAGAAATGAAATGGGAATTTACTAGTTGGGGTAATTAGAAAAACACATAATTCTATCATTTTCTTTAAGTACAGGCATAAAACTAATATTTTGCTTATCGTTAGTTCCTCTTGCCTCTAGAATGTGTCCTAGTGACACTTATAAAGTATACAAACAAGGCAGTAACGTGAGAATCGATACAACATTATTGGGATTTGATCATGCCAATTGGCAACGTGGAAATCGCAGTTATGTTTTCAAAGGACAAAGTAAATATTTTTGAGATCATTATTTTGCATGAACATTAATATTCGTATAGTTTATTTCAATATTCAGGTTTTTTTCCGTGTTTTTTTTTCATTTATATTAATAGTAGAATCATTTATTTGTTCTTTAATTGTGTATATTAAATGCAAGCTGCATCAAATGTACCTGTGGCAATTAGATGCGAACGGAGTTATGTGTTCAGTATGGTGGGACAAGAGTCAGGTGACAGAATTACTTTTACAATTAATGTGGTGTACAGGACTTTAGGGAATATACACTTCTACAAAGTAAAAACAAATTTATTCAATAGATTCGTTACGTAGATATTTACTTTTCTATTCTATTTATGATTATTTTCTTTCGATTTTTATTATTTTTTAAAAGTTTATGTAATACACAAAAGCTTGCAATGGGTAAGCATATGTGTCATTTAGTTATAGTCGTTATAATAATATTTATATTGCTGTATAATTATATAAATAACTGCTTCTAATATGTAATTTATTCATATCTTCGTACAAGTAAGTACTTAAATATACATATATATTTAAATATAAAATATTTGAAAACATGTTATTATTAGACTTTATGCAATTAGTAGTAGTTATCCATAAAATTAATTAGTTTGAGTATTACATTGTAGAACAATATGTAAGTTCTATTTCAGTAATTGTTTCATAAAAAATTATTTTAATATAAAAATAGAATTTTTATTTATACAGACGATGGAGCAACGATGATGGAAGTAGATCACGAAACACGGAAAGTATACGTCGAGCATATGAAACTCATAGATGTGGATAATATACAACTAATGGATCCTTCTGAAGAAGGTGTATTAGCTCGCCTTACAAATCCTATAGTTACTACATATATAGATACGGATAAGATTAGTTTTGAACGGTAATTATACTTTCCATTTTACCGTTAGAATCTCACGTAAATATTTTTTTTTACCAACGTTTTTAATGTTTAAATAGAAATAAAGCTGGTTTATGGGGTTGGCGATCTGATAAAAGTGAGGTAGTAAACGGACACGAGTGTAAGGTTTTTAGTGCAAGTAATGTAGAATTAATAACGAAAACCCGATTAGATCACTTGTCCGAACCTGACAAAATAAGGGCTCGCGCTCCTCGTACGCCTCTACAATCATTTCTTGGCATAGCAGAACAACAACAAGAGAACTGCATCAGTGCAACTACTAGCGTAACTTTCTTTTCTTAAATATTTTATGACGAACTACGGGATAACTTCGGAATTATATTTAATAATATATTTGCTTTAGGAAGAATATAACAATGTTGGAAATCCGTCTAACATTACTGCTGAAGAATATTTTGATCCGGATGTTGATTTAAACGGAAGAGATATAGGTAGACCAAAGGAAGTAAATACAAAAATTCAGAAATTTAAGGTATTTTATGCTGAAATTATATTTTTTTACGAGAATGTAATCTTAATCAATATTGGATCAAATGTAATTAGATATCAAATGAACTTACAGGCAACTTTGTGGCTAAGTGAAGAATATCCATTAAGTCTTCAAGAACAAATTATGCCAATTGTTGATCTTATGGCAATATCCAGTTCGCATTTTGCAAAATTAAAGGATTTTATTCAAATGCAATTGCCAGCTGGATTTCCTGTTAAAATTGGTAAATATTGTAGTCTTTCGGAATAAAAAATGCATTTGATATACTAATGTTTGATAAACGTGTAGTTATGTTTTGTTATTTTAGAAATACCTCTGTTCCATATATTAAACGCGAGAATAACGTTTGGAAATATTTTTGGCATGGATCAAGAAGTACCGCATGTAGGTCATTTAGAAGAAACTAATAGAATGACCTGTTTAGTTGATGACACTTGCTTTGAAGCACCAATGGGATATGTCAAATTGGGTAAGCATTACTTATATAATGTACATCATGTATAAAAGCTCAAGGTTCGAGCCTAAAGAACTTTAATGAAATCTAGTTTAACGCTACTATTATATATATTTTTTACAGGTGCTGAAGTTCGAACACAATTCAGTATTGAGGAAGAAGATGACCTGTTACAGTTTGCTATTCAACAGAGTTTACTAGAAGCTGGAAGCGAACGCGACGAGGTATGCATATGCTTAAGCTTCCAACTTAATTAATTTAGACAAATTCTAACATGTTATTTAATTTGAATTATTAAGGTCGATATATGGGAAGCTTTAAGGTCTCAAAAACCATCACGACCAACGACACCCAACATGACAACGGAAGAGGAAAGGCAACTACAAAGGTACGAAAATACAACACTCATAGGAATGTCGTTTCGGATACCTTGCTTTTATTTTAAAGGTTCTAAAAAATTTATTTTGCATGTGTTCTTGCTCAACAATTCATATTCAGGAAGGTGGGTGAAGGATACCTCTAACAAATGTTGGTTCACGATAATCATTCAAAGCGAATTCCAAAAAGTATTTTGTTAGACCATTGATAAATATTTAGAACGTTCGTGTAACAATGTATACAAATTCTTGCGCTAAACGCGAGAAACCGAACGATGTGTTAGAAGTGAAATAGTTTTTCAATTTGTTTAGAAGTCCCATTTTTCGTATATTTTAGCAGCCTGAAACTTTTGTACGCGCCGACGTACATAGAATAACAATGCTAGGCAATATTTTTATTGTGCAACATTTTTATCAGAAATGGGAATTTTGCCCACCTCTGATCTCAATGAACAAACGATAAATTTTTGATTTTTTGTTTAATGCAGAGCTATTCAGGCAAGCCTGGCGCTGTATCAGGAGAGTACTGTTGCATGTGCGAGTGGTCAAAGTAATATGAATAAAGCTAGTGACGTAGAAGATCCCGACGCGCTCGAAGATACGACGGAACAATTAAGATTAGCATTAAGATTGTCGGAGCAACAACAATTGGAAGAAGAGCAGCGCCGATTGCTGGAAGAAGAAACGTTTCGGCAAGTGTTGGAGCTGTCTCTGACAGACAAGTGAACTTTAAAAAAATGTGCAATAGTCATAAATGAAACTTGATCAAGCTATACTTCCACGATCACGAGAAATCTTCCGGCCGCGCAATATCGAGACTGTCAAACAAGAAATCATTTCCTACGATCCGTAAAGTAAAACTGTTGTTTGCAACAGACATTTGTTATGGTATATAGTTACAGCGTACAGGTCAAATGGTGAAAATCATATAGCATTAACTATGAAAGTAAATGATTTTAACTTATGTTATTTATTTCTTAGCTACATTTTATATGGAGGAAATATGTAGTAGTATGAAGATTGTGGTACATAACACTCAGAAGTCTTGAAAATTACAATATAGCTCTGGCAAAAAGTTGGAACATTTTTCTTTGGCTCAAATTATGTTTGAGGTCGAACAATTACCCAATCAAATACGGATAAAATCTTCTTGTTGAAAGTACGTACTGTAAGTTACGACTGTCAATATTTAAAATAAAAAGCTTGTAATTCTCAAGCCTTCAACAATTATTCGTTTTGTCCTCTCTCCTAGCATTAGATTTTCTTCGAAATTTCTAGCATCAATCGTCTAATTATATTTAATGAATTACTGTTTTCATTAACATTCTGTGTAACAATATGCTGAAAACTGCCTCTCTTAGTGTTTGGGCAATTAAAACTATTCCAAGTTCCTTTTTATACCCGTGATAAAATAATTGTAAGTAGCGTTCCAATTTATTAAGAGTAGTAGTAATATAATAAAAGTTTGTTATTTATTCTTTATAGTTTATTCATTCTAGATAAATAATTTCGTTGAAGTTATTTTATTATTCAAACAAATTATGTACGGAATAAGAAACCATTAATTAACCTGTTGTTATCATACAGCAATTTGTATCGAAATACAAATATAATTTTACTACATATCACTGTCCTTCAATAATTTCTATGGAAAGAAAAACGAATTATTGCTTGTCACGCGATTCCTTTTATATAAACTCATAAAATATAGTTGCTATATATTAATTGTACTGTAATAAAAAGGTATATTTCTACAAGTAGTATACAACAGGTATAATTAAGTGTATAAAATAAAACGTATGTAGAAAAATCTGAAAAAAAAAAAATGTTATATATGCTGATCGAGCACAGATTTTGTTAATGAATAGCCGACAGTATCAATACTGCCATAGATCGGCTATTCAAATTCTGATTGTGCCCTAAAACAGAAATAATAATGTTTTTATAATAAAGTGCATTCTGCAGCATAAAATTTAATCTGAAAAATATTTTTACAGAATTCCAATTAATAATTAGATATAATCCCGTCAACATCTTTGATACAAACCTCTTAAATATAGTATTTAATATATTTGCACTCTGTACAAAACGTTGTTCATTCTTATGCGCTTGCTGATGCCATTTTTTACGTACAATATTCCAATGTATTCTATGTTCTCTTAACAGTGTTTCTCGCGTCTTCAAAGATTGTCCGTCCTAGAATATATTATCCATAATGCATACAGATTTATTACGATAGTTAATGATCGTACTTTCGCGTTAAGAGGATAAAACATGTGAATTTATCCGGGTAAATATCTTACATAATCTAAATTTAATTCTTCCTTTTCTCTAGATGTTGGCGAAGGTATACGATTTCTAGGCATAGCTTCTTCGCAAGGTAACGGAGGCGGCAGATAATAAACGTCGCGAACATCTCCGTTTGTGTCCAATATATTATTACTTACATTAACTTCGTTTACTATTTCGGGACTTGGGCTGCGCACTCTAAACGCAAATACAAAATGTAAATTGCGTTGTTTCTGTATAAATCTGTATAAATATTCTACGAATAATATTCTTAAAATGATGTTAATGTTAACATAAATACATATGAAAATGTAATAGCATTAATAAGATAATTAAGACTGTTATGTACGAGCAAGCATCAAAATGAATGAATAACATTTAGATATTTGTAATTTTCCATTGTTTTGCATTTCTCACTTTGGAACAAGATTAGGATTCCTTGGTTGATTAGCCATCCAAGCCCTACATATAGGATAAAGCGGCGTGTCTTCTTGAAACTGTGCTAAATCAACACTCCGATCGAATAGTTTCATTACATAAGTATGATGAAATGCTGTATCCAATTGCACTTGTCTGCGACGTCTTACTTTTCGTGGCTGTTGATTACCCATTGATTTTGTTTTAAACATATGGTCACTAGAATAGTAGACCCATTAGTTTATGTAAAAGAAAAATATCTGTACATATTTCAGTGATATTACATTCTTTTCATTTGATGTTTATAATCTTGCGATGAATTTTCTTCGCTCGAATCTGCCGATGATCCTGTATCACTATGTTGCAACAGCTCTCTAAGTGCTCCTTTTAAACGATCTCTTGCAATAAGTACATCACTATCTCCTATAGCAAAATTCATTTCAAGTTTATAACATTCGTATTGCCAATAACAAAGAATGCAGCTATTTTGAAGATTAATGTAATTCAATAAATTATTATACCAAAAACTGTAATACAATAATGAATTAATAATTACTGCTAAAATTGGTAGATATAAATAAAATATTTTCTATTACCCAATTCATCTTTTATTTCCACTTTCACCCGTCCAGGAAGAGGAGCAGGTGTTGGTTGAATATTTCTTTTCTTTCCCATCTAAGTTGCAACAAAAGTTAATTAATATATTGATTGTATGTTACAAGTAACTGCAATGCTTTTTAGTAATTATAGTATAACAATAATTTATCATAAACATACCTTTGTAAATATTCTATTTCATCCACATATGACACTATAATTTATAAATAAAATAATTTCACGAATTACTCGAAGATATTGTTACGAAGAAAAAATAGGAAAAGTTAATGCATATATTTATTTTTTCACAACTTTTGTATTGTCGAAGATTCGAATGTGTTAGGTTAAGTGATAAAATATAACTTGATTCAACAACATGCGATGCTTTGAAAATAATGCAAAGTAATTTTGTATTATAATTTTGCCTTAGTTTCAATTCTTTTGAATAAAAGTTACTGTCATGCTATTTAAACAGTAAAATGATCATTCGGAAAAATTACAAGTAAAACAACTTCGAGTAACTTCGTACATTGAATCACGTTGAATGTCACACGTTGATCCTTTTCAAAGATCACCACAATTCATTACCGGATCGTCCGATTTCTGGAGGTTCTCGTTAGTACGTTTTGACTTTTTCAATTTTTTTTTAAATGATTTTCATTGCGTTTTCTTTATGTTACGTATAAAATTCGACCAGTGATATTTTTACAAATTTTGTAGTGCTAAAGATTGATACAAGCTGCTATTGTTTGGTCAATACAAGCATTTGAAACCAAAATTTTAGGTCGGATACGAACTTTGTGTATTGTAGATACATAAAATATTGATAAGATGCAACAAATATCGAATATAAAAGTACTTTTGATTTTAAGCATAAGTATAATGGTTTCTTTTGCACATAACTGTTTTCTACATAACAGAGATTACAGATGTAAATTAGGAACAAAAACACCATACAGATTTATAGCTAACTATAATGATTCTCCATTCGAGTATACAGGTATGTAGATTATTTGATTATTACCTGTGCAACAAATTAATTTATACTAATGTTATTTTTAGGTTGTGTGCCAAAGAAGATATGGTTAATTTTAAGGCATGGTACAAGATTTCCTAGCATGAAGTATATATCATCCATGACTGAAAAACTGCCAAATTTACAACAAATCATTTTAGATAATTATCAAAAAAATAAAACAAGTCTTATGGCTGATGATGCAGTTTTATTGGCAGATTGGAAGATTACCTTCACCAAGGACAATATCATGAAACTAGCAGAAGAAGGTGAAAATGAGATGATTGATTTAGGGGAAAGATATCAATCTAGGTTCCCTACTCTTATGCCAGATGATTACAATAATGAGACTTATAGGGTAAAGAAGAATAGAATCTTTATTCCCAATGTATACTTCTACTATATGTATTAAATATTAATATTAAATTTTAGTTCAAATATACTGCTACACAGCGTACCAAAGAAAGTGCCAGAAACTTTGCCACTGGTTTATTTGGCAGATACAGTAGTCACAAAGTTTGGTATCCAGAAGCAGAAGATAAGGATCCTGTGTTAAGAGTAATTTTCAACCACCTACTTTAATCAATAATTGATTTTCCATTACTTAATGATTTTATTTTAAGTTTCTAGTTTTACAAACGTTGTCATCGTTGGTTAGTTGAGGTGCACCAAAATCAAAGTGCACAAATAGAGAGAGAGAGATTTTTGAAGAGTGAAATTTTTACCAAGATGTTGCAAGATGTCTCAAAACATATTGGTCATCGGATTGATTATGGTAAGGTATATAAATCTAACTTAATTTAATTTAATTCATGAAGTACTTGAGACAAAAGTGTATTTCAGAAACTGCATACTTGATGCATATGATATGTGGGTTTGAAACAGCATGGCAGCCAAGCACAGAGTCACCTTGGTGTAGAATGTTTTCATTAAATGATTTTAAGGTGAATTTTATGCTTAAACTTTTATCATTGTAATAGTCACACACTTTCTTTGTGAAATTCTACCGACGATTTAACTGAATTCCAAATATAAATTTTTCAGGTTTTGGAGTATGCGGAGGATTTAAGAAAATATTGGATCGACGGATATGGTCACAAATTAACTTACGAACAAGCATGTTCTGCATTGAGAGATATGTTTACCTTTGTCGCGTAAGAATACATTTTTCTTTTAAAATTTATCCAAGTTAAAAAAGTTCATTTGAAGTCACAAACCCTCTGAATCGCAGATCGGCCGATGGGCCATTGGTATCAGCGTATTTCACCCATTCGGGCACCATTTTGAAATTGTTGGCTTTATTGGGCGTTGCAAAAGACGATCAACATTTAATGCACGATCTCTTTTCTCTGTATGGAGATGATAGAGCATGGAAGACCGGTATTATCGATACGTTCGCATCTAATATCGCGTTTGTTTTATACAAGTAAGTATTAATTATTATTTTGTACATAAAAGATAATTATGCTTTTTTATATTCCCGACGCGTGTATCTTTTGTTTCAGCTGTTCAAGCGGTCCAAGTATTCTTTCCATGCATCAAGAAAGACCACTCTATCTACCAGGGTGTCCTTTAAATGTACCATGCCCATTGTCCATTATGAAGGCACTGTATCCTGACCACGAAGTAGAGTGTCAGTTCGATGCAATGTGTAACATAGAAGAAAACACATAATTTTGTAAATTATATTAATACTCAACTGTTTTTACATTATTTTAAAGAAATTTCTAAATAAATTATTTCATATTCTTAACAGTTTTGAGTCATTGAATTGTATTAATAACATTTATACCTCCCGTATATTAGCGTTGAACACTTTTGGGAAACCCATTAGTACGACACGAATTTATGGGAACGACCTAACAGATTCGCGTCTTTTTTGGTTGCATCATCGGCTCGGAAGCGTCCCGTATATGATTGGGAAAAGTTTTTTCATTATCGGGGCCATTCCACGTGAAATCGATCACACTTTCAATCTATACGATTGAAATCTACTTGCGTTTCGTACAAGGAGAATGAATTCGCGACCGAGTCGGTGTACCACCGATTGAAATACTGATGATGGCCGCGTCAAGCAACCACCGAACGTATATACGGTCTCATCCCATTATCCAGGGATGCTGTTCCACCCCGTGAGGGTTGGGATCCATGGAAATTGGGGGCGCGGCTTTAATAATACCGAACGGTCGAGAAAACGCGAGGTAACGACAAAAAAAAGAACGCCGGGGAAGTTCAGCTTCCTCTTAAGGAGAATGGTTTTACCCTCTGCCTCGCAAGCTGTCCGTTACCTTCGGATTGGCTTCCACCTTTTTACGAGGATAAACGGTCCGACGACGGAGAACCCGACGATTTTCCGTAAATCGATCATGGCTCGCAGCTCGTCGATGTAATATAGAGCAACGCAGGGCGAAACTTTTTCCACGGGAATCGTTCGATCCACGCTTGCCACGGGATCGATCTCGTGTTCCTTTTCTCAAGCGGGATCCATCGAGGGTACGGGCCGGGATTAGTTCGCGGGTTTACCAAACGGGTTTCAAGGGTGAACGGATGTCGAAGCTGGATTTCTATTTCGAAAAGGTCTTTCACCTCGCGGCGTTCGAACGATGAAAACTTTTTGCCTCCCACTTACTCGGGATGGAACTCTTCTTAGCGCGGTGTCGAGACACGATCGCATTCTTCGAAGAAACACTACTGTTACGAACGCGATCCGGACTGATATACATCGAACATACACGACAACATTTACCGTGCCACGCACGCTGACATAAATCTGGCAGTCGTAGAAATCTATGGACAAAAGTGGAGCCACTTACATGCGCGTTAAATACAATTTATGGAAGGTATGGGAATATAAATGCGCGACGTATCATAAATTTCAGTCTCGGTGGTTGAGGAAGAGGCGGAGGCGTAGGCAGAGGAGGAGAGGGACGAAGACCAGCGAAAGGGAGGTGAAAACCAGCTCTCCCTCAACTCCGAAGGTACTAACGATATTGTTCGGGGCATTCGCGGGCACGAAGTTCGTCCTCCTCGAATTCTCAAGAGGGAACAACAATTTATTTTATCGGAGCCACGGAAATACCCGAAGGACCAGTCGCAAATCACTGCCTCCGCGCGTTGCTTTACGATGGAATTTCTCTATCTCTTTCGCGCACTCGCGCGTCCTCGTTTTCCTCCGCTCTATACTCTTTTCGTATCCTCGTTCCTCTTTATCGGCTCCTGTTCCCCCTTGTTCGTCGTTTTTGCCCTTTCGACGCGGCTTTTCTTGCTAGTTTCGGAGCGGTATTAAAAATCGCGGTCGGATATTATGCCCGCTATTAATCGGTTCGTCACGCCGCGAAATTGGAGTAACGTGGAAATGGCTCCTTTCGTATTTCCTCCTCGCGGATATTGCGAATCGCGGTGACGCTCGTCAGCGTCGAACGCCTACAAATAGCGACGAACGTACCGCGGGATTAGGAATAGAATTGGTCGGTTCGTTCGAATAAAATAAGACAATTATTTCGACCAGTTGTCTTAAGAATAACCATCGAATAATTAACTGAATATCTTTACAAAAATTTACAAATATATTATAAGAATTGTTATTATTAATACGATGACTATCGAATGTTTCAAATCCCTCCATGGAAATCGTTTTGTGAAGGGAAGTGTCTGTCATCGAAGGCTGTGAAATACACAATGAAAAGGCTCCCGAGTGAAAAATGGTGATAGGTTTCGAATTTTCAATACATGGCACGTAAGGCCGTAGTCGGAATCTAAAAAGCAACAAGGGAGGGCGATATAAATATGAGACATACAAACGGGGAACGTCCAATATATCGACACTTGCCCCTGGTCCAGACGACCCCCTCGGGCGACCAAGAAAGATTGAAGCCACCTTCGGGTGTGCTCTTTCGAAAATTCAACTGCAAACGTGTGACTTTCTCGTTTTACCGGTAACCACCGGAGGGAACGTAACGCGGAAGGGTCTGCTGAGTCGTAAGTGGATTTCCTAGCCAGTCAAATCCACGGAAGGTTTTAACCGAAAATACGTACTCAAACTTGCAAGGATGAGGCGGCAACGAGAAGGTTTAAACGATCTCGTGATTCATCGAATCGGTCGCGAATTGAAGAATAATTTTAAAATTACCAGTGACCGGTTTTCGAAGCAACGAAACCATCGAATCGATCTGATAGGAAAATGAAGAGATCGTCGAGACTCGCGAAAGGGGAAGTTGGGCGTCGGGGGTTAATTCGAACTCGATATTCGCAGATTACGTTTCTCTTTCGAGGGACCTGATCGTCGCGGGATACTTATAAACTGGAAAAAACGTTGATTCGAGACACCGAGCACGCCGTTGGCCCGGTTAACGAAGTAGTCTCGCTCCCCCCGCGCGACGCATTCTGCACGGCCAGAGGTAAATTGAAATTGGACGCAGTGACGCGAATTATTATAATCCTGAGGCTGCTCGGCTGTCACCGGAAGCCCCGCAGCGTTTTTCCTGCCGTGCTCTCTCCTTGTGCGTCGCCGGGAGTATATAAAATTCAGATCTAACGTTTCCATCTGTTTGCGTGGATTCCTCCGGCTATCGTACCGTCATCGTCCGTGTAAAGTAAACGTACCAAGCAGTTGACCACGTACCCAGGTGGTTGACGCTTTCGGTGGTTAAATTTTCCATAATAAGTTTTTACGTATTATTTTACCAAGGCTTTTTCGAAGCTCGAGTCTTCGTTTCGTCGCGCCAGGTCTTGCAATAGTTTATTAATCCAGATTTGTTCGAACAAATCGCGCGAGCCACCGTGCTTCAAAAACAGAGACTCTGTCGGCGACCGAGTACGTTGAATAATTCTTCGTTTCAAACGCAGCAACAGCCATCCGGCTATCGATTTTTCACGGGAACCTTGTAATGCTTCAACGTCGGGTTCAGAAGCGGTTTAGTCCTTCGGTGTAAATGTTCCCATTAGGCCGCGGCAGGCAAACGACGAAAGGAGGAAATCCTGCAACGATAAACTACCGGCAGGATGAACTGGCTCGCTCGCGCGTGCTGCAGTTTAATGTTCGACGCTGCTAAACTGCATGTACTAAAGCATGACACGCGTTTCACATTAGCAACGTTCCTCGAAAAGTTTCCGGTTTCGATTTTTGCATAACGATAATAACTACAGTGACCGAAGAAACAAACAAAATTAATGTGCTCGTTAGTTTCATCGAGCAAACGATACATTTTCGACCCTTAAAAAATACTGATAAACCGATACGCATTTTTCTCGATTTAGATTTTATAACGCAATCCTTAAATAAATTAAACGCGGTGCCTCGCGATTCAGCCACTGCTATTACGTTCAATTATCCCCGAGCCAGCCACATTTAAGCATGGCAACACGTGTTCGTCGTCAAAACGCAGCGCAGTTTCCACGATTTCCACGCGATTCTCGTGGCAGCAATCACTTTAATGATCACGCGCCGCTCCATTAACGAAGCGTCCCCCGAAGGGCTAGGCTTTCTGAACGAACGAACGTCGTCGACGGCGGCCGTGACACGTCGTATCGAGCCCTTTTGAACGCGCAAAACCCTCTCTATAAACTTCATCACCCCGTCCGGGGCTGTTATGAACGCCCAGCGAGAACGGGGGTCGATGGTTTCCGTCGGGCGACATTTTCCACGGAACAACGCACCCATTCACCCGATCGAAGGTCTCCAACTTTGCCAATGGGAACGCAAAGAAGGCAACAATTCGAGCATAATTACTCGATACAATGTCATAGATTTGCTTGGGATTAATGACGCAAATTTAATCCTCTCGCGCATAATTTTTCTTTCAATCGGTTGAACCACCCTTGATAAAAAGTTGAACGTCGAAAGCGACTCAATATGAAATTCAATTTTGCTGGTCAAATATAACCAGGTGTCCACTATGCGCGATAGTGTCGCGCGTCCCATAGTCGGAGGGTTTTAATTAATAGTTATAAAGTACCTTTATCAATGGTTACGGTATACCAACTTGGTTCATAAAAGAGTGATTAAACCGTACCCTTTGGCGTTCGCCACGTTCTACAGATATTTTCCCTTCAAACTTCTGTCACGATACCAGGAGTCGTCGAGACGTAATTCTGTATAGAAGTCTGTCCGAGTAATCTCGCCGACCACGTTATTTCATCAACGGAGAACAGGCTACGCTCCAGCTGAAACGCAACTTAATTATACATTCGGCGTACTTTCATCGGCGTACCTGCATCTTCGCGTAATCCCGTTTCTAATTAAACGAACTTCTTTTCTCTTTTCGTTACGCAATTCTTCTCTCGGGCATACTTTTTTTCCACCTTACGAGTTTCCGTTCCGCGGGCGGAGCCTTCGTCGACGGGTCTGAACGAGATAATTACGTAGAATCTCCGAATAGGAGGAACATCTTGTTCCCATAACGACATCGAGACGTCTGACAGACGCGAACGTTTCGAACTGCAAACTTCTCGGAAGAGTTGGCGCCTCGACAATGGCACGAGTACGACTATTGTTCGGGACATTTGCCGCGATATCGGTTTTTCGTTAAAGAGTCTGTCTAGTTAGGAGATAAAAAAAAAATTTACCCTTTCCTTTCTACCTTCGCTCGAAGCGTCAAGTTTTAAAAACATTATTCGACTTATATATTCGTGATCCTATTGCTTTACAAATTGTACAGAGTCGGAACATACTCCGG